TAGGGGAGTGGATGGAAAGGATCTGGGCGACCTTGGCGCCTTCAAGATATCCAGTGAGTGCATTTTCATGACCTTCTATATGTCAGCTGAATGTTTATCACAATTTCTTAGACCAGCGATGGTATATGTTTCAGAAGATGGGTCCGGCACCGAGCCCCCGTTCTGGGCATGCTATGGCCTCCATGGGCTCGCGGGTGTTTGTGCTTGGTGGTCTCGGAGGAGAATCATTGAGTAGCCCTGCGAAGCCAGAGGACCCAACAATCGTACATATTTTGGACACCAGTACGTCTCGTTGCGTTGTGGAATGAACGTGTTTCATAGAAAAGCCTTCAATGTAGAGCACATCAAGTATCCAGACTCGAACAAGCTGCCACAAACCGGTGCACCTTCAATAGGCCGGAAATCCTCCATTGGCGCCTCGCAAAACTCCACATCGCCAGCGCCGGGCTCAGGACCGATTATCAACGGTTTGCGACCTTTGTCCCCAGAGCAGCATGGCTCAGATGTTGAGGACGTCCGTCGAGCGATGTCTCCTTCCAGCCAGCGGTCAGATACTAAAGCGCCAACTGGCGTCGCAATGCAGCAGTCGCTTTCGACTATCTCCAAGAGCAGCAAAAGCGCGATGCTTACGGTGGAGGACAGCATGGATGGGGGCGACAGCAGCCCTGAGGTGTCTTCTGCAGACGTCCGCGAACGGGCGACATCGCCCGAACAGAATCGCGCGAAGAGCCCAGTCTACAACAGCAGCCGTGCCACGTCGCCAATGGTACACATTGAGAGCCAGGAACCTCCGAGCATGGCTAGCGTCGCCATGGGATGCAATGTGCTTTCTGCGCGCAGCCCCTCGCCTAACGTGGATAGGGGCAAGCCTCCTGCAGAAGCATTCTACATGGCGAAGCCGGGCTCGCCTTCGCCTAATGGTTCTGCGCTTCTAAAGCCTGCCTCGACGGGCAACGCTCCTGCCAACCTGATCCGGGACCTCAAGGACAGAGAGGTAGAAATAGAGACAATGAAGAAGCGCGAGACATGGATGAAGGCGGCGCTGTCGAAGGCGTCCACAGCTGGATTTGTGTATGCCGAATTGGAAGAGGATCTGTTGAAGCGGGCAGACGACGATGATATTGATGGGCAGAAGGTCACTGAGCTGATCATCAGCTTCAAGCAGCTGAGAGCGCAGATTCAGGTTTGCAATGGCTTTTGTTTTTGTTAGATGGGGTCGCCGCTGACCAGCGTTATCAGACCAGCGTCGTTGACCAGGCAAAGGCAGCGTCAGATCGGATTATGGAGGCTGAACGCCTACGCGCGGGTGCTCTGCAAGAAGCAGCGTTCTACCGTGCCAAATTGGCTGCATTGGAGGTCGGCTCCAAAGCGGATTATGTGAGACTGGAACGCGAGCGCTCCGCTGACTTGGAGAGGAAACTTTCCGTGGTGGCGACCGAGCAGGCGGAGAAAGACCGCAGGATCAACGAACTCTCCGAAGCCCTGGCGACACAGACAAGACTCATGGAGCAGGCAGAAGCGCGCGCTGAGGATGCTTCGAAGCGCGTGGATGTCCTCTCTCAGTCGCACGACCGAGAGTCAGAAGCATATCGGGCATTACAGGAGAACTATGCTGCAATGGAGACGATGTATAGGGACCAGACCGACCGCCTTCTTACACAGACCTCGTTGCTCGAGCAGCGGGAAGCGGAGTACCTCAGGTCTCAATCACAGTTGGCAGAGCTGACAGACTCACACGAGAAGCATATGCGGGCGTTCGAACTAGCGCGCTCTGCATTGCAAACCGCTTCGAGTCGCGCTGAGGAGATCGACACTCAGAATATGCATGCCCGAGAACAGATCGCGCAGCTGGAGACAGATTTGGCCGACCTGAGGGGAGAGCTCGAAGCCCGCACGACGGAGGTGGAGAATGCCCGTATGCGGATCCGGGACGTGGAGAATTCATGGGCGAAGTCGAGAGAGGAAGCCGATGCATTCAGGGCGTTGACCACGGGCAACTTGGGCGAGTTGCTTGACTCGTATCGGGACCTCAAGAGCGATGAGGATCGCGTTTCACATGGCCATGCTGAGAAGTTGGAAGCTCTACAGCGAGAGATCACTTCGTTACGCGACATGCTGAAAGATGTCACTCGTCGTGCCGATGAGACGCAGGAAGAGTTGACACAAGAGCGCCACAAGGCACGGGATGCAGAGACAGAGACCTCATCGCTTCTCGCTCAGGTAGCAGGTCTGCGGATGCAGCTTTCCAGTGCGCTGGCCGAGAGTGGCCGGTTACGGAAAGATCTGGTGTCGAAAGAGTCCGAATACCAGGCGCAAATGAAGGAGGCTTCATCTGCAACTATCCGTTTGGACGTTATGCGCAAGTACTTGGCGGATCATGGCATTGCTGTTGATGGTGAACGTCCTCCATCCGGTGGTGCTGCATCGTCATCGCGAGTAGCGGATCTGGAGAGCAAGCTCGCAGATCAACTCCGACAGCAAGAGAATATGGAACGGGATCTGCGCTCTGCACTGCGTCAGAAAGAGGACGCTGAGACCCAGATAGACTCTTTGTCTGCCCAGTTGGACGACTTGCGTTCATCACAGAGACAGAACGGCACCGACAGTACTGCGGATATACGTGCGATAGAACTTGAACGTAAGCTTGAGGAGACCGAAGCATCGTACAAGGCACGCTTGCAGCAGCTTGAAGAGGACTACCAGCTCGCGGTACATTATGTGAAGTGAGCGTTCAAGTGGAATAAAATAACACAAGTCTGACTACTACCCGCAGAGGTACTGAGAAGATGATGCGCAAAATGAAAGAAGAGCTGAACAGGCAGAAAACGCTCAATCAAAGCATGCAGGTGGAGCTCGATAGAGCATCCAGCACGGAGCCGGGCTCGCGGTTGCGCGGGCTCAATGGCCACGGCCGCAATACACCCTCTCAGGAAGATAGCCATGAGTTCTTGCGCAACCAGCTCTCGGATGCGCAGCGCCAGGTCCAACGCCTCAACAATGACAATCGCGATCTGCGTGAGCGGATCGGTTCATTGGAACGGGACCTCGAGCACATGAGGGACAACGTCATCACTTCTCGACGAGAGTCTGATGAACGCTTCTCACGCATCGAGGAGCTTGAGCAAGATATCGAACGCTTACAGAATTCCCTGGTAATCGCTCGTGGAGGTCACGATAAAACAATTTTGGAGCAGTTGAGCGACGAGAATTTAACCTTGAAACGCGAAAACGAGGAGTTGTCACACAAAATTGGTCTACTTCTCGAAGTCGACCAGCCCACGTTCGGCCAAGGTCGGCCTATGTCTGATATCTCGGAGCGTCGTGCGAGCACTTCAAGTTCCGAGAACGCCATGGCATTCGAGCATCTGTCTACTCAATTTGATGACTGGCAACGGCAGCTGGCTAGTTCGATGAGTAATCGAAGGCCTCTTATGGACTATGACCCAACTTCTTCAGGACATGAGCGTACGAGATCGCGGTCGTGACGTTCTTTCGATATTTATTTGCATATACCCACCCACTCTTTTGTCGTTCGGTTGGTTTCGCGCATCTCATCATATGCTAGCTTATCATTTGCTCTCTCTTGTGAGGTATATCCGCGGTAAAATAGTAGATTAAGAGCGTACAATGCTGTACTAATCACGACGAGCCAGCAGCGCGCTGCGTCCATTCGATAGCTTTCGCTTTGACAATCTCTGCTCCCTGCTCATCACCAATCCGACGTTCTATTTCCAGCCACTTCTTAAAGAACGACCTGTCCGAGGATGTAAGCTCGAGTGACTGCTGCAATGCAGAGGAATACCTACTTCGCCTTATGACTGGTCATTTTCAGAGCAAGCACACGGTTACAAATATTTCTGCATGGCGAGATGTTCAGAATCCGTCTGTTTTCGTACGATAAACACTTACCTCAAGCTCATAATGTCGCCCTGAAGTACTTCCATATCAATGTAGACCGACCACAGATCCCAACGCTTTGGATGTGAGTCCACGATGCCTTCGAAAACCGTTTTGCCACGCTCTGGATCCCCGAACTTGTATTCTAGCTGTGCAAACTTTGAAATGGTCTTCAGGTCTGTGAACCAGGTGAGCTCATAACGGTATGAAGACAATGACATTGGCATACGCTTCCGCCTCTCCAGGCTCTGCAGACTGCGTGGAAGGAGCTTCCTTGCCTCTTCGGGCTTTCCCCGCTTCAGATAGTGTTCTCCGAACAGCGTCCACACCTTGGAGCTCTGACCGAACTTCTTGCATGTACGCTTGTATTGCTCCTCAGCTTGCTGTAAATATACGTTTAGCCGATTCATCTAGCTGTTTTGAGACCATCAACATACTTCGTCTCTACCGCTTTGGTCAAGGATCGCAGCCAAGCGCAGATGGACAGTCTTCGAGTCGTTGTAGCGCGCTGCCTCTTTGAACGTAGCTTCAAGCGTCTCTTCTGTACCGTACACGTTCTCCAAGTTCAGAAGGGCAATCCAGATGTTCAGCTTCTCCTGCTCTTCACGAAAGTTGATCGTTCGAAGAGCTCGTCGAGCAATCTCACGTGCTTTATCCACTTCAGAGATCTGGAGCTGGAAGGACATGTATTGGACCCAGAGGTAAGAAGAGTTGGGAGACCCGAGCAACACTCGTTCGAAGTCGGCGTTGGATTCTGGGACCTTGGAATGCATATCTGCAGTAAAGTCTTGCTCGATCTCCTTGCGTTTGCGTTTCTTTTTCTTTTGGCCTTTATCCTCCTCTTCATCTGACGAAGATGTCATCTCAATGTCCTCCTCGTGGCGTTGTTCAGCGGACCATTGGAAGCCTTCCTTGAGATTCAAGAACGCAGTGAAGCGGTCTTCTATGGCTGCGTTCACTTGAGCTACTGATTGCTGCAGCAGAGAACCATTTTCTAGATCGATGTCCAGCCCCATGTTCTCATCCATAACTTGTTCTGAGTCCTCGTCAGACGCGTCTTCTTGTGCCGCCATTATGTCTTCGTCATCGACCTCGCCATCATCGATGGCACCGAGTCTTTTCGAATCGTCATCAGTATAGTCTTCACTCTCGGCTCCGGATCGGAAATCTTCTTCAGCAAAGTACGACGGCTTGAGACCGAAGGAAAGACGACGTTTCTCCTGGTCGATCGATAAAATGACAGCCTTCACCTGATCATCTATTCGGAAGCTATGCAATGCCAATGTGACGTCGGCATCGGGATTGTCTGAGAGCTAGAATGTACAGTGAGATGGAAGGAAATTATGCAAATAGCACCAGTACACACCTCAGATTTGTGACATAGGCCACTAACCTTCGAACCTTTGATCTCGATGAACAGACCGTACTCCTCGATTTTCTTAACACGACCATCGACCTTCTGCCCTTCGGAGAAATCACCGATCACGAAACCGGACTGCCCACCTTTCCTCGAATCTGAGGACCGGAACGATAGCTCGACTTGCTTCTTATTATGATCGATGCTATACCATAGGCTCGGTGAGTCAGCGAGTTCAACTTCCTCAAAGATACATACTGCGTGATGCGGCCTTTAACGAGTTGATCAACCGCAAAATGGCTCTTCCAGTCTTTCACGTACTAACTCATGAAATAATTAGTTTGATTAAGTGATTCACTGGAAATGGGACTTGCCTCATCGAAAAGCTCCCTGATTTGCACTCGTGCATCGATGTCACGACCCAACGTCACAAAGAGCCCGTGCTCGGCAACGCTCTTTATGAAACCTCTGACAGTATCGCCCACTTTGATGTCGTGGAGGTTCGAGATCTCTCGATCAACTACTACCCTGTCCTCGTCTTGATTGAGACGTGAAGGCCTTGTGGACAATGTAAGTTGTCCCTTGGCCTTGTCAACTGCGATGACGACCACCTTAAGGGTGGAATCGACAGGAGGGAGGAACGAGCCAGATTCATAATCGTCACAGGTGTCCGTGGGATGAATTGTTCCGGAGATCGAGTTCGTGAACTTGACCAATGCACCTCGGCGTACATGGCGGACCACACGGCCGACCAACACCTGACCAACTTCAACAGTATTCAATCTTAGGTCTGGATTCTGAGGCAACAACTGCTTTTCCTTCGGCTTTGTGGCAACCAGCACAAAGCCCTTCTCTGGATTGCGTGAGACGACCACGAGGTCCTCTAGCTCCTCACCAACCTTGAGCGATGCGCGAAGTTGCGCGAGAGGTAAGCCACGGCGGTTCGCGAGGTTGATCAGAGAGAGAAGCGCTCGAACTTGGGTCGGCTGCAACGTCACGAGCGCCTGCTCCTTGTGGATCTCCGCAATGACCCCTTCCACAGAGTCGCCGATTTCTACTCCGTTGATGTTCGAAACATTCTTTTTGAAGGTTGGAGATGCCTGTCGAATGCTCGCAAATATGCGTTTACTTTCAGGGTCAACGGAGATGACCTTGACCTGCACGGCTTTGCCGATAGGGAACGCTTCTGACAGAGATTTCAGCGCAGTCTCGCTGTCAACGACGATGTCAGCGACTTTGTCTTAACTCAACAAAAAATGAGCACGGACCTTGCTTCTCGGGCTGGAACGAAGGCCATTACGTTGTTGTAGAACTCGACGTTCAAACCTTTATCTGTAACCTTGAAGACCACGGCATGCGTCACCAAATCGACTACGGCGTCTTCTGGCTTGGAAATTATTGGCAACTTCGACTCCAACAGAGTCTTTTTCGCAGTAAGGACGATCCGCTTACGCTCAGGATTAACTACGAGAACCTAGACGAGGTCGATAATGTCCAAAAATTGCCCATGAGGAATCATGACACACTCACCCGACATTTTATATTCGATCCTGCCATGAACCTCTTCTGAGGATGTTTAAGCACGATATCCGCATAGTGGTTCGGCCATATCACAGCATCCACACTGCCCGAGATAGATACGAACAGCGCAGAATCAGTGAGTCTTTTGACGGTCCCCCGAACAAGCTCCCCAACCTGAACCTCGCCAACCTGCAAGAACTTCTGTTCCAGTACAGACTGTCGTAGGGATAGCTGCAGATAGCCGTCGAACGGGAAATAGCCTGTCACGCGGCCTTTGTGGACGGTTCCAATCTTCCAAAGTCCCGAAGACGGTGACAATGATGGAACATGATCATCTGATGTTTGAGATATCTAGGAGTTTAGTTTGTAAGCGACAACCGCGCACATGTGAGATAGGAAAAGGCAAGAACATACGTGCACAAAGCCCATCACTCCAGGCGACACTTCTACGACTAGACCGCGTTCACTTTCCACCCTGATAACCTTGACAGCCTCAAGAATCGTTCCAATGGGGAAAGCAACTTGTAACTCCTCCCCTTGCTTATCCTCAGAAACCCTTCTGACGTCGAACTTGATGACGTGCGGGGCCAATGACAGCGCAAACCTTGGCGGACTCGACAGACCAACATCGTACAGAACTCGCGCCTTGAGTTTTTTCCCCACCTTATAGTTCTGCTCCACGTCACCAAGCGGCATCTGATACCGGTCTACGGTTCCACCAAAGTATCCGAGCACTTGCAAGTTGAGTCCATCAGGAAGTACGGCAATCACCAGAGACTGAACCAGCGTCCCTGGGAGGATAGATGTGACGCTCGAGACCTCAGATAGCTGGGGGAGGGGGAGGGGTTCAGAATACATTTAAGAATCGATCGGCATCGTGTATATGATCCACGTACCGATGCATCACGAAATGCTGCTGGGTCTACAGATAAGGAATAGGTTCTTCCATTTCCTGACACTTTCGTTATGCAAGCGTTCACAACGCGTCCGACTTCGAGCACATCCCCTTCGAAAGGTTCCTTCTTGGCTTCCTTGAATGACAGGAATCCTGAGACGTCAGGAATGCCTAGGTTGAGTATATATCCATGGTCCTCCACGCTTTTGATTGCTGCGGTCAAAGCCTGCGCTACCAGTTCAAGGTGAATGGTATAGTGTGATACTAGGGTCATAACGTACGAAGCCGGGACGAAGATCCGTCTTCAATACTCCAGCATTGACCTTCTCGGGAACTAGGCTCAGCTCGACCCTTCGGCTGGCCTTTTGTACCTGGTCGTGATCACGTCCAAGACCTCTTGTGTTCGTGGTGCCAGCAGGATGAATCATGGACACTATAGTGCGCACATATTGCCCAGGGTGGAAGATCTGAGACAATTCCGGAACGCGGGGTTTTGAACTGCCTTCTTCCCCGTCCTCAGAGAGCTCCTCGTCCGCATCCTCCTCTAATGACTCCAGTAGAGACGTGAGCTGGGATGAAACCTCTGTGATTGGGACGTGGCCAAAGAGCTGATTGGGCAGAGAGATGATGAGGGCAAGAGGTTGCACTGAGACAATCTGACCCAATAGCTTCATTCCTACGGTGATTCGCTGCGATGGATCAGCAGCAACGCTAAGTTGTACATGATATTTGACTCATACCTTGTAGTTCAAGTGCTCTATGCGTAATGTCTCGCTTCTAGTCCTTTTACTCTCTTTCTCACTGACAACTTTTCTGTCTCTGCGCTTGCCGCGATATTCCGGCTTTTCCTGCTCGAGTAAATGCATGAGCAAATTAAGTATATTTATTGCTTACCTTGAAAATCTTCTCATTGGCTTCCTTCACGGCCTCGGCACGGATGGCTTTGACCTCCAAGGGAGTAAGACTTGTCCCACCACCGCGAGGAAAATCCACCTCCTCCGTCAACAAGATAGATGCAGATGAAGATGGGTTGTCAATCTTCTCCGCAGACTTCTTTGGCTGCCCAGTCGTCTTTGGTCTCTTAGCCTTGGGATGGGTAGACGCATCGTCCAGAACGCGTTTCTTGCCTGAGGCCATAGTTCGTACACTGCGTCGGGAATACTTTCAAATGGTATCGAGAAGAGGGGCAGCAAATATAGGGAAGTTTTAGCTGTCAATTCAGTGTCCAATGGTGGTGGTAATGTCGCAGGACGCGAGTGGCGGGACAAGGGGAGAAGACAAGCACGAGCAGACCAGCTTGCATTCGAGCCAAATTTTCAGCCACCGGACTGATCGGGATCTAAGATTCGTCCACGTGGGTCGAGATCTCCGCGGATGTTATTGCTCAGCAGTGTGGCGCCCGTCCTTGCCTTAAACGACAACCAACACACTTCCAGCCGACTCTGCGCATTTCTCAGCAGTAGGCTTCAAAAATGGGTGAGCTGCAATGCTTTATATTCCGTGACGCGTATGATGAGCTCATGTTCTGCCTGTGTTAGATTACCAGGTATGTTGGCAGGCCACCGATGTGGATTGAGACTCATGCAATCTGTAGAATCGAGTTGGTTCCAAGTTTGGAGGAGGAGGTGTTGCCGGAGCGTCCGAGACCAATGTTGATAGGCGTGAACGTCTTCGTAAGCTCGCGCTCGAGACGATTGATCTAGCGAAGGTACGTCCGTATATGATTCTACACCTTCATCTTTTTCATCGCTGCTGTTCAGGATCCGTACATCCTCCGCAACCACCTGGGCTCCTTAGAATGCCGTCTATGCCTGACGCTTCATACAAATGAAGGCTCATATCTTGCCCACACGCAAGGAAAGAAGCATCAGACCAATTTGGCTCGCCGAGCTGCTCGCGATCTCAAAGAGACGCAGTTGATGATCGCGCCGGCACAAACCAACGTGCAGCGTAAAGTCTTCTTGAAAATTGGGCGGCCCGGTTACCGTGTCACCAAAGTTCGTGACAGGGACACTGGTAAAGAGGGCATGATGGTCCAGGTGCATCTGCCGCAAATCAAGCCTGGTGTCATCCCTAGAAGGCGGTTCATGAGCGCCTGGGAGCAAAAGAGAGAACCACCAAACAAAGCATATCAATATCTGATAGTACGTGAGCACATCATGCGAGTAGAATACTAAAGTAACATTGTCCTAACAGGTCGCAGCTGAGCCGTATGAAACCATCGCATTCCGCATACCCGCTCGGGAGATCGAGGATGAGTCGGATGATGCTGGTTATTGGAATTGGTCACACTGGGACCCCGATACCAAGCAGTACAGTTTCCAGTTCATGTTCCGCCTTCACTACTAATTGTATGTCCCATGACGCGTGTAATATATTCTCTTGACATGATGCGATGATCAATAGCCAGTGGTTTTCACATTCCCAAGATGCGCTACCAAGAAATTGACGCAGATTGCCCGGAGTATCTAAAAGTCACACTCAACGAATCCATCATAGCTTGATGCCCCAGTATGAGTGATGCAAGCTACGTACACTGCTTGTTAGCATCTTTTTTCGTGAAAAGAGCGGACATTGCTTACCGCAGAAATCACCAGAATCATCGTAAATGACACGGTCGGCTCCGGGGCTGCCACCGACATACACTTCGCCAGACTCGAGAGGGTATTCGTAGTACTCGCCGCTGCACGATGGGAAGTCGAAACCCTTGTAAACTCATCAGTGTCTTCGAGGAATCGCGTAGAGAGCCCTCTCTCCTCACCTCATAGTCATGGTATTGGTGAGGATAGTCGCTGCATTTTCGTGAGTGTTGCCCTATATCAAGCGGAATATGGATGCTAACCCTGCGCCTCCATCCTCAGCTTCATCAATGGCATCAATGATGTCGTCGTAGCTGTAATGATTATCTAAGAAGGTAAGGCGGTCAAGCATCAACGTAATGTTCCCAGTGAAAAGTACCGTTCGCGTTCTTACCGCTGCAAGTGCAGCCGCTCGACTGACGCTTTGCAACGAACGCAGCGGCTTGGCCCAGCATGAGCGTGCCGAGCACGACGAAGAAGGCTGACAATCTCATGATACCGGAAGGGACGCGTCAATGATTCGCGGGGAAGAGGGAGAGACGTCGGCGATCCTGCGGACGCGAATGTACGCTCTTGCGGGGCTTTATACCTCACGATGGGATGCCGAGCCTGAAGAACGTTCGCATCCTGCATACACGCATGCGGCTCTTCACGACGCCTCCATATGCCCCCATCAAGAGCGCATCATGGACATGTAACAGCAACGCTGCTCCGGGGTTCCTCTAATGGCACATCACGCTGGGAATAAGGCATTGAGATAGAACGTTCTATTATGTGGGTTTTGATTGGCCCAAGCACACTGCATATGCTCGCTTAGCTTGGAAGGGAAGCAACTATTTCCACATCGCTTCCGACTATAGCTAGAGCTCCGGCACTGCTGCAAGCCATTGCACGTCGCGACGATCTGCTTAAGTTTTGATGCACCGGAGACAAACGACTTATCGACGCACTGTGTACTGCTGTGCATGTGCAGTGACCGAAGAGTTGTCTAATAGGGCGTTATCTCAACTTCGTATATGTTCTTGGTAAAGCACGATATGGGCTTTCCGCGTGTTTCTGCACGTTCTTGCGTCCTGCCATGGCGTCGGCAACGTCGACGTCCACATGCTCGCATGTAATGAACGTGCTCTCTCGAAGACGAGTGCATTTGCTCGAGGTACCGTGGATCCCTTCGCGCTGATGTCCCTTGCTCGCCAGAGCAAGGCTCTCAGCCTCGAAATGAACGCCGAACGCTTTCCACTGTTTGGCAGTATTTGCTCAGGGTGGCTTACCGTTCTCTGTCACTAGCAAATGCAATGGAGGCAATTTTTTCTCAAAGGTAAGACACCAGTTAACATTTACTACACCTTATGCACTTGTTACACGGCATCTAAGGCGAGCAAGGGATCTGCCGCCAAGGGCGGCACTTCTCGAGTAGTAACTTGCCACGTTATTTCAATTCCCGCTCTCGGAGCTGCTGGCCACCCGCCACGCAGTCACGATGGTGCCGGTATGGGGCGATGTATGCGGGATGTTCGCCGATCTCGCAATACGACCTGAAGAAAAAATGAATCCCAATGAAATCTTGAGTAGACACAGCCGTAAATAACGGATACATTAACTCGTGATGTGTGCAAAATTAGGGTACTTTGAGAGCACGGAATCATCTGGATACAACAGAGACAGATCAGTTACACGAAGAGTACAGTTGCAGTCTACAAAATTCCATCGTGAAAGCAGGTCCTAAGCAAGAACCAAAGGGAATACAAAACGGGACATAGCTAATAAGTGTAGAGATAGAAACGTTTTGAGTCAGTTGATGCAAAATGCACCATCGGTATAACTTTACGAGCGTTCGGCTGATTTCTTCGAGGGCGACCGCCTGCACTAGTCAAGGCTGTCCGAGTTCTTCAGTACGGTTCTCTTCATTTCGTTAATTTCCTGCCCAGTTTGCTCAACTTCCTCCCATGTTTCTTCTCTCCACGGTCGTGGTCGTTCTCGTCCTTGCATCGGTCTCGAGGCCACAACGCCGACGCGACTTTCTCGGCCTTCGCTTTCCCACCTCCATCACGAGTGTCGACGACCCGAGCGGCGAACATCGCAGTGGTTGCGGTTGATGCCGGTGGCTCAGGAGCGGGTACATTGTTCGCCGTCCGCTTGTGCAGGACATTCGGTCCAGTCATGGGTATCGCTTCTGCGCGACCCTGAACAACCTTCCTCGCACGCGTCGACGCCGGATCGTAGTAACCTGTGTGAGACACGGAGTGGTGGAGTACATGTTTGCCTGAATGGACATGGACATCGGTTCGTCCACCGTGACCCTCGTCAGATCGTGCAGTCCTGCCCATATATGGAGCTATGACAAACTGGTCCTGCTGCTGTTGAGCCAGACCAGCCTTTCGCTGCTCTTCCAATGGCTGCAACGGTGCAGGCATGACAAGCTGCTTGGGCAGGTGACTAGGAGGCAACGATGACTGCATCTGCCAACTGGGTGGTGGACGACGTGGCGGAAGCTGTATATCAGGCCGTTGAAAGCCTGCCGCCTGAGAAATAAGATCGGCATTCGTGCTCGTCGAGGATGATTCATTCGACCCAGGATAGTTGGAATGCACTTGCGGCTGACCAACGGGTGGCTGTGCAGTATGAACGGGTACCCGCGAAGGCTGCTGTACAGGGAATGGCACACTGGATGTATCAGCAGAAGGCTGTTGCGCACCCGCACCCGCGTTATACCCCTCGTCAACGGAGCCCTGATTCAAGGGAGGCTTAACCTGCGGCCTCGTGGGAGACTCAAACCTGACATGCGGTCGCTGAGAAGGACGCTGCTGCATCAGAGGCTGACTAGGAGTTTCAGCATTGGGCTCCAGGCTGACGGTGTCCACAGGTACTGGCACGCGGCGAGGAGACCGACGAGTTGAAATTTGTGACGTGGAGGTAGGCGGCTGCTCTTCAGTGGTTGGGACAGGTCGAGACTGAGTCTTGCCTAGGTGATGCGCCCCATGTGCACTAACGCCCTGCGAAACGGGCGGGGGAGATGGCGCCACAGAAGCGTAGACAGACTCATTCTGTGGATTCAGGCGAGAAGTAGCGGTTTGAGATGAAATCTCGTTATATGGAGTTGACAACGGAGGGTAGGACGACGTCGCTTGCGGTGGTACATATGGAGCCTGCGCTGCCTGAAACAGCGCACCAGTAGGGAAAATCTGCCCAGGTTCAACACTGAAATGGTTTGCGGAAGGTTGAGGGATAGGCAGCTGCCACCAACTTATAAGTCTCAATCTCGCGACTTGCAACATAAAACGTACCGTCCTTTCTCTGCTTCTGTCATGCTTACGCTGGGTGCCATTTTCGTTCGCAGTCCCCACACCTATCATTCCCGAACCATCCTTCTGTCGGCCGACTGAGCGCGCAATCGCCTCATACGGGCTTTCATGATGCCAAGCCAAGCCTCGCGGATCGGTCTCATCGAGCTCGTCGATACGGTCAAGGTCGCGTGGAGCGCTCACGCTCGGTCGCCGGCTGCGATTGCGCGGGACGTTCTGTACAGGCTGCACGTCTCTGCTCCGTCCTCGTTGCTGTTCACGAGGCGTGGTATGCGATTGACTGCGACTCGGAGCCTGAGAAGATGCATTTACGGGGGGCGCTGGGGGCGCAGGTACTGTGGCGGAACGCGCAAGGCGTTGAGACGCAGGAATGGCGCGGCTGTGGAGTTCAGGTGAAGATTCGTTATGCAGAGGAGGTTCGGGCCGAGTTGGTATGGGTTCGGACGCGATTGCGACCGGATTGGGCAAAGGCGCTTGGGCAGATCGGCTCGGATAAGCATGGGCAAGAGACGAGCTACGCGGTGGCGGGACGACAGAGACAGCAGGCGGTGGAGGAAGATGAGATATTTTGTACTCATCGTTGACTGGTGCTGCGGGAGGGAGGGCAGTCTTTGAAGCCACTGAAAGGGGGGACCCACGTGGGGACGACGATGTAGACGAAGGCGAAGACGTTTCGGGCGTGCGCTGAACAAGGAAGGGCTCAATACCGTCGATCGAATCGGAATAGATACTAGATGTGCGATACGTAGCGGGCGGCTGCCACACGGTGTGAAGAGGAAAGACAGAACTGGCAGAGATGGTGTGCGTGCTCGCTCTCGATACAGAAGGGACCACATCTCGAGAAATTACGCGTGGGGTAAAAGGAACATAAGGCGCAGATTGTGCTCGAGGATGCTGTACGGACAGGTGGGACGAATCACTAAAACCAGGCTGGAGCATTCGCGGGACCTGTGAGAACGGTAACGGCTGTGATTTCCACGCGTTGGTCGCGTCAGCGACATGTACATGAGGCGGTTTGGAAGGAGCGGCAAATGCAGCACGTATCTCCTCGGTCGTAGTCATGACGAAATGAGGATTGCGGCGTGGATCGGGTGAAAAGGCAGGATCGTCGAGCATACTCTGTGGAACGGGGCGTTCCTGCTGAGCCATTAGTGGTGCGGGAATCGTGAAGGAATGATGCGCAGAAAACGCAGGCGTAGGCAGGGGACTAGATGACCAAGACATGGGCGTATATGGAGGGGGCGGCGACGATGCGGAACCGCGTGAAGAAGGCCGCGCTACGAACGAGTGGAGGTCGTGGATGTGGTCATCGCCTACGAATTCAAGGATGTCTGCATCCAGCATGTTCGGGTCGTTGTGAAGGCCATCCTCATAATGATGTACAGCGAGCATGGGCCCTCGGTATGCCATGGCTGGGACGGGCGAGAGGCGTGGCAAGGAAGCGAGAGACGAGAAGGCAGATATTGTCCATCAGGCGCCCGTGCATCACAATGCCTCGCCACGCCAATTCAGGAAACGGCCACGTGCTCCGTCAATAACGCGTCTCGGACGGGCCACCTCCTGCCACCTCTCTTCCCACTCTGCCATGGACCTCGCCTCTCTCCGCGCAGAAATCAAGGCTTGGGAGCGCGAATTTAGGAGCAAATATACGCGCGACCCCACCATCCAGGAGATCAAAGACAGGCCAGACATAGGTACTCTCTCCAGTCTGTCTCCAGTCTTCTCCGAGCCTCACTTTTGACGCCATCGCAGCGGCCAAGTACAAGCTCTACAAGTCTCTATCCAAGTCATCCTCATCCAACGGCACTCAATCGTCTTCCTCGCGTCATGAGATACCTTCGGGGTCGCAGTCGCGTCAGGCGATCCATGCATCAACATCTTCGTTGCTTCCCAAAGCTCGCGCGGTCAGAGTCGATCCTCCGCTTCAGACGTCTAATCCCTTCTCTCCTGTCAAGAAGAAGTATAAATACCTCAATGAACACGTCCTCTTGACTAATGGGCCACCGGATTTGGCACAGTATCCCCCACGTCCAGATCCGTTTGCAACTCCAACGAAACCGAAAGCACATACGAAGACCAAAATCTCAGCCCCCCAGCGCTCGCCTTCGCCGGATCCATTTCCCCTGATTGAACTTACTCAGCCGAGGCAGCCTCCGCCCGCTGACCCGCATACTCCCTCTGTTAAATCTGCGGTTACTCGGGCCCGCAAGCGCCTTCGCGGTGAGCCGGTCTCGCCATCACCTGTCAAGGAGAAGCGTGTACGAGTCGGCTCTCAGAGTGCATTGAAATTCTCCAGTACATTGCTTGACAGCGACGAAGACGAAATTGACATCCCCGATCAGTCCGCCGAGGATGCCGAAGAGACTTCCCTGGAAGCTACGCCCATGAAACCGCCGCCTGGAGACAAGGCTTTTTGCGTGCTCTTTGATGAGGTTCTGCCAAGTCCGCAGAATACCTCGAGGCAGCCTCGCACTCGCTCACTCTCACGCAATAAATGTACGATTAGCAAGCTCCACCTATTCGGCGTTAGACGGTCTCCTTCCCAGGCTCTCTCACCGTCGTCACCGGAGGACGAGGAGAATTTTTGGGCCACTAGTAGCAGTCGGAATGGTCGCATGACGTCTAGAAACGGATTCATGGCAGCCAAGACCACGGACACTCACCAACCAAGGCGGTTGAATGAAGCAGCGAAGACTGGCATTCCCAGGGCTGTACTACCAGGAAAGGACGATCTCTGGTCCGATGTTCCATCCATAGGAAGGCCGACGGCAAAAGGGAAGCCGTCCGCGACGTCCAACGGTAAGACTACCTTAGATGATAGGATGTCCCCAGCGGTGAAGCGCCGACATCCCGGCAATGAACCTGAAGCTTACATTGGGACTTCAAATGTCAATGACGACAGCAATTCCCAACGTATCCCCTTGGTCCCTCCGTCTCCGCCTCCTGCCGAATCTTCATCGCAATCATTTTTGGGCAATGCCAAAGATAAGGGCAAAGGGAAAGCAGCGGCCGCATTTAGCCGAAAGAAGGCGAAACTACTTGAGCAAGTAGGTGGCGAGGAGAGCGACGATGATAGTACGGAAGAGGACAAACACGTGAAGGTCGTAGAGCGTGCACGATCATCGCATAGACTGCCCTCTGCCGCTTTTGTGGACGAATTGGACGATCCGGAGTTCCAATGGCCTGCACAGCCAGTACATCCACCTGACTCCCCACCATTAGACAGCCTGGATGTAGAGGCAGGGAAGACGGAGGTGCGCTTACCCGATGAACTCAGGCGCATACTCGCCTTGTCTCCTCGAAGGGACAGCGTTCAGGAAGAGCAGCGTCTAGTAAACGGACTGTTGTACGGTCGGAGAGAGACACACTATGATGTCAAAAGGGGAGAGATTTGGGAGGTAGGAGAGATAAGTGATGGCTTTGACGGAGTGGATGAGGAAGAAGAGGACTGGGAAGGAGAGCCGGTGCCTTGGGAGGTAGCAGAGCTTTAGCATTCGCTCCGGGTAGTGAGATTCTGGGCCTTATTTTGGCTTTCAAGGGGGACCGGAAGGATCGTACGTTCTTCAGCCATGTGTCATCGGTTCATCACCAGGACGCTAATATATATCGCACGTTATTACCACTGCAGGGCATATATTAAAGCATGTACCTCGTTACGAGGAGCATACCAAAGATGCTATTGGACATACCAATATTCTTCTGTCAGCAGTGAGAATCTCGAGGTGCGTAGTGAGCGTGGTCCGGAACTAACGCGCGGCACGTGTAAAGTAATGGGCGGCCATCGTGTCGTGCGGCTTCTTACGGCGCAGGCCCAAGGACTGAGACCTCGCTGGTGCAGCATGCAGACTGTATATTGCCGCTCTTCACAGCCTTTCACAACGTGCCTTCAATGTCGTTATGGATCTTAATATTAAGTTCTCGCCAGGTTACTCCGAGGTACGTTCGAAACGTTCCTCAAGTAGCTGTGCACATCGTTGTACCGTTATTCCCTTCGCCTTGCGCATATTAGTTGACGTAGGTCCACATCTAATCTCATTAACAGTCCGCTGATTCCATCCACCGAACAGCCACCAACCTGCAGCATTTCGGACCCCAACCTGACGTTCCACGCGCTGCATCGTGCATAAGTACTCATTCAGCCCTGCAAACGCCATGTCTTCTCCTCCAAGCCTCTCGCGACATTCTTCACTCGCAGAGCGTATCTCGTCCGTGCTACCGCCAATCCGTTCGCGCCTTCCAAGCCTGCGCTCGCGCAAATCGACCACTTCCATCTCCTCGCGCGTCCAACCCAATCAACGTTCGAACGCACGCCACCGCCCCTACTCTGTTTATCAACAAACCATGTCTCCAATAATTCTCCGTGATCCTGACACACTGAACAAGCTGCTCGTGGCTGTGCTTGACAGCCCCGGTGGGCGGCGCTCACTTTCGCGCCTGGCGCGCACATGCAAGGCTATCAAGGAGCCTGCATTGAACGTCTTGTGGCGTGACCTCGACTCGCTCACGCCGCTTCTTGGCCTTTTCCCTCACACGCTTCTCAAACGTGCTCGTCGACCGGGCCTTGGTCTGGTATGTATCTTCATCGATACCTGCCCTCATACAATACTCATCTGCAGAATCCACAGACGAAAAACCCGGAGCCAGATGACTGGGCCAAGCTTTTAGCATATGGCGAACGCGTTCGCAGCATCTCGTACGTAGAGCCTTCCGGGGCTATCTCCCCGTCGATCTTCCCTATCTTGGACGAACTCCGTCCAAGGACATGGATACTTCCGAATCTTACCTCATTGACATGGAAGTCTGAGACTTCCGCAGGCTTGGAGCGCTGCAGGCTCTTCTTGGGACCTGAGCTTCAGAATTTGACGATGGAAGTGGGTACGAAGCATCCGAAGCTTCACGATCTCTTAGTCGAGATTGCGTCCCACACTGGTCTCACCTCCTTCGCATTCACCCTGCATACCAACCTACCGGACAACTTTACGGATATCTTCGAACACAACGTTGCACTCGAGAGAGTCTCCATTGCTGCTCCTGGCGCCGTATCTGCGCGCATTGGGAGGTGGGCTGCATCCCTACCGCGTTTGCGTAGCTTCCATATCGACCTCAACAATCGCACCACAACCGCTGTTGAGGGGTTCTTCGACGAGATCAGCGTCGACTCCGGCTTTTCGACGCCCACTTCAGTTGGAGGGACAGATAGCGGTGTGGCCTCAAGCGACGAGCTGGATTTCACCAAAATCCGCAAATCGGCAATGCGCCTCACGCGCGATGGTTCACTTCGCGGCGCGTTCGCACAACTATCCCACCTGCAGCTGTCTGGTGAAGCCTCGAATATCTCGGCCTTTTTGAAGCATCTTACGAGCCCGCTCGTCCACCTTGAACTTGCTATAGACGACCCACCGGACTCGGATGATTGGCAGGACGTGTGTGCATTGATATGTGATCAATTCTCGTTTACCCTACAGGCCCTCCGCGTTGGTCCAACCCCCGCGGCGCGGTTCTCAGAACTGGTGCGCTCAACCTCCAGAGGAGGGGATGCACCTCTGTACCACTTGCCACTCGTCCATCTGTCATCGCTTCCTGTCTTACACCGTCTTGACATTGATTTGCCTGAGTCAGTTGTCTTCCTGGACGAGGATGTGGCGCATCTGTCCAGGATGTGTCCCTCGTTGGAGACCCTACGGCTCTGTCCGCTCGCACGCTTCCCTCCAACCTTGGGTGCGCCTCCCCTGACACTGAGTGGCCTTGCGCCCCTGACTCGTAATTGCCGCCGATTACATACTCTCGCGGTAGTCGTCAACGCACTTGACGGACTGGAAGAGATTTACGAATCACGGTCCTCATCTTCACGGTCGCTCCTCCGGCTTCAGGTTGGCAACTCCTGGATCAAGGATCCTTTGCAGACATCCATCCTCTTGAGCCACCTTGCTCCACGTCTGGATAGCTTAAAGTGGTTCCACGAAAAGAACCGCGCCGGCGTCGTCGAGGCGAATGCGGTCGCATGGCAGAAAGTATCCGAATTCCTGCCGCATTTACAGAAAGTCCGTTTGATGGAGAGGAAGCAACAGCCGCAGCCTCAAGTATACGTACCTCCTGAAACGGCAGAGAAAGGAGTTGACGCGATCGTCTCCACCATGGAGCAGGGCATGCTGGCGTGCCCTGAGGTCGTCGACGGCGAGGTACAAGCCACGGTCAAGATGGTCGATTGTTCGGTACAAATCAGCCCACAAAGGACGTCAGTGTCCGTTGACGCCACCCCTGTGCTTGTCGATACTGGAATCCTTTTTGTCCCAACGCTCGTGGAACAAGCGGTGGATGCATGCCCTGCAACCGACGAAATGTCAAACGATTATGACGACGATGGCTCATCAATTGACGAATATGAGATGACCTCCTCGATGTTCTCATATCTCCAGCTGCCGGCGACAAGCTTGCGATCGTTGAGTTACCGTGTCGCTCAAATCTACAAATTCCCTTTCAACTATGTTTTCTCTCTCATGCCTTCGGGGTCATCACGAGAAGACTCTGAAAGCACGGTCGACTCAGACGTCGAGCACTTGTCAGGAGAGCCATCGGACTCGGAGGAGACCGAGTTGGAAAAGAGGGCGAGCGGAACATCGGAGGATTTTTCGCAATCTATGGACGTCTTTCACGTCGGTCTATGATCCTTCATCTTATTATTTGCTTTATACTTACGTTCACGTATCTTGCTCGGACTATCGTAGGACACTGTTTATGACTATGCGTATGCGGTTGAACATGCTATTTCTGCTGACGCTATCAGTCACAAAAGGCCTGATCCCAGTCTCGATCTCCAGGTCAGTCCGCAGCCACAAGCGCGACATGTCGCGGAGATCGAATCGTCAGATCACGTGCACCGTAAACACTCCATCGCCCGAAAAGGCAACCTGGGTACGGACGTAAGCGCGACGCGTCAGTCCATCGACACGACCATCCGCACTGCGAGTCTACTCATCTTCCCAGCCTCTGCCTCGCAATATAACATGGCTGAGCCCAGGAAACAGGAAAAAGATTATACTAAGGAGGTTGATGAGCTCTTCCCAGAAACAAGATCGCTAGCGGAGGTGCGTTTCGAGACATGAGTTTACAACTATGGCAGTGACCATAGCATGTCAAGATAGGCTGGCAAGCTGCAAGATGCTCTGGACAAGTTGTTTGCATTAGAAAAGCATGCAAGAAATGTTCGTGTCTTTGCAATGCAGATGCGTTGTACCTTCGTGCTGATGTTAATCAGGCTTCTGATGCGGCCTCTACTACAAGGCTTGTGAAGGAGATCTGTGAACTTTGCTATCAAGCCCGAGATTATGCCCTTCTCAACTCCAGCATCTTGAATCTCAGCAAGAAACATGGTCAGCTCAAAGTTTCCATCCAAGCTATGGTGGAGCAAGCTATGGGATGGCTGAGCGAGATCCGGGAACGCGAAGGAGATGAAAAGTGGCTGGAATTGATTGAAACGTTGAGAAACGTCACGGAGGGCAAGGTACGCCCCATATCAGACGTGCACGACGGCGAACATAATAGTTTGCGTAGATCTTCTTGGAGACGCCGCGCGCGCGCGTCACACTCCAGCTAACGCATCATCATGAATCGCTCGCGAAGTCGCCCAGGCTCGGTTCACCGCCTGCGAAAGTCTGCCTTCAAACAGCCTCTGATCTGCTTTCCGATCTGCAAGTCGAAACGTACTCGTCCATGGAGCGAAGAGAGAAAACAGAGTTCATTCTCGAGCAGATGCGATTGCTGATTGCTCTAGCACTGGTGAAGGACGCGGAGGTTGGCCAGGAGGGATTGAAGGATTCCATTGGCGGTGGCGAGGCGGAATGGGTTAAGGTTCGCGTAGGAGGCAGGAAAGTCAACGAGTCTTTCTTGACAGAAAAGGAGAACGAGGTATGTTACCGGAATATGCGCGAACCTGTCGCAGGCTTACCTGTCATCCTAGGACCTGAAGCTGAAATATTATGATATGATGATCCAATACGCACTCAAACATGATGCTTACCTCGATGCTGCGAAGTACTATTACAAGATATGGGAGACCCCCAATATCAAAGAGGATGTGACGGGACGTGGGCGTGCAGTGAGTACCCATTGACTAACGACGTTGCAGTCCTCATCTCATTACCCTGCAGGCTCTGGAGCATATCATCTACTATGTGGTGCTAGCGCCGCACGACAACGAGCAGTCCGATATGTTGCACCGTCTATCAAAGGACCCCGCACTCGAAAAGCTGGAGCTGCAACGGTTTGTCTCTTGATTTTCTTGCAGTGCGCATTCATTGACGTTTAATCAGTGCTCTTGTCAACTGCTTCACGACTCCGGAGCTCATGAGGTGGCCAGGTATCGAGGAGATGTACGGGCCTCTGCTACGACAGACTAGCGTTTTCAGCAGTGATAAGCTGTGGGAAGACTTGCACACGCGAGTTATCGAGCATGTGAGCCGTAGTTTTACAGCTTCATTGCTCCGTCGCCCAACTGTTATCCCAGAACATCCGAATTGTCGCTCAATATTACACTCGAATAACTCTGCTACGCCTAACGGAGTTGCTCGATCTCACACAACAGCAAGCGGAGGAGACGCTCTGCCGACTGGTCGTCTCTGGCACGGTATGGGCGCGCGTTGACCGTCCAACTGGCATTGTGAACTTCCGGAGCAGCAAGAGCGCGGAGGATGTCATGAACGACTGGAGCTCGGATATGCAACGACTACTCGGATTGGTAGAGAAGACATGGATGGGCGTGAACGCAGCGCAAGCGGCACAGTCGAGGGCAGCAAAGGCATGAGTATACGCATGTAGACTCTACGACGGACATTCCCCAAATTCACCCTGTATGTCTGGTTCCCTTCTACTCGAAATAATATGCAAAAGATGATTACGTTTGTCGGGGATGCACATTAGAGAGCTGGTCGTATTTTCATATAATCCGCTGCTTTCCGCTTGATTTCTGCCTCGGTCAGCAATGGCTTGTTTGCTGGCTTCTCTGTCGTTACTCCGACGATCCCGGCTGGCGTGATCTTCCGTTCCGTAACCAGAGGAGCGTAGGTCGGCCGTATTCCTTCTTGCCACAACCGAACGTACTCCTGTCCCCTCGTCCACGATGGAGGAGGACCCTCCCTCTCCATAATCGCCTTCCACCGCTTCTTTGAAGTGCTCTGTCCCACATTCACCTCTTGCCGTTCTGTCCAAGAGTTCAGAGCCTGCTCCTCTTTGTCAAATGTGATGTCGACCACGGTGGGCCCGAGTCGGATGCCCATATACTCGGCTTCAAGAAGTGCAATCTTCTTCGCAACTTCCTGCTCTGAGCGCAAGGCACGAAATTGGGCTACCGCGGTCGAATAGGCTTCCGTCAAGGCCACCTCCTGGTAAAAGTGGAGATTCAATGCAAAACGGATAGCACTGCGTGCACGCCGTCAGAGCACGTTTGAAGACAAGGTCAACAGCTACATACTCTTCCGGCGTGGGGTTCCTCCCTCGCTGCCGTAGCCTGGTCCAGCTTATTCCCCTGATTGGATGTTCGTCCTCTATCGCTGCGCCTTCTACAAGGGTGCGCGGGCGAAAGGCCTCGAAAGGATGGTCCTGGAAGAATTGGCGCCGAATTTCATCCTCGAGGTAATATATGGGCAGAGGTCGGTTCTTATGAGATAGAGAATGAGAGGTGGGTCGGGGGGACTCTGCCGTCGGGAGGTCGTAACTGGACCGTTCTGGAGGAGCTTTTGGTGGAAGAGGCAGTGGTGGATGATCAAGAACAGCTTGATACCATGCTGGCTCTTGTTTGAGGTAGCCCTTGCGGAGTAGACGCGAAGCCTGTTTGTGGACTTGGCTTGCAACACGCCTGGACATCGTCACTCTGAGCGGAGGCCAGGAAAGTTCACGGATCGCTCTCGCGAAGCAGCCACCGACGGCAAACACACGTCAATAGTTATTGCGTGACTGTGACGCGTCGCGCTTGGCTCTCACCCGTTCTCCTACACATTTCTGCTCACCCTATAATACCCACCTTTCTAACTCATTCTCTTGAGACTTGCAGGCGTTGCCTACTTCTCTGCTTTCTTGCTCACTCTTTGCTCTGCACATCGCAGTTCGGCATACCGGTTTGACACCCCACCTCACCAGAATTTGGTCCTCGACCATGGTTCCTCCTCTCAATCCTCGACAGTATGTATCGACCCGATTAGAGTGACTGCATTGGTCATAACCACGGCTACTGAACTGTAACTATAATCTCATTAAACTCATATAATCTACTGCTGGGACAACCATAATGAGTACATCAACATTCGCTGATAGTACAAATGTCAGAATGCCGAGCTGCTATCATCCCGGCATAACCACATACCGCAATGGAACAGGAACTGGTGAGGGTTTGACGCGCTGTGAGCTCAATTGTTCTTCGGGAGTTCCTCATAGCCGTAAGTCGGCCAGGAACATTGCGTTCCGCCACTTGCTTCAGTGGGAGCGCACCCTCTAGTATCCTAAGATAAGGTGAGCAGTGGTTCCATGTAGGTCCATCAAGTACGTGCTCACAGGCTCGTCGTATTGTGTTGTGAAGATTGTGTGAGGTGAGGGGTAGAATGTCGTCTGAGCCGGGACTCGCGGACTGAAGATCATGTTGGATGTGGTGACTGAACGGGATCGTATGAAAGGCCTTGCAAGACGTGAAGACCTCAAATGTGCGCCTGGCTATGCCAAGCGCGCCATGGTGACTGAGGTTGCTTATATCCAGTCTCCCTCTTCAAGCAGCGAATCCGCGCGAGTTGCCGTCGGCGGCAGCGTCTCGATTCTTGCCCTCATGATATGCTATTTTCTATAGACTTGTCCCGCACGTGTGTGGACACGCCGGCTCAGGATCAGCCGCAGTGCTCGATCCCGTAGTGCAGGCTATGGACAGCGCTTCTATTGCTGAGAATAAGGTACCTTTGGGGAGGTATTCTATTGAGGGTTCGCTCGGCCGTCGTAGAACCATCCTATGCAGCACTAGCCTTAATCGGCAGTCGATACGAAACTCGATGAGATCCATTGGTGCGCCCCCTGGCAGAACTTCTGGGGATTATCAGATACTGATATAGATCACATAGGCTTCTATCTCGTGACAAAAGATGCAGTGCCTATATGTGACAGCAGTGTTTGATATGTCCAAAACGCGCTCTTGTATGTCAGCTGCGGAGGCTCGACAACGTCCAGCCAAGGCCCGCAGCGTCTACATCGCCGGCATCCTGCTTCAGGGACTTCCACTTGCTCACGCACATGCGGCGCATGATCACTTTGACCAAGGCCCTGAGAATTTCTTAAAATGCGTCAAAGCTTCGTTGTCTCGGAGTGTTTCAGCAAGGTGGACTTCTGACGAAAAGCTATTATATGAAGAGCTCCTTGGACACCTCTGCAACGTTGGATATCATTTCACAAACTCCATATGTTCAGCTACGCGATCGGGCCCTCTCGAGACTGTTCGATCTGCGGCGGCGCACTAACCTGGCTTCGCTACAGGCGGGGTGTGAACCCCAGAAGCTTCATCATATCGACGCCCTGACGACGCTCAAAATACCCGGGATCAGATGAATCAGGCGGTACGCGACAAGCTCCGTTGTTCCGCTCGCTAGCAGAGTCAGAACAGTTGGGCGTGGTTCTGAGTCCCGCAAGAAGTGCGCCGATGATGCGACTGGTATGACACTAAAGTCTCATGTCTGGCCACCTCCACGTATTATGTCTTTGCCAACTCTAGAACTCGGCAACGTCTCAATCATCTCATAATGGGGCCCTTTCAATTGGCTCGCATGTTAGTCTGTCAGATCCATTGGCGCCAGTGAGCAACGGATGCATCCATGCAAGGTGTCCACTCACGCCTCTCCTATTTGTGAGTAACATTTCTGACGTCAGTTGATGTATTATAGCATCCTAATTCCCCTTTTTCTAGTGGTCAGACTGTCCGCATTTTCGGAGGTAATGTTGCAGATCTCGGACATCCTCACTAATACCGGAACGCCACGATCAGTGACAAATAGCTGCGTTGCGCAGTGAGATTTTCTACTTTGGTTGAAATTTGTAGGGCTAGTTTGCTCCGAGAGTGCTCAGAACGCTGAGTGATGGCACAGGCATCAGCCAGGACCTATCCTCAGGGCCTAGGGTACGACAGCTTGAGGCTTTCAGTGAGACACTCAAGCATTCCGGTGTCTGCCAAGCAAGGCAGTCCGATAAGATGATGCCAAACAACGGATACTTGATCTTGATCAGAGACTGAGTACTGATACGCGGCAGGACCCTCTCTAGCAGAATCGCCAGGTGACGGCAATATGATTTATTTTCCGGTCTGAAGCCCTGCAGGTATAAATACGCCCGCGCCGTCGATACTACTACTGACCCTTAGTCTAGAACCCCAGATATCACGCTACGCTCGACTTTTCCAACTCATAACACATTCATCGCCATGGCTGTGAGTTCAGCAATCAACGCATGCTCGTGTTCGCGTAGCTGAAGATGTTGCAGGATAGCGTGAAGTGCGCCAATACCGAGGCCAATGGCGGCACCTGCTCCTGGCCCACCTGCGGCTGTGCCGAGCCTCCAAAGAGCAAGCAAAGACTTATTTGTAGCCAGCTCGATGCGCGGTGACGCCGTCTCGAGGTGAGTTTTGGAAATTGGCGTGTTCACTACAGCCGATACTCACGATTGTACTGTTACAGACCAATACGTGTAAGCTTTCTTAGTTGCTACTGTTGCCCACTCTCTGTCTCATCATTACTGGACGTATTGTTTACACGACTGGACATCAATTCATTCTCTCTTACGAATTATATCGAACTTGAAGAGTCCTCTGAGCGGAGTCCGTCGCAACTTGAGAAGCTCACTCGAGTTCCACATGATGAGCAGTGCCACGGTCTAATGACTAGAGTCAGTAAAATCCAACGGCTGCGCACAGAAGGAGCTTCTGCGGCCGTTTAGATGAACCCAAGTTGTGAGACTAATGAAAGAACTTTGTGTCGTCGACAATCATTCTCCTCTATTGAAGCGATGGTACCGCTGATTACATGCGTATATCCCCATGGGAAGGCAGGCGCGGCCAAAGTCGTGGTGGCTTGTCTCCAAGCGCTCCCCCTCACGGTGGACCCCAGGTTTCAAGCCTTTTCAACGTCAGGCCTCAACGTCGACATTCAAATATTCAACCTCCAAGCTACTGCATTCGACATTTGCTTCAAGCGGGCCGGATAACCAGCGAGCTGGCTTACGAGAGCAAACTCTTTTTGCACCGAAGCCTTTGCTGCGTCAAGCACGGATAGTAGCAAGCCTCGATCAAGGAAGTCTTCGGTTCTTCCGTACAAAGCATCGAGAGACCAGTGACTGCGCCTCTCTGTCTCTGACTCCTTCTTTGCTCCAGCTTGCAGCTGAAGGCCAAGATGTCCCTTGAAGCGTTCATTGTACGACATCCGTCGGTGTATCTTGGCATTGCACCAGTTGTCGCGCTGACTGCTTTGTCCATAACTCCACCCCTTTTTCCATTGGCAGTGCTTCTTGCAGTGTTGCGTTTGCACGTTCAATACTTTGTTCCCCGCCAGAAGGTAACGACCCATGGCGTTGCTCAAGTCGCACTTCTATCGCTCGCTGGAGCGGTCACCCACCTCAAGCCGTCCTTGCATGCATTGTCCACTCCGGCAATGTCAATCGTTGTCCTCACCTGCCTCACTGCAGTCACGGCTACCATCTCTATCTCAGCTGTTGCGCTTGCGCTCCGACTGACAAGATCATCGCCAACGCCCTGGAGCACGATCACCATTTTTCCGGCGATATGGGCGACAGTTTGGGCTTCCGTGGCGTACATCAGCCCGGTGGGAAGACTCGTCACTTGGAGTCCTGTCCTGGCACTGGGACCCTATGACTGGGTCCGTCCCATCATGGGATCGTGGGGCCTTGATTGGGTTGTAGCGGCGTGGGCTGTCGTCTTCTCTGAGATGGCCGGCAGATGGTTAGTAGGATCAGTGGGGGATGATCTCGACGGTGTCACAGTGGAAGATGCCGACGAAGAGGTAGTGGTTCCAGGTACATTTGACAACACTGCACACAATCAACGACACGATAACTTCAGATCCAAAGCCCCACAGCCTCGACATGCCTTGATTTTGGCACTGCTCCTTGTGTCTCTCGCGATCCCATCCTATTTTGTCAGCTCTCTTCCTGCGCCTCCCGACTCTCCGTACACCACGCCGTTGGGTGTCGCGTGTGTGCTTCCAGATCCAAAGTGGTCTGGGGAGCGTCTTCATGCACCGACCTTGGAAGACTTCATCCTCGAGAGTACACAATTGCAGAGTAGCACGAGCGTTATGCTCTGGCCTGAGGGAGCAGTGCGATTTGACACTGCTGCAGATAAAGATGCCGCCTTCAAAGAGATTATGAAGCGCATGAATGACCACAAGCTTGTTGGTGTCAGCTTCGAGCAGTTACTACTCCCCGGATCCAAACATTCGAACGGTACCAAGAATAGTGGGTTGCGGACAAACAGTTTCGCTCTCCTCTCTAAACAGGGACCCGTCTTGGAATATGACAAACGGATGCTTGTCCCGAGTATGTTGAGCTCGTATTTTCATTGCAGTCTCGTCAAATTAACGGCATTTCACAGTTGCCGAGTCGTTCTCTCTCACTTCATCCTCAAAACCACCCGGCATGTACACATTGGACCTTACCGCTCCCAAAGGCTGGAGTAAAGGACACTGGGCGCCCAATTACACGCGGCCAATCCCGTTGACTGTCTCAATCTGCCTCGATTTCTCATCGCCCTCCTCTTTTGCGTCATTGGATTCACGCCCTGCACTTATCCTCGCCCCGGCACGAACATGGCATACCAGCGTTGGGTATGCAATGTGGGAACAGGCGAGGGCGCGCGCAGAGGAACTCGGGAGCATGGTCTTGTGGTGCGACGGTGGCGAAGGCGGCGTCAGTGGTGTTGCCGGTGGAGGCATGCGCGAGGTCATGCAGGTAGGGCAGGGCTCGTGGTCGAGACGCATCGGCGTGCAGTGGCCGTTTGACCAAGGTCGCACGTTCTTCTCCATTGGAGGTGGTTATGCGGCCTTGGCGACAGTCTGGGGAATCGCCGGTGTGGGTTCCGTCATAGAGATTTCATTTATGGCGATGAGGAAACGCGCTCGCGTTCATGGGTTTGGAGTATCACGGCTCTCGCAGGTGGTTGGTGCTTTGGGAGCGCTGATAAGACGGCGAAAGGCGACGATTGAAGAGGAGCCTTCGCTGCTGGATTGATCGATAAGTATCTATAGTATCTCAGTGTGATGCGCCTATGTAGCTGAATTCCTGTGATATTCTACGTTACAGAGATGTTTTGAAAATCAGTTACTATGTATGACACTCGCATTCATGTACGTTAAATTCGGGTCAAGCTGTCGGTACACATGCTCGACGCCATATCAGACCTGCATGCTGCCCTAGACATTGGACAGCCCAGTGCGTTCATACGGAAGAAACAAAGCCATTACTAAGTATTGCCGGACATTCATAGATTCAAGGTACGCGGTCCACTTGATAAGCCGCCATTTCGGCACATTCCATCAACTTTCATGCAGCGCACAGGCATCACAGGTGAGGCTGTTAGCGCTCCATTTGCCAGAACGCATGGTGGGTGAGAAATGACAGGGGGGGCATTGTGAGATCCTGTATGCGAAGTGATACACATGCAGATGCGGGTCGGTATCTTAAGTTTGTGCACGGCATTTGGTCGAAGCGTGCACGGATTGCAGGGAAGAATGCGTATAATTAACTTAAGTGTGCTGTCCCAGCTCCAATGGCATGGGCCGAAACGTCCCTTCAATCCCCGTTTTCATTTAGCGGAAGGGACATCTCATGCGTCTTCACCTGTTTGCCGGCCTGGAAGCTTGAAGCTTGAGCTTGAGGGCTGAGATGAACGGACTCCTTCGTCGGATTGGCGTGCCATCGGCGCACCGCCGCACATTGATGGTTATTATATTGATGAAACACGGTGCTCTGGAACCCCTCCGACCCGAAGTGGAACTAGATGGGCTTGATGCACGCGCAGACAGCTTTTCACGGGTACACGAGGCTTGTGAACTGCAGAATCGATTTCGTCAGAGCTTCTGATAGCCCCGCCTGCCGAAATTCTATCGTAAGTGCTGAAGCCAGGTGGTATACACGCCCCCTTCGCGCCTGATTTCCCTTCATTTAGCTCGACGCGAACGATTTGCAAGTCTCTCTCCCAATAGTCCGTGCTTCAGGACTTGTAAGTCACCACGTCTTCCTCCAGGCATCGCGTCCAGTCGAGGCTCGCTCCTAGCCTTTCTGGCTCTCTGCGTGCCTCGGCGAAGCTTTTGGCAGGCTCATTCAGCTCTGCGTCCTCTCCTTTGTTAGATCATTTGCCTGCTGCCAGCGTCAGTGGAAGGGTTTTGAGTGCTGTTCCGGAGGAACAACCGTCCGAGCCATTGTTTGACGACTTTGAGGAAATCTCGTACGACGAGCTTCGTGCATCGGGGCTCATTGCTGATCCCGCGTCTTCCTCCTCTGCCCTCGGTAGGCCTCTCGTACATTGATTGTTTCACTGGTTATTGACTGGCTGATCCTAGAAGCACCTGCGGACTCATCGATCCTCTCCCGATCGCGCACCTTCGCCCGTCTGAGGAAGCTCTCCCGTGTTTCGCTAAAGAGGTCCCGCAGAGACTCCAATCAGCTGTCGCAATCGACATATCCCACAAGCCCTCGCCTTCCATTACCAGCAGATTCAACCACTCCCATTCCTTCATCTCCCCCTCTACCTTTATCTCCCGCACGACGCGAGCGGTCGTCGACAAAGGCAACGCCGATAGACGATACTGCGTCTGTGTTTTACGACAGCGACCCATTTCGTGCAGTCGAGTCTCCGTCCAAGTGCGAGTTCTCCGAGCTCCGAGCCTCGCTTCAGGAAGCCGCGGAGCGCCCTAGCGCTGAACAGATTCCCACTCTCCCTCGTGTCCCGGTAGCGCCTTCCGCCGTGTCACCTACCATCCTCCCTGACTCCGCAAGTCATCTTTCATCACGCAGGTCTCTGAAGAGTCTCAGGAGGTTTACCAGAAAGCACCTATTTTCATCTTCTCAGACACACGCAGAAGAGATATACCAGCAGCCGCTCAGTGCCTCCACTGCTCATCTGCCAGACCCGCCGCAGGAGTGCTTTTCCCTCCCAGAGCTCCAATTCGACCGCATCGACTTCTCGTCCGTGTTCAAGAACGGCTCTTTGCGTTTGTCGTTAGTTCCGCGCAACGACATTCCACCTCTGCGCGAAGCCATCGAAGAGTCAGATCCTGAGCTCTCTCAATACATATATCATATTCAGGTCCTGCGTGACGAAGGAGTCGATTCTCACGATTTAACGGCATCTACACGAGCATCTACTGTCATCGGCTTCTCCCCTAGTGCAACTCCCCTTCCTCCGCCCTCCCCTTCCTGGCTGACGCGCAACGTCAAGGATCTTGAATTCTACGCGGAAGATCCTCTCCCTATCCCTCCGCCTTTACCACCACCTCTATCGATCCCTCCACGGCGCCTACGGCCTGTCCCATCGAGGTTTGATACGGACCTCCAGGTATGTCTGATTTGTCTTAGCTAGGGTTGGATGCTTACTTCACGAGCATGCAGTTGTGTGCTAACCAGTCGGACGTACCAGAGAGCCCACGATCAAGCGCCTCATCCATCACCCTCTTTACGCCACCCACAAGACCTATATCTTCTCTAAGGTCCTCGATATTCGATCGCCCTCGCTCCTGTCCTCCCTCTTCGCGTGCTTCCGCGAACTACCGTTGCTCTGTTGCTGAGAACAGAAAGAGCATCCATTCGTTCGTCTCCCATAGCCAGTTCGCGTGTGATCTTGCGTCAAAGGTACGCACTGTGCTCAGATTACGTGGCACGCTTGATGCTTAATGTGACTTACTTGCTAAATACTAGCGATCGTCTCTGAATTTTCTGTTTCTGTCGTGCGCGCCTTCGCCAACTTCCCCCAGACATCACGAGCAGCCCTTGCCACCAATCGCGCTTTTCGATAACGGTAGGCAGTTACACGTGTGACAGCATACGGCTCATATTGACATCTGTTCCCACGTTTTTTTTGTTGCAGACCGACCACTTTCTTGCCTGCCCGACGAGGAGAGTGTAGACGTTTCTCGAACGCTGCATCACAGTTCCTGTTATCCCATATTCATCGCTCCACAGCGGGCATCTCAAGCTTTTGCGTTCGATCGTTATTCAGTGCCCGAGCATCTGCTCGCTTTAGCGAAGGCTGCCCTACGTGATTCCCAAGCGTCACCAGTCATGTCATCGCTTGACGCCTCCGGCAAACCGACGGAAACGGTTGATTTTGGGGAGGAGTATGACTATACGGGCTATGAGTGGTTCAAGGATCCCCCGCCGCGGCCAGAGGTACGTGGTATTCCAGCCCAATAGAGGATCATTCGCATCTGAGCATGAACTAGCCACCTCCTACCCCATCTGTCGCCCCGACACGCATCCCGGACCCTTCTGTAATCGAGCAGAATCAGATGTTTGACTTTGCGCTGAAGAGCGCACCGAACGTTCTGTACACGCGATACAAGCAGTATGGACAGGTTCGTCCGATCATGCAAATTCATCCAGTGTTCCCTCATGACGGGTATGTTTTGCAGCTTGGCGTCCTCGCTTGGTGCTCGGAATTCAGCGAGCTCATCGACGCCTTGAAACGCCTTGGCTTCGATGGCAATATGTTCGTTGCGACGCGCGCACAAGCGTTGCGAACGTGCGAGGACATCCTGAGACTCAAGCTCAACATTGACATGCAGATCATCGTTATGTATCTATCTTCACAAGTCGCCAAGCTGAGACGCTTCCTCGAGGGAGAGCGCCAATGGAACGACTATCCAGAAATCAGCTTCCCCCTCGACTATCGACAATTCTCCCAATCACAGGACTGATTGGACGAACTTCTTTCGCGAGGGGTAGCATTCTTCGCTTTTCGTTTGCTCTCGTTGTTGTATCACATTCATTGGATGTAATGTGCATGAGTCCCTGGAATGGATTGTACCATTTGTATTGTACCGCAAAACAAGAAGCACACTGCACTTCATTCTGTACGGGGCAGAAACCCCAAACAACTCAATCATGTCACTGACGTTAATAATCATTACTGCAAAGATGAATACAGGATCCAAACTGGCAGATACAGCGTGCGCAACATCCGCAATGAATGGTCCCAGGAAGCAAGTTCAAAATGTGATAGTATCCGTAACAGTAAAGATGTTGCAAGATGATGCATAGTGATGTCTAGCAATGTCCTTGAAAAGCGCAGACGAAGCTGATGCAATGGAGAATCAATATCTGGTAGGCACTCCTGCAAACTGCGCGGATCCGCTCCCGGCCGCGGTCGTGACCAGGGGCGGCAGCGGTGACGCCATGAATGGCGATATGCGCGGAGGATCAGGAAGAGGATTGCCAATATAATTACGCGTAAGTGAAGGAGGATCGGACTTACGGTCCTTGATAGGGAAAGGAACGCGACCAGAGAAGGAGCGAGAAATTCGTCGGCGGCCAGACCGCGATGGAGACTGCGCAGGTGGTAAGGAGGAATAGATAATAGGGGCCGGAGGAACGGGTATATGGACTTGCGGGATGGTGTGGCTGCCTTGGTAGGGTGCATGTAAGGGAAAGTGGTGAAGCGATCCGTCGCTGTGTTTCGAGGGAAGGGTTGTAGCCCGGTGCAGTTCAGTGAGAGCCTCGATGCGCGCGCCGTGTGAGTCTGAGCTCGTGAGTGACGAGCGCTGTGACGAGTCCCCTATCGTCGTCGAGGTCACTACGGAGTTATCGGCCCCGAAGGTCATGCTCCTGGTCTTCCAGTGCCTGTCTGTCTCCCGAGCATCCTTAGTGGCGGTCGTGTTCGCATAATCGTGAACGCCAGAGGAAGGCCAGGCACCGGCGGATGCATGTCGTTCATGTCGCGACGTGGAGCGTGCCTCGCTTTCCCTTCTGTGAGACAGTTGGGACCGCGCATGGCTACGAGTGGATGAGACAGTGTCGTATGTGTACCCGCGATGGGTGCTGTCCACAGTTGGCATCTGGGTAGACTTGCTCGACGGCACGCCCATTTCCCCGGGGAAGTCATGCGAGCGCTGCCGCCTGTTCTGAGGAGCAGTTTCATCGAGGCTGTTGCTCGCACGATGCATCTTCGCCTCGCGGCCACCCACAATGGCATCACGTTCCTTCGAGCCCGAGCGCTCCTTCCTCCGACCCTTCTTCGCAGCCTCGAACGTAGCAGACGTGGGAGACTCCACGACCTCCCACTGCTCGCCCATACCCATGATGACCTCGCCCTGCTGGTGCGAGCTGCCTGAGGGACTACGAACAAGCATGAAGGTCTCCGTCTCCCTGCGCTTAGTCGCGCTAGATGACTTGACATGCTGGAGGCTCTCTTTGACCTTCATTGGAGACTCATCATGATGCTTCGCGGACTCTGACGTATGCTGGCTGAAAGCCATCAACTTGGCAGGGTTTATTGTGGCAGAAACAGGACGCGGGGATGGAGGATTGGCAATGGTAGAGACTCTCGCCAGAGCAGGGTCATCCACGGATATGGCGGAAGCCAAGTTCGACACGGATGCTATAAACGATGGAAGTTCCTGCGTCTGGTTCTCCGGTGACGATATGATCGTCTGATCCGACGTCATAGACAACGGTCTCTCAGTCTTCGGAGTTAGAGGAAGAGAGTGTTGGATCTTCGGAGGAGGCGGCGATGCGGGGTGTGGAGGCCAAGTGGGAGATGCCTCAACCACAGTTGTGGGAACAGAAACATCTCGAATAGGCACCTCCCGCATCTCAGGCGAAGCAGGCGTCTCGACAATGACCGGTACAGGCTCAACGGGCACCTCGGTAGTAGCCTCGTGCTCCCCTGTAGTGAGGGTCGCGCCGTTGACCTTGGGAGTTTCAACAACTACTGATTCAGATATCATCTTGGGCTGCACGACAGGAGAGGCGCCCGAGGATGCGCTGATCTCGTCGGGGTTGGCAATGCAGAGATTCCCCAGCATCGGCGCAGCTTCGATGACGGAGTGGCCCATCGAGGCCCGATTTTCGATGCTCTGCGATTGCGACGAGTTTAGCGTAGGCGTCGTCGTCGTCAGCGCCGAATCGCTCTCTAGCGACGGCGGTGTGGCATGCTGCGGGAACGCGAGGCTTCCTCCAGAACGAATGTCTTCGTGATTTGCGGGCTCCGCCGATGCCTCAGCACCTGATGTTGCTGGCCTGGGATCAGCGTTAGGAGCAACTTCATTTGGTGAGCCATTGTCGATACCATCTGAAAGCCTGCCCTTGTCAGGTTGGCGCATTGCGCTAAGCCGTCTTGCGAGTCGGCCCATAAAGCTGCCATGCTTCTCCTTGCGGTCTGAGTCGACATTCAGAGATGAGAGTGATGGAGACGTCAACGGAAGGCCAGCAGTGGACTTGCGTCTGGACGTTTTCTTCCGCGCGACTTCGTCCTTGAACAAAGGCGAGGTCGCTGAGGAGGGCGGTGCGGACGATGACTTCGCACGAACATGTTCACCGTCCTCAGAATGTCCACTGAAAAGACCAACGAACGGCTTGCGACGTTTGCTCAGCCGACGAGGAATGTGAGGACTCTCTGAATCAACTGCATTCAGATGTAGGGCAGACGTTGACTGTGATAAGGGTGAAGGTGTTACAGTCCTGTGACGGCTGGTATTGGCATTCAAACTCATTCGGCGCACGCGAGGATCACTCTGCAATCGGGTAAGCCTTCAACACATTGCATATTATATAATACCTCTGACCTCTGAATCTGAGACGACGTTACGATCGCCCAAGCCAACATCATACGGAGACTCATGGTGCCAATTTTGGCCCCAAGGGTCAGTTACATCTAACATGTCCACATTGTCAGTCTGAGAGAGCTTGCGAGTCCTGACTTTTCCATTGGGGTCCATGATACGTAGCTGCGAGGAATTGGGAGTCGGCGAGGGTGACGTAGATGGTGGTCTGTTGGCCCCTGGGAGCCGGATGGACTCCTGGGAGCGTTCTGTACCAGATAGCATGGGCGGGAAAGAGGGAGAGAACTGCGATGGCTGGGGATTTTCCTTGGGCGGATAGAGGTGGTGATTGCGATACCAACGAGGACCAGCCGGACTGTGCATCGGATACCTGGACCTGAAGGAGCTGACGGAGGAGCAGGACCACGCATCGAGATCGGTGCGAAACCATGATGGCAACTCGTGGAGGGGTTCGGGGATGATGGAGGTGGTGAACAACGCCCATGGCGAACGGGCATGTTGGTCCTCACTGGAGCTGTCCTTGTCCCTCCCGCTGCTGCTGTGGGTGTCGGACGCGATTAGGGAGGGCCTTCCGGATAGAGGCGGCTCAGCGGACGCGTCCGCAGCCTTCTTGGTGTGCCTGCGGGAAAGAAACCCCATGCCGCTGTGGGACCTTAGCAGATGTGCCGTGTCCTTCGCGAGCTTCCTACCGCCGTGTTCTTGTTCGGAAGGGGGGTTGGCGGCGGAGGGACTGGCGGGAGGGTGAGCGCCACTGGAGGAGTGCTGGTGGGCTGTGAGCTGGAGGTAAATGGAAATGTGGGAGTGAGAACTCGCCTGGTCGTGCCATCGCATGGTCAGGAAGGAGAGAAGGAGGGTAGGACTATCTGGGAGGGCGTGAGGACCAGGAGCACATTGCAGCGACAGTGCCGTCAACTCTTCCTCTTCGCCCACGTTTTGCCTAGAAGCGTCCCACTTTGCGTCCACGCTCCCTGGGGTCCCACATAATTTTCACCCACCCAGAGCCCGTCCTGCAGGCTCTTCCAGTCCCTTCCTCCTCCTCGTCTGTATGGCCCTCCGCGTCCTTGTCATCGGCAGCGGCGGACGAGAACACGCCCTTGCCTGGCGTCTTGCGCGCTCTAACACCGTCGAGCGTATCTTCGTCTGCCCCGGAAACGGAGGCACTGCGCACGAAGCCAAGACAACCAACATCGACCTTCCTGCATCAGCCTTTCCAGCACTTGTCGACTTTGCTGTCAAGAACGATGTGTGTAACGCACCACGTGCCAGTCCTCATATGTTCTTCGCTCACAGTTACACGCCGCTGTAGGTGTCGCTTGTGCTCCCAGGGCCGGAACAGCCGTTGGTCGATGGCATCGAGACCTATTTTCGCAAAGGTACGGTGCATCGCACATCTAGGATGGCTCCGATGGTCAACAGCGCCTGCCCCAGTTGGCATCCCGGTGTTTGGCCCCAGTGCGCTCGCTGCCCGCATGGAGGGATCAAAGGCATTCTCCAAGGCGTTTATGGACAGGCACGCGATTCCCACCGCCAAATTCAAAGTGTTCAGCGCATCTCAAGTCGACGAGGCTATTCAATATGTCAAGACATGCGGCTTCAAAACTGTCCTCAAGGCCAGCGGGCTGGCCGCGGGGAAAGGTGTACTGATTCCAGAGACGGTCGAGGAGGCCGTCGTTGGTTTGCGGGAAATGATGGTCGAGAACGTGTTCGGAGCAGCAGGTCTGCGCCCTCGCCGATGTGTACATTATACCACGAGAATAATATTCATCTTCATACTCAGGCAGCGAGGTTGTCATTGAGGAGCTCTTGACGGGACCTGAGGTCTCCGTGCTCGCGTTCGCGGATGGGTACACAATCGTTCCCCTCCCCGCTGCGCAGGACCACAAGCGCATCGGAGAAGGTGACACAGGACCCAACACAGGCGGCATGGGCGCATATGCCCCCGCACCAGTCGCCACTCCAGCGATTATGGACCAGATCATGCGGGAAGTGCTTCAGCCTACGATTTCTGGGATGCGCAAGGAGGGTATGTGTCTCGCTGGTTGTTGTACAGTGCCCCCGCTTAGTCGATGCGCACGCAGGCTTCCCTTTCGTCGGAATGCTGTTCACAGGTCTCATGCTCACGCCGTCTGGGCCTAAGGTGCTCGAGTACAACATCCGCTTCGGCGACCCGGAGACGGAGGCGCTGGTGCTCCTGCTCAGCGACGACACCGACCTCGCCGCCATTCTCTTTGTATGCACCCCCGTTTCTGCATTACGCGTGAACAACGCTTACCTCTCCCGTGCACGCTACGCAGGCTTGTGTGGAACGTCGTCTCGACGCGGTGCACGTGCAGACGCGCTCCGGGTTCGGGGTCTCCGTGGTGCTCGCTTCGCAGGGATATCCAGGGAGCTACGCGAAGGGCAAGCGAATCATCGTCAGTGATCTACCCACAGGTACGCCGCGTCGTCATGATTCGCTTTCTGCCCTGACTTGTCCGCAGGCGTTGTTGCTTTCCAAGCCGGGACGGCGCTCAAGGGTGATGACATCGTTACCTCGGGTGGCCGAGTGGCCGCAGTATCTGCGTATGCGCCGACACTCCGCGAAGCGCTGGATCTTGCTTATGCGGGCGCGGATAAAGTGTCGTTTGAGGGCAAAGTGTACCGACGAGACATTGCATATCGGCACGTTTAATTTACACATGATCCGCCATTGCGTCGCTCACTCCTCGGCCCAAGTAGAGCGCTATCGACAGAGACGTCTGGTGGACCCGGCTTGACGTATGCGCTGGCTGGTGTCTCCGTCGATGCAGGCAACTCGCTCGTGGAAGCTATCAAGCCTCTCGTTCGTTCTACCCGCCGTTCAGGTGCCGACGCCGAGATCGGCGGATTTGGCGGCGTGTTTGACCTCAAAGCGGTGGGATATACCGATCCTGTGCTGGTGAGTGGCACCGATGGTGTCGGAACCAAATTGCGCATCGCCATGGATGCCGGTGTACACGAATTTGTCGGTAAGTGCCTGAATATTTGCCGAGAATAGCTGATTCTGATTTGGTCCAGGCGTTGACCTGGTTGCCATGTCCGTGAATGACCTGCTCGTTCAGGGCGCCGAGCCTCTTTACTTCCTGGACTACTACGCATGTAGCAAACTTGACGTCCCTGTTGCGACTGAGGTTATCAAGGGCATTGCGGAGGGCTGCAGGCAAGCTGGTTGTGCAGTGATCGGCGGCGAGACAGCTGAGATGCCCGGCATGTACCAGGAAGGTTCGTAGACTCCGCGTAGCCTGAACACGCACATATTCATTCACATCGGTGCACTGAAGGTGACTACGACCTCGCTGGTTTCGCAGTTGGCGCCGTTGAACGGAACCTCATTCTCCCCCAATCCGGCATCGCCGCCGGAGACGTCTTACTTGGCGTTCCCTCTTCCGGTATTCACTCTAACGGCTTCTCCCTCGTCCGAAAAATTGTCGCCCTCTCAGGGCTTTCCTACTCAAGCCCCTGCCCATGGGATGAGCATATCACGCTTGGGCGCGCCCTCCTCGAGCCGACAAAAATTTACGTCAGGTCGCTGCTACCGGCGGCGCAGGCGGGCCTTATCAAGGGGATGTCGCACATCACTGGTGGCGGATTTATCGAGAACGTCCCGAGAGTATTGCCAAAGGGCCTCGGATGCTACATCGATGCATCATCATGGGATCTGCCACCAGTCTTCCGCTTCTTGATGAAGCACGGCGGGGTTGAGCCGCTGGAAATGGCTCGCACTTTCAACAACGGCATTGGTATGGTGCTCATTGTGGATGCCGGTAATGTCAACCGGGTCATCCAAGCACTCAATGACGCTGGAGAAACTAGGATATTCAGGATGGGGGAGGTGACGGGCCAGAGCGGCGTTGAGATGCGCAATCTAGGTGCTTGGAGACCGTGAAGCGGGTATGCAGTCAATTATTCCAGGTAACGAATGGATGCGACTGATGGTCCTCTGCGAACCCCCAGCGCTGCAACGTATACATTATGTGATGCTATTAAAACAGATTCAACAGTATGTTGCCACAACATAGCTTATCTGAGATGTATCATACGCAGAACACAAAAGTAACCGCCGAAGGAGACGCTATAATAGTTTTAGTTGCCACGAAACAGATGACGCACGTAACACAAAAGTGAAGTCAGTGGAAAAAATTAACCAAGATGGAGCAAACGTGAGAGAGCTCTACTGAGACAAATGATGCAGGATGGACGAAGAACCTGACAATGCAGAGCATGCGGAGTGGTGGGTCCCAAAAGACGGTGACAGTATGATAACAGCGTTGTGGCCAAGCCCTCACACGATGAACAGATGCTGGAAGAATACAAAGTACAGCAGATAGCTCTGAAGAGCGCACCGCAAGCAGGAGAGGGAAATACTCATATGAGATCGCGAGCAATGCATAGAGCATGAGGAGGGACATGAAGTGTCCATTTTAGGCTGTGACGCTGACCTCCTTTGCGGCAGTGTCAGGGACAGCTGTGGCGGCAGCAGCAAAGGAGATCGGGAGCTTATTGGCAGAAGGATCAGGCGTCGGTGCGTCAGAGTCAGCCTTGTTCTCCTGCCAAACAAAGTCAGATCATTCCTTCAGGAACGATGTTATATGCATACTTTCGCATTTTGATCCTGCGAGCCGTTCTGCTCCGGAGAAGAACCACGGGTCGTAGATTGACCGTCCTTACGCGGGGGAGGTGCCTGCAAGATCTGTGCGGCTGTAGGACCCGAGCCTGGACCGTGCAGACCAGGGCTACGCGGTGGAGGTGCGGTATTGGTGAGGGTCGGGAACTCATCAGCGCTAGGCACGCGTTGAGACTTCGGAGGAATAAATTTCTTGTCCACCCGAGCGCCATTGGCGTACGGGCCCGCCTTGAAATTCTGTGGTCCTCGCCTGTTAACGCCATCGCTGGATTGCGATCGGCTCGAGTTGGCCGTGGCGTCCACCCCGTTAGCGCCTGCTCGTGGTTGTGCAGGCTGTCCATCCTGCTATTCAAAGTCAGACGAGGAGTCTCTGACCGCAGCTCGAAAATGACTTACTTCTTGTACTGACATGTTGGCAATCTTCTCCTCGATTCCAGGCACTCCATTCATATGCGAAGAAGCGCGCGGCCTATGACCGCCTCTTCCAGAAAAATGCGGAGGATGATGAGCAGGGTGATATTGGAATGACGCATCGGGTAAGATGTGAGGGAATCGACACTCGTCGCTGTAATTTTGCGGTCAGGCAAGTATGATACGACGTTAGCATATACTCTTACCCATTTCTGCACTTCCCAGCTGGAAAGAACAAACAGGGAGGTTTGCGCCCAGAACCGCCAAATGAAGGCCTTCTCCCGCTTCCTCTTCGGTGATGAGTCATGATATCCCTATTCATCGGCCGTGGACCATAGCCATCCATCAGTAAATGCTCCTGCGGCGATTTTGGTGAGCCGATGGTCTCAGATATGCTGCCGTTGGGCACCATGCCCAGTGGATATGGAGCCATTGGGTCCAGTGGCGCAGGATAGGATTGCATAAGGCCTTGTGCAACAGGAGACATAGGAGAGTACATAGACTGCTGAGGCGACTGGGGCCCACCTGCATGCTGGAGAGGCGACAGCGGAGGAACGGAGATAGGGACCGGAACCTGGCCAGGATGTGCATATGTAGGCGATACAGGTGACATCACGCCGTACGGAACGGGAGGAGGCGCGCCATTCGGGCTGAAGGGCGCCTGGATGGGAGAAACGACCTCAGATCCCGACCTCGTATGGGTCATGGGCGGCTGAGGGAGAGGTTGGCCTCCGGCAGGCGGGGACATGACACCGTTAGGAGATGTCGGGTACGGGGGCTGCGGCACTCCGTAATATGTATGCGGCGGGTAGGGCGGAGCGATAGAATCGTACGGAGCAGGATATTGAGCCGGAGGAGGTAGGGGCCCCTGGATATACGGAGCCTGCGGGTGAGCAAAGATGCACGAAGAACCATAACGACAAGCAGGGTAGTATCTACACGGTATCATTCGCGCAACTTCAGGAGGAGGTAGGTTAGGCATTCCGTTCCCGTTGGGCTCAGAGGCCACAGGAGCGGGCGGCGGATAGTATGAAATAGCACCGTCTGGTAGCATCGGTGCACCTATGGGAACACCCGGGTAGTAGTATGCACTAGGCGGGGGACCATAGTAGCCTTTGGTCTGGTCCACGTTCGGGTCATGAGCGTAAACGGGCTCCTGCGCGGGCGCTGCGCTCGAGCTCAGCTCTGTTTTTGCCGCGTCAAGTAATTCCAAGATAGCTGAATCTGATGTGAACTGTTCGGTGGGACCTTGGCTGGAAGCGTTCGTGGGATCAGCACCTTTAAAAAAACGTTTCTTAATGAACAAAAACGCGCTTTTGTTATACCGCAACGAATTCACGACGTACCCTTTTCGAGTAGTACCTTCACTACCTCGATATGTCCGTTTTTGACCGCTTCAATGAGAGGGGTCACGCCATCATGATCTTGCAAACAGACGCGTTAACACATCCATGGATCGGACAAACGCGGTGCGCATAAATTCAACAAGCATCCAATGAAGTAAAACACGCACCGTTTACCTCGATATCTGCGGTCGATGCCTCCTTCAACAGCTCGTTGACGTTCTCAAGGTTGCCCTCGGAGCAAGCCTTCCAGAGAGGGGAGACCATGGTGCTTGAGATGGGTGACACAGCAAAAGAGCCTTTGTTCGCAGTCAACGGGGGCTAACACGCGCAGGACGTGAATGCAGGAAACCGAAGCGATTTTGAGGAGAGCAAATGCGAGGAAAAGTGGCGATGGGACAATCGGGATGAGCGGCCACACTGAGATTGCTGCTACTCGGTACGAAAAAAAAAGTTGGTTATTATGTAATTAATCCTGATCAGATCAGTGCCTGATATAGCAGGTCTTGTGGTCGAGTCATCAAATACGTGTCCCCCGCTCCGGGCAGTCCGACTCTCATCCGACCATCAACGAAATGCCTATTGTGCGATAGGCTCCCGCTTTCTTCCGAGTTCTAACTAGCGAAATTACACCGTCGATTCATCGTCATAGCAGCGGGACTCGGTTTATGATGATGTCGTCTCATACTCTACCGAGTCCAACTCAAGTTTCTTCAACAGTTGTTGCGCAGGCTTCCCAGCACCATCAGGCAAGTCTATCTCTCGTATGGGAGGCAGATTCATCAGAAGCTTCGCCTTCTCTGCCACGTCTCCGCCTGTCAATTTCGTCATTATGAACGAACACGCTCTCGCAGACATAACGGCATGCGTACCTTCGTACAAGACTTCGTACACCTGTTATTGATCTTTCCGTCAATCACATACATTAAGTGTCAGGAAGCACAGCTTACGGCAGTGGCAATGGGAGCAGCCACGTCTAATTTTGATATTATAGTACGCAGTGCCTTTGCAGTCGTGACACCTTCCGCGACACTGCCCAATGTCTCGATGATATAGTCGAGTTTCTCTCCCTTCCCAAGACGATATCCCACCGTATAATTACGACTCGTCGACGAGCTGCAAGTGAGGAAGAGGTCTCCGACGCCAGCCAGGCTGAGAAAAGTCAACGGCGATGCGCCGTACGCAGTTCCGATCCTCGACATCTCCGCCAAGCCGCGGGTTATGAGCACTGCAATATCTGTGAGCTGCATAGAGGAAACGTTATCCCGATATCTTACTGGCTCTGGTATTGTTCTCGAACCCAAGGCCATCTGACATGCCAGCAGCGATGGCATAGACGTTTTTGAGTGCACCGGCCAATTCCACGCCAATAGGATCATCACCGGTGTAGCTGCGAACGTGAAAACCATTCAGTCACATGCCAGCTACAAAGATTAAGACATCGTACCAACGGAACCAAGGTTGATGAAACAACTGTGATGCTCTCTCCGCATGTTTTTTGGAGAGGGATGCCACGGAAACGGATGTCGGCTGCCGTTCGACAACTACGGCCCGTCAGATAGAGAGGGCTGGATATCTTAAAACCTGCGACGTACTCTCTTTTGCGAAGGATGGTCCAGACTGGTGGTCATTAGTTTCATAAGACATATATAGGATCGTTTGGCAACTGCTCACGATGAACGCTGCGACTTTGGCGATGTCAGGTCCGCAAGTGTCGACAATGATCTCCAAGGTTAGCGCGTGCGTGCTGATCTCAATGCCCTTGTTGACAAAGATCAACAACGGCAAGTTTTTCTCATCGAGTCTCGGCTTTAACGCAGTGAGCGTTTCCCTGGATTTGCAGTTTTACCTCTTGCGGTCAAGCTCATGAAGAGCAAAGTAGTACCTTACACCTTCAGTAGGGATGGCAAACAGCAGCACGTCGACATGTCTGATGATACTTTCAGACGGAAACTCCGGACCGACTGCTGTGATCGACTCGGGAAAGACATGGTCCTGCAGGAACTCGGGGTTCCGATGATATTGATTGAAATGTCGCACGATCTTCTCATCCCTGGACCAGAGATAGACAGTATGAAAAGAGTCGGCCAGATGATCAGCAAGACAGCTGCCAAAGTTCCCGGCGCCGAAAACCAAAACCTTCGAGCGATCGTAATCCATGAAGTGAGAGGGCGGAGAGCGGAAGGCAGACGGCAGTACGGATAATCTTCTGATATGGCAAGTGGACTTCGGTACTTCTGAACCGAATGCAGGCCGGAATCGATGGGGCGCAAAGAGATGAACCCGTCTCCGTCCCAAAGTGACGAATGGCCCCATTCAAGCTCGCGAGGGGCCTGTCCAGCCAACATGCAGCGACAAACCAGATAATAAGTTCTTAGAGGGGAAAACGCTTAAATATTGCTGTCTAAAATAGGGGCAGCCACAGCGAAGAGCATGTGGGGTGTAATAAATCTCTCTCGGGCGCCTACGGCGCTCCCCTAAGTACTTAGCGCCAGGACGACCAGTAACGCGAAAGACTCGAATATATACGCTGGAGTGCCAAACGCAACATGTACGCATTCATAAACCAGTTCAACCAACTGGTATAGCATTCACTCCAGTGCCCAAGGATTGCGACGGACGCTTCTTGCTCTTCTTGCCTCGCTTGGACGCGACCTCAGTTGTCTCCCCTACCGACCACGTCCGTATCTTGCTCGGTGCTTGATCCACGCCAGATGTGGCAGAATATCGCTGCGGGCGGGGCATCCTGATATCCTCGTCTGCATCTTTTGTCGTGCCTTTCTCCTTTACCAACCGCTTTCTCTGCGGCAAATATAGAGTCAGATTAGATTTGACCCTGAGTGCGTACAAGGTAGACGCACTCTCTGTTCATGCAACTCGCGGTTACGCTTCTTCAACTTCTCCAGCCTATTCTCGCTCTTCCCACCACCGCCCGCGGTGAGCTCCACATTGATCATACGCCCGTTCAGTTCAGACTGATGAAGCTTCAAAGCTTGTTGCAAGCCGTTCTTGGACGGGAACTCGAGAAACGCAAACCCCTTGGACTTTGCGGTAGTTTTGCCAGTAACAGAGGGCTTTGGCGTCATCAGGCGAACAGTCGGGGGTGGATCTACGCAGGGCTTAGCTACCATATCTTACAAAGGTAAAGGTAACGCAGGACGTACCGCATGCAGCGAAGTGCTTTTGCACCGCTTCCTTCGATGTTGTATACCTCAGGTTGCCTTAAATCATGGTTGCGTGAGATATGCTACAAGAAAAGGTCGGAAATGTGGGCATACTCACCGACGAACAAAATATACCGCTGCTTGGCCTTGTGCTTCCCTTCGGTCATCTCCTCGCCGTCATCTACTGCCTCCAGCCCGACTTCTTTGCTCTCTCCATCCTTAACCGCCTCCTTCCGCCTTTTCCTTTCCTGAGTCGGTTTCTTCTCGTCTTCCACCGCATTGCCATCCTCCCTCTTGCGCTTCTTCGTAGACTTATGACTTCCAAGAACCTCGTCCATCTTAGGCTCCCTTGCAGCCGAAGGCTTCCCATGTCCTGCTTGACCTTCCATACGGCTATCTGGAGCTTGACTCTCCATGGAATCATCCACAAGATCTTGAGTCTCGTCGACGGGAACGACATTGTCTTCGTCAAATGCCTTGGCCTTCCCCTTTCCCTTGCGATCTCTGAAGGCAAGGGCTTTCTTCTGTTTCTTGGTAAGTTTCTGAAGTGCACTCATTGATGAAGCTCACAGGTGAAGCAGTAATAATGCAAGTGTTCAGGATGTCCGGGATTTGATAGGGCACAATAGAAGGTGGACCACGTGATTCGGCGCGCTTAGCAGTGGTACGGTAGCGCTGTTCAAGCTAGCAGTGCTCAAGCAGGTCTTGCGAGCTCACATATATATGGCTCCGGATAGACATCGCATCTGGAGCCGGCATCGCCACGAGTAGTCTGCTGATCAGCCTCGAATCGTTTTAGTCCGGTCGCGATGGTGTGTAAGAATACGTGGCATGGCGCAACAATGCAATGACGTCCGGAGCCTGAACGTGCTTACTGCGTGGAAGTAGCTATGCGAGTTACGATGATGCAAGGGGTACATGAGAAGACAAATAGTGAACAGAGAGTCTTACACTTCTACTCTAACGGCTCCGGTCCTCGCGACAACAACGTGTAGGTGCCCAGATCTAAAGCCGTTAAGCGCAGCCAAGATTCTGCAACATGTCATGACACGAGCACTCTGTCGTACTGCACCCCCTTGATAATGCCTCCACGCATGGATGTCTTCACGCTCTGCAAAAAGCTATCCCGGTTCCTGCGTAGCTCCTCCGCGGCCTCTGCATTACCGATCCTGTGAGTGTGACGGAGAGACGTTAGGATGACAACTCACCCTTGTTCAATGGATCATCCGCGTTCGGCTCCAGGAAGAGATACTGAAGTCCGACCAGGACAGAGTTCAAGTTGAGCACCGGCTTCCAATCTTCTCGAAGGATGTTCAAGCAAACGTTCCCCTCAAGGTCAACGTTGGGGTGATAGATCTAGGCAGTTAGTTAGCAGATGATATCTCGAATGCTTTCTTATCTTTCATCATGTGTAGAATTACCTTCTGCGTACATTTCACCTTTGGTGGCTCATGGGGATAATTCGAGTTGATGTTCACGCTGAAGACGAATGCGCCACCCTTGTACATGCCTATCTCGCGTAGCCATTGAGCTTAGTCTGAAACATGATAATAGCCGAGTCTCGTGCCTTCATCAGGAGTGATGGTGAGGGAGAAGTTGAGTAGATCTGTGGGATCTGGGAAATGCGTCTTCATTGTCGATGACAGCTCAAGTTCTGTCAAATCTACGATATATAAATGTCAATACGAGTGAAAACGTTGGAGCTGCAAGCAGGTATATTGTTCGTGGCGTCCGTGGCACGAGTGGATGTGCACCTTTCTGTACACGAATCTGAGCGGCACTGGTCTTAGGCTTCTTCTTCGCCGCCGCATCCTCGTTCTTCTTCATGCTCCATATCTGTAGTTCCTTCAACAACAGATTCAAGTAAAGTAATCAGGTTAAAACATACCTTAATCATTGTAGTAGGTGCGGCGGGACAGTGGTAGAGGCTGGTCGTGAGCACAGAGCGTGTTTAGTAGAGGTAAGCTGTGGCATAAGCGCCCGCGATAATGGGCTATATGGAGGTCACGTGCGCTGCCTCAGTACAATAATGATCAGCCTCTGTACTTCGTCTTCTCCAAACTGTGCTTGCAACGTCGTCCTATCGGTGGCGTATTGTTTTCTCTGGTTATAAGGTGAGCGATGGTTCAATAATGCTACCAGATTTGAAGATCTGACCGTCATGCCCAAATCTCAAGTTGTATAAAGGTCCACTGAGCTCATGATGTCGATGCCCATTCTCCCTATCATTGATACAGACATATTCGCGTCAAGTCCTTCTAGCATTGAGTCTGTACAAGAATGCAAGAAGGTGATGGGACGAGTTTATAGGATTGCGGCCTTTATCAGACGCTGAGCCGTCTAGTAGGCTGCCGATGCGTTGATAACATTCGGTGCTCTTATCCTCCACGATTCACGAGTTTCTGAAGAAGACAACAGCACCTTCCTCGACCTTCTTGAAGACTATTTCGCACAGTCCTTGGCTGAATTGCAGAAGGATGAACGCCCGGAATTGGGTTATCAAGTCTGTCATTTCAGACCGTGTACAACATTATGTAGCTGCTCACAGCCTCGAAGGTCGGAGTGACTCTTGAGAACACGGAAAAGCCCAAGTGTGCAGTTGACGAGCCATGTCTGAATGTTATCGCACGCTTGGATCCTGCTGAACGACCCTTGGACATAATGGGGCACAATCCAGATCCAAAGTGCAGGTTCTTCTGGAGAATGAGCGAGAAACCACCGTACGAAACCGCATTCCCTTCGCTTAATGCAGCCAATGTTGTGCCACAAGCCGAACATATACGTCAACGTTGGACTCCTGTCATGGAGAAATGGGGACAAGCAATGAAGACTGCGTGAGCATGCTCCATGTGGCGCATGACTCACTAAACCTACTGTGCATTCCAGTGTCGAAAGTCTCGCACAAATGGCAGCCATAGGCTTGGGGTTGCCTCAAGAAACCTTCACGGACGCAGGGCGATATGGGTATGCTCGTTGATTGTTTGTGCCAAATCGCATCTTATCTGTTCCTTCCATACCATATAGTCCTCACTTACTTGCGCCAACGGCGTCAGACCTGGTGAAATACTCAAAGAAGGATACGATACTCGCCGGGTTCCATACCGATTTGAACTTTCTTACTATCCACGGCCGCTCTCGCTACCCTGGCCTCAACGTCTGGGCACGCAATACAGGCAAACGCATTCCAGTCACATTCCCAACGACCGGTCGGTACCTTCTGGTACAGGCAGGCAAGCAGCTAGAGCATCTCAGTGGAGGGTTGATCAAGGCTGGATACCACGAGGTTGTTGTGAACGACGCGACGTTGCAGGTGCGCAAGCCCCAGTTGATTCATTATTGAGGTCTTCACAGTGTGTCATATCATTCAGGCTGTCGAACGACGCAAAGCTTCATTTACTGATCGTCCATTGATCCGTATCTCCTCTACGTTCTTCTGTCACCTTTCATCCGACTACGATCTCGCTCCGATCCCATCTTTGCAAGCACGAGCTCAAGCCATCCGGGCGGATGCGATCAACCTAGGCAAGATAGACCTCGACGAAGAATCAGATTATCCACCAATGAAAGTAGGACAACAAGTCCAGAAGTGAGTGAATATTGCTTCACTGCTATAACTTGCTCACCATGCGTGCCTTCGATCTCCAGCGAACTCAGGCACATAGCGTTATTGGCTTGAAGCATTCTTTCACTCTTATGATCGCAGTGCTCTCAAAGGGGGAGGGGGGGTTACATAGGTATCTTTTGTCATCAATATGCTTGAATGCTGTGTATCTTCGCGGGAACAGATGTTCATTCAGTTAAGGTAATGAGATAGGAGCTGGAGTTGAATTCGCAGCCCGCTAGAAAAGTAATTACAGGCGATGAAGCCTGTGCTACAGTCAGGACAAAATCAGGAAACGTCGTGCAGCCACTCAGGAGAATTCCACATCCCCAAACGCCCTGATCACGCTCTCCACTTTCACAATCATCTCCTCCCACTCTGCTTCAGGGTCAGACAGCGCCGTTATGGCGCCACCAGCACCAAGGGTCCACTCTTCGGTGCAGGTGTCGGCCCGAGTTGAATCGTCTTCGGCATCCTCGTCTTCGTCAGCACGGGACAATAGTTGGGTCTCGTCATGCTTGAAACAACTGCGAATAGTCACAGACCAGTCTCCTCCGCCCCCGACGCACCAGTACCCGAACACGCCAGAGTAGACGCTGCGATCGTCATCCTCGAGCGTGTGCAGAATCTCCACGCTTCGCTTCTTGGGCGCTCCGGTCATGCTGCCTACACGGCCGGTCAGGATCGCAGACAGGTTGGGGAGTGAATATTACATACCAGGCGGCAAACTTCGTTGTAATACTTCCCATCCCAAATTCATCTCATGCTCGCTATCTACATCACCTGGTAGCTTGCCCTCGATGACACTCACGAGCTGCCAGACAGTCTTGTACTCTTCTACTTTGCAGAACTGCTTGACCTCCACAACCTCGCCAACGACGCCGTGCAAGTCATGTCGTATCAGATCAACGATCATGAGATTTTCCGCGACTTCCTTCGCGCTACCTACAAGCGCCTTTTCCGCAACAGCGCGCGTTACCCCGGGTGCCTTGCGGACAGTGCCCTTGATGGGGCGCAGTTGACATGTGGAATGCGGCGGCCTGGAATAGGACAGGAAGCGCTCAGGAGAGGACGAAAGGAGAGTGGACGGGTGTAAGCGCAGATAGGCGGAATGAGGCGCGGGGTTGCGGGAGCGCAGGAGTTTGTATAGTTCCCATGACGAGGAGCTGCGCTTTGCACCTGTGGAGACTGTCTTCGGAACGCGTATGTGAGTGGCTGCGGTGAGACAGAGCTCATATGAGTCACCAGCGAACAGATGTTCCTTGGCTTGGTTGATACGAGCGATGTATCGTTCGCGATCCGGAAGAACCACTGTAGGAGCAGCCGCAGAACTGTTCTTCTTTCTGCGCTTGGTAGGTGAAGCGCGCGCCTCTTCTGGCTGCGTCTTGGCGCTCTGTTTGAGGAGAAGAGATGTATCGTCAAGCCAGGCGTCGTCGTCTGGCAATATTGATTGCACATGCACCTTACCTGTTAGGGAGTCTAAGACTATGCTCCTTTCGACAAATACCAGACTAACGTCAGAGTGACGTCCATGAGCGCATTTTTGCCGTCGCGATGGCAGTGCCGCAGCCAAAGATTGCACACCGAGCTCATAGGTCAAGAACCCGACAAGCCCGCCCCAAAAGGGCACTTCGGTCGCGCCAGCCTCCGCTCTTCTAGCACGCATGAAGGCGGCAAGCCACGTCCAGATATCAGCCGCGTGCAGTTGCTCCAAGTGTGAACCATCACCTTGCGTCGACACGCACACATGCGAACCGCCCACGCAGTACGTTATTTTCTGCGATGCCGCCGTGAGACATCCGATCACGGAGAATCGGCCAGGCTGAGCAGCAGAGTCAAGTAAGACGAAGTCGGAGGACTCGTCGGCGACACCGAGGAGCTCGCAGATCTGAGTGGGTGCGATCCCGGGTAACTGCAAGACGCGGGTGCTGACTTTGGTGACTGGGACAGAGGAGTGAGGGGCGCTCATGGGTGGTGAGATGGGCCATGATGGACCGACTGCTGTGCCGACAGTAGCACTCCAGGGACGTAGCTGTCGGGACTTCATCATAGCCCAATTCTTGGCTAAACGCCAAAAGTTTGAAAGGACTTCTGCTCCCCCACCGCGAGTACGGACAGACTCAGGATGGTACTGGACAGCCCAAAACGGCTTGACGTTGTGCTTGACGGCCATCACGACGCGTCCATTCTCCTCCCCATCATCTGCCCAGGCGAGCGGTTCGACCTCCTCGTCACCGCGTAGCTCTACGTGCAACGAATGGTAGCGAACAGCATCCACGTCCCCGACGCCTTTGAATATCTCACTACCCTGGTGAAGGATGCGCGATACCTGGCCGTGTTTGACTACGCTCAGTCTCTTGAGCCGGCCACCGAATTCCAGAGCGAGACTTTGTAGACCAAGGCAAACTCCAAACACGGGGAGAAGGTGTTGATCGGAAAGCTTCCAGAGGTGCTTGATCAGACCTATATCATCTGGATTGTAGGGGGAACCAGGGCCTGGTCCGACGATCACAGCAGAAAAGTGATCCAACAGGACAGTGAGCTCCGAAATGGAGATGGCGTCGTTCTTGATGATATGGATGTCACATTCAGGTACAGCGCGACGACATAATGCTGCAAGACTGGGCAGTATATCAGCGTTTGCATTAGAAATTGCAAGTTCTCGGGACTGACTTGTGGGTGAATGAATCGTACGAGTCTATGAGTAGAATGCGAGGTCGGCTGGGTATCGCCATAATCAGACTTGGAGGAGAGAAAAGTAGAAAGTTAGAGAATAAATTAAATGCAATTAGACGACCATAGGGCGAATAGAAGGTGCAGCAGAGGCGAGAGACATGGTGAAAAGCGGAATTTGATGGGAATTAACCGAAGCGACACCGCCACTTGCTCTTACGTCTAAGGTCTTAGGCCTTAGACCTCATGCACCGCGACTGTGCCGGAGACAACTTCCCTTACTTCGGGCGATCCTCTTAGGGCTGAAAATTACGAGAATGTTTACTCTGCAAAGCGAGGATAGCTCCCAAGCTACGTTCCGGCGGGTGAGCATGCACTCGCCTTTCTTGCAGCGCATACTCTGACCCGTCCCTTTAGCTCAAGGTTTCTTGCGTACCACTACTTGGAAACTCCCTACTAACTCCCTCCTCGATATCGACAGTCTCCAAGCTTCTTACCGATCTAATTGCGACTTTGCACGATGTGCAGTCTGTTGGCCATGTCCTGCGACCCGCAGTCATCTCCTACGTGTTCTTCCCCTTATCCTCCATTCTAAGGCGTAATGCCCTCTCCACTATTCCAGACCAAGTCATTGAGAAGATCCTGATAATCCTTGGAATCTTATGTGAGAGTTGGTGGTGGCACTTCGACGAGACTATCTGGGAGCAGATCTTCATGTTATGCGGTGCCATCCTTGGAGGAATAGACAGCAAAGGAAAGGGAAAAACACGGGATGATGAGACGAAGGAAGCTGCCGCATCTTGCTTGTGGGTGCTTCTACGAGACCGATCGCCCGAAGAAGATCCCTTGGGTGAAATTCAGCCTCCCCGTGCGGCGTCGATATCTGCAAAGTTCCGGTCTCATGCGCAAACAATGACATTCATCCCTGTCCTTGGCCAAACGCTCAACTCCCTGTTATCGACTTCCGAGTCCGTGCATCTCCCGCTCCAACGGACGTCGCTCAAAGTCTTGGCTATACTCGTCGAAGAGTACCTTCCAGAGGACTTCGTGCCATCCGTGCTGCCCGGCGTTGTCAGTACAACCAGCAAGGTTGCGCTCGGAATTGGGGTTACGAAAGGCTGGGCGAATGGAGAGATTGTGGCTGCAGCACTGCTTGTCATGCGAACTGTCATACTGAGGTCAGCCGGAGACGCTGTCTGCGTCAGACACGGTGCCGTCAAGGGAATCAACGACTTGGAAGATCTCGCTAACTTAACGGACACGTCGGACACACAACCCTCATCGACCTCACGCGCTTCACCATATGCCACTCTGCGTACTCCTAGTTGGCTGCGAGGCACCGCGTCTCAATTGCACATTTCCATGAATGCTCTCACACCATTAGTAAACCATCCGACCCCTGCAGCTCTTCTAGCTCTGTCTACCTTCTCAGAGACCGTCCTGTCGGCGACAACTCTTACCGTGCCTCAGTCTCAGCCGCTTCTTTTGTCCATACTTCTCTCCCTTTCCCGCTCATCGTTCCCCACAGTCGCTGATCGGTCCCGAGAAGGCCTCCGACGGCTACTCATGCCATCGAGCAGCTCGAAGCACGCCCTTCTGCTAGTTATGATGCAAGTCTCGAGAGATAGCCTGGCCTCCCTGCCTCGTTTGATCCAAATGCACGCCGATCAAAAAGTAGAGCACATTGCTGGCCTTATCGAAAGCGTTTGCCGTCTCGGAACCACAGAAAATGACACGGAACCTGGCATCCCTGCCATTGCTTCGGGTGTGGGCAAGCTCCTCGGGCCCACCGGCGGCATTGAGAAATGGGGTTGGAGTTTGCTGTCAGTACTTGAACTAGTCGATCCGCCCGCTATGGTGACCAGCGCAGCTGTGACGTCTTTGCTGCTTGAGTCCGACTCGGGCTCTGTTGATTGGGTTCCGTTCCCGGAGCTTCCACTTAGGCATGTTGTCCAGCAAGGGGCGCATCTCACGCTCGAGCAAATGTTCCGCTCGATGGGCCTTGCGGCTGGCCAAGACTGTTTGTTCGCAGTGGATTGGTTTCTGACCGTGGGTCAGAGCGGACGTAGTCGGCGGGCTGTGGCCGCGCTGTGGTGCGCATGTAGACTCTTGGAAGGTGTCGGACGGGTGTCCCTTACAGATCAAGATGCGCAGAATCTGCCATTGGTCCCAAGGAACAAGAGGCTGGAAAAGCTCGCGCGGGGTCTTTCAAGACAATTATGCGAATCGTGGATGGATGTGGACGAGGAGCTGCCTCAGCAACAAGGGACAGATTCGAAGGAGGCAGAAGACGGTGTCATGGTCGAGCACGTCAGAGGTCTAGTCAACATCCGTGCAGTGGGCAATTATCGGCCGGCCAGCTTTCGTCCGCCTGCTTCACAGCCTCTGTTATACCAGGCCATTTGTCTTCAACTCTTGTCCATAACGGCGGGCATACTCGAGGCTAGGTTCGCGCCCCTTCTACTTTACACGCTGTACCCTGTCCTGCGCTCGATCGTCTCTGAGTCCTCCCTTGTCTCTGCCACTGGGTTGGCAGCGCTGCTTTACATCACTCGCAGCACGTCCTACGCTTCTCCAGCGAATTTGTTGCTCTCCAACTTCGACTATGTGCTCGATGCTGTCTCACATCGCTTGAGCCGCCGATGGCTGGATGTAGACGCAACCAAAGTGTTGGTGATTCTGGTCCGATTGGTCGGCCCTGACGTCGTCCAGAAGGCAGGAGATGTTGTCGAAGAATGCTTCGACCGTCTCGACGAGTATCACGGATATGAAGTTATTGTTGACGGGCTCATTGAGGTGTTGACGGAAGTCGTTAAAGTGGTGGAAGACGTCGAAGGTCATCGGACCGTCCAGCCTGTCAGATTCGACGGTCGGACGAATGCAACAAACAATACTGATGCCCTCCAGGCGTTCATGGACTGGATTCATCACAGACATGAGCATGTTCCTGTCGAAGAGGAAGAGACAGCGGATACTGTCGGCGAAAAGGGGCCGGGCGTGGAGCCGGAGCCGGAGCCGGAACTACCAGAAACGCCCTCTCAAACCCTGACAAAGCAGATCGTTTCGCGGTCGCTTTACTTCCTCACGCATAGCTCCCCCTTAATTCGGGCTCGGATCCTTCTGATGCTCAGCGCTGCCGTCCCCGTGTTGCCTGAGTCAGCGCTACTTCCGTCTATTCACCACGCGTGGCCATTTATCCTGAATCGGTTCGCCGATCAGGAGCCGTTTGTGGTGAGCGCTGCAGCGTCCTTGGTGGAATCACTTGCCATCCACGTCGGGAGTTTCATGTATCGCAGAATATGGGATGACATATGGCCGCGTTTTCGCGTAACTTTGCAGAGGTTGGCCAGCGCCGACGCCGGTAGCGCGCTAGCGAGACGGGGACCTGGCGCCGTAGGCACGGAGTCAGCGTATACGTACTCTCATCGGCTATACAGGTCCGTGCTGAGGACCATGACGGCCGCGGTCAGAGAAGTGCAGCCTCAGGACTCTGCGATATGGGAAGTCATCTTGCTGTGCAGGCGCTTCCTGCACATTCAGGCGCACGAGGAGTTGCAGGCGTGCGCTCTGGATCTGTATAGGGCCATTAGCTTGAATAATGAAGACGCTGTGTGGTTAGCTTTGTCTGCCACCGAAGGACAGATTGATGGCTCTGTGGAGTTCTTGAAGGAGACGAAGTGGGATATACGTCAAAATGCAGGTATTCTATTCTCATCGTAGTATTTCTAGTCATGACATTGTGTAGTGATGACCGACATTATCCATATCAGTGAATTGCTTTGGTGGGAAGGAAAAAGAGTCAACGACGAGGGATTTGTATGGTTATCAATTTGGCCCAGTAGCTAGTCTGGCATTGCGTGCCTTCGAAGTAGCACTCCTGCTTGCTCAAACAATGCAGTTGAAGCATCATCTCTGCACGACGTAAAGTGTCAATGGTCGGCTACGTCTTATCGCACAGAATCCTACTGACACCTTGTAACTCAGATTGTACACAACCTCCTTGATACCCGTCTGAATGATCTTGACCGTGCATTTTAGACATGGACAGCTGCGCATTAGGGCTCAATGAAGGTACGCGGAAAGACCCCGTCGATCACTTACGTATTGCAATACAGGACAGCGCCATCGCCAATACGTTCTCTTCCGGCCTCTAATAGCGCGTTCTCCTCGGCATGGAGACAGATGCATTCATGCGATGTTTCATTCGCGCAGTTGCAACGATCACAGCCACCTTCGTTGCAGTTCGCCAAGCCGCGCGGGGTGCCATTGTACCTGATGCGCGCACTTTGGTGGACGATCACCATGAATTAGGAAACACGTACCCCGTTGCGAGGATACGCTCGTTACGGACTAAAATTGCACCCACTCGGCGCTTCATGCAATTTGATCTTCGAGAGGCTAGCGACGCCAGCTGCATGAAGTAAGCATCCCATCCCGGCCGCAGGCGTTCTCCGTCTAGCAGGTCGAGGCCATCGAGATACGTATAGAACGCAGAAATAGTTTCGAATGAATTGACGACATGAAGATGGACGAGACCATGCAAATCAATCAAAGACCACGTTGGTTGCGACGCAGATGGTGCCGTTCCATAGTACTGTTCGTCATGGTCCCTGACGAAGTCCTCTAGCGAGAGCGCTTTGTCAAGGGATCTATCGGAAAAGGCATTAATGACACGAGTTCAGTAAAGCGCATGAGGCTCACCGCGCCGCGCGTTCGAAGCGGATATGCAGCGGGGCATCTACATTGATGACCACGAAGAACGGCCGTTTTGCAAAGGATTCCAGGACATCTTTAGAGACAAGGTCTACTGTAACGAAGTCCGTCCTCCAGTTGCGCGTGACATGGTCTAGCAGTTCAGTAGGCGTGGAGAAGCTCAGGGGATTACAGCGATACAAATCTGTGTCAGATGCGGGAGTGTCCGAGGCGGGAGACTCAGGCTGTAACGGCGAGTTCAATGTGAGGAACGAACGCCTGTAATCCGACGAAGGAATGGATATTTTGACGAAGCCTTTGATTTTATCGTGTCCAGAGTCTGCATCTACGGAAGCCAGACATCAGGCTCAGCGCGATTTTTTATAGCATCAAGTTTACCCTAAGACCACTCAGAACTCTTCAGCCTGCATCCTGCATAGATGATATCTAAATAAATGTACCTCGAGGCGGACGGGAGTGAACCCTTTCAGTTCTACCAGATAACTCTCGAGCGTGGACCTTCCGGATGATCGCGTTCCAATTATCGCAATGAACATGATCTCGGTAGAGTTTATACAAGAGTGCCGGTGGACTCGCGGTCTGTCCTCCACATAATACTCGATGGTCACACTATAGCGCCTGAGACTAAGCAAGACAAGAACAAGTCGATACAGTAGGCCAATTCTCACGCAGTTGAATCGTATAGCGATCGTAATATAGTATGGTGATAAGCAAAGCGCTCGATCGACGAAATTTCTCACGCGGGTATAACAGGCATGAGAACGTATATATAGTATGACCAGCATTACCGCCAATGGCACAGAACAAGAACAGATGGTCTACGCCGGATGCTTCTTCGAATCTCTTTTCCGTTGTCGGGCGGCTGCCCTTGATTTCGCTCGCTTCTGTTTGGCAGCTCTCATGTCTTTGGGGGCCGTAGTATGGAGTTGCTTGATGTGTGTAGGGACAAGACTGTCAACCTGAGGTGTCAACAAATGTGACAGCCAGGGAGCAGTGATCAATGGTATCTTCTCAAGAAGGGTTGTAAGCGTCGAAAAGTCCGGGGCAGAGTCCTTCAAAACAGGGTTGTCAGAGTCTGCTGCCAAATTGATGCGACTACACTCACCGCAATTGACATCACGCAGGCTCTTCTGAGACCTAAGGCCTCTGTCAAGGACAGCTCTGCACCTTTGGGTAAAGGAACGAGCCAAACTTTGCCAGTGGTTCCATTGGCACGGCGAGAATTACATGCCGCAGCAAGATGGGGAAGATGCTGAATCAGGATGGGAGGGTTGACATCACCCCGGCAGACAAGGACTAGGTGGTTGCAGTCATTCGTGGCAAGCTCGGCGCTGTCCTTCGCTGTTACGGCTCGGCGGTAGGACTGTGCCATCCCCTCCAACAATTTGGTTACTTGATTGATGCCAATTTCCAAATGATCAAGAACCGGCGGGAGCGGTATTGACGTAGACTCTGTGCCAAGCACAGCCGTGTTGGAATTAGTGGGAGTTTCTGGGCATGCGGGAACAGAGAGGGTTTCATCATCCAAAGAGTTGGGTTCATGGGGTGATGTGTCCCTAGATGACGACCTTTGGCTCTTGCGCGTTCGGGCATTTGGGCCTTTCTGAGCTCTTTTTCGTTGGAAGCTGTGCCCGTGCCGGGAGTGATGATATATGGAGACTTCTCTGACCATGTCGAGCACGCGAGTGAAAATTGTATTTTGCACATTTACGGGAAGGGATGGCCTGTGAGATGAGGTCCATAACTGTGGTCGGGGAGCTGATGTGGCGGTGAAACATCACCATTGCACCCTGAACGGGTTATCCAGCACGCTTCGAAAGACCACCTTCCGATCGGCGGCCCCCCTCGCCCCAGCACGGTTAGACGGGTTGGCGTGAATGCGTGCGGTCTTGTCTGACATGCAGAAGTGCTGTTACAGAGTCTGGATGCGGTGATAGAGCTGACAAGGCCGTAATATATCACAACTCGTGGACTGCACAATCGCGACGGTGATGGTCGAATGGCACGTTCGCGCCAACCGTATAAGGCAGTTGATGCGATCAACTACAAGATCGTGGCGCTAAGGACTGCATTCCGCTCATGCTCACTTCAGTGTCTCCTCGAGCATTTGCTCAACATCTTGTCTCGCTCATCGCTCATGCAACTTGTAACGTTGCTCATGGATGGAGGGCCGCATGTGTTGCGTCTACATGACTGCATCCCGTTGAGCGGTTCGCCCCCACGGAATAACGGTCCGGTCATATCGAGGTTCCAGGGATGCGATAGACCTCTCATGACATTGTCTGTGAGTAGCGTTGCTATGCTTGATGATTGGGGAAAGGATCACAGCAATTCACATTAGACCATACCTGTCCCACCACGCCTGAGCCTGGACGTTCAGGTGACGCATAGATTACAACTGGTCGCTTTGAGATCTCATTAATCCCGGCCGTCGGATCAATCTCCCCTGAACCTGATGAAGTGGGTTCGGACGGCAAGCATCCGAGAACCCGTGGGGCAGTGGGCGGCCCTCGCTTGAGTGCGGCCTCTGCCTTTGGGGAGAAAGAATCCGTGCGCCAGGTATCTTTTTCATAGGTTGTAACTAAATAGCTTAACAGCGTTGCTTCTTCTCGAATAGATCAACTGTCATGATGATACGGGTCAGAGGCCACCTATCAGGAGTCTTTCGGTTGCGCCACGCGCGGCTGCACCGGATCCGACTAAGGCGGATGGTCGCTCAGACGAGCCTGAGGATTGCGATGCCAGACGTAGACGCCCAATGGCGCTTGCAAACAACTCAATATGAGTCCATGAACATTTGGGATCCTACGCTGGGACGGAGCGCCGAGCATGGTGAATTGAGAGAACCGGCATGCGTAAACCAGTAGACGGGAAACCGCACTCACCAGAATGAATATTCTGTTTTCTCCGGCGCTAACATACTCTTACGCTCAACTTCATCTGCGCCGGGGAGACCAAGTAATAGCCTGTCTCATATCCATCCCAAACCATCGGCCATCACGTACTCGCCGAATGTGTTTTTCCTGGAGTCTGAATCTGTCCGGACCTTATTTATTCTGATGGGTGATGTCGGGTTTGACCTCTTAGGTCATTCCTAATTCATGTCAGCGAAAATCTGCCAGGCGTCAGCGGCCTGCGGGATGGGCTGTGCAATGAATGCCTATTCCCCGGAGCCTGCAGTCACACAATCCGACAGGACTTGTCAAACCAGTTTGCGCTATAGCTACGTTCCTTTGATGGGTCACCGGCAGTGTTTTCATCCTCGCATCCACCTGATGCGTCGTTTTATTCCATTCTTGCTAGCCGCTGCGCATATAAGGTCTCGATTCATCGCCGAGTCTTACCTCCCACTCCACAAGGTCACCCGCTCAGACAACCCCGAGCCCCCCATAAATCGCCTCTCATCCAGATGCCGTCCGTCTCTGCCAGCTACGTGGTGAAGACCTACACTTCTGCCAATGACCTCCCTGCCGAGGTCTGGCAAGCCTTCGACGCGCACGCAAGGGACTCTAATATCGTGTATCCTTTTGCCAAGAAAGCGAGACTGCACGAACGATCTCGAGGCCATCATCGCGGTGCAGACGTTTGGTTGGTCTGTTACAGTCACCAGCATGGCAGCGGTACGCCTTCCGTGGATTTTGTGCTATCTTGCACAGAGGGCCCATTTGGCCCCTACCCTGTCTTCATATTCACCCCCATCCCATCCACGAAGCTTGACCCACACCACTTCCTTCCCCGACTTGAAGTGCTGGCCTATACTCTGCAGCAGGCCGTACCCCCGGAACGTGTGTTCTCCGTCTTCGCTCTGGAGACCATTACTCGTGCATTCGCCGCAATCTGGATGCGCGAGACGGGGATACCGCTGGACCCGGAACCAGAGTATTACGCTGCGAAGTTCACCTATTGCACGAAGGAGACCATCAAATTCCGTCAGACGACGACGCTCTCTGACGTGAGCTACCAGCTGCGCCTAGCCACAGAAACAGACATTCAGGACGCAGCCAAGCTCTGCTTCGGTTTTGCTGCAACATCAGTCAGTCTGAATATTTTTTACAATTCATACAGAGCTTGAACGAGTCTCTCAAGGAGCCATTCGTTTTGAGCAAGGAACAGGCCGTCCAGGAGGCTGCGTACCTCATTCAGAACGGGCAGCTATGGGTTCACGAGATTACCACCTCTAGTCAACGTCCAGAGATTGCATCCATCGTGGCCGTCACGCGGACCAGCGATACCGTAGCTGGAATAACCAAGGTGTTCACCAACCCGAGATGGAGACAGCGTGGATGTGCCGAACGCCTCACCAGATTTGTCTGCCAGCGGTGAGCAGCAGCCATCTGACCACACATCGGAGTAGTTGATTAAGCTGACTTTCATGTGCCCAGTCTACTGGAAACAAAGGAAAGCGTCGTTTTGTACGTGGCACACAACAATCCCGCGGCGGCGAAGGTCTACCATCGTGTCGGGTTCGTCGGACTTTCTGGTGACGAGCATTCCACCAGTACAGTGGATGACTGGCTTGAACTCGGTTTCGAGCGCGACCTCGTGGATCTGGGACATTGGTGAGAATGCAGATATTGATCCAGACAACTGCTATGAGATTCGATCTCGCTACGCAGTCGTTGCAGATGCGGTGTGAGTCATCTACCGCTTAGCCGCTAATTTAGTAATACTTTACATATCAATTCCTTCTGCTTGATCATGACTCTCGATTATCTTCCATCTACTTTACGCAGCAGATCGAGTGTGACTATATCGGATTTATCTATAATACTAATGCCCTGGTGGCGCAAAGACACCATTTTTTGGTCGACGCTGTGCACACGTGCGTTCACATGCACATGAGTTTGTAAATTGTGTATGAACTCGATGAGCTATAACCACGCTGTACACAAAGAATCATAGGAACGTAAAAACGCGTTTGTTAGAGTCCGCCTGAGCTGCGTTGTTGTGGCATCATCCCGAAATGGACGTGGGTCACACCAGCCTGTTCACGCGCCCCCGCCATCTGCGTCCGGACTGACACCTCGAGTTTCGGCCAGGACTTTTCGAAATGTATTCGTTACGTTTCAGACGATTCCGGGACACCTTGCAGCCCCATAGCAAACGTCTGCCGCTCCCAGTGATCTCTTGCAGCTCATTCAGGACACTCTTCTGGCATTCGCTTCACGCTTGCCGCCCTTATCGTTGATATCAATGTCTGCCATAGGAACCTCATACCCCTCTGGACTTGGGATCATAGCTAGTCAGTCATCGTTAACGTCGGCTCACGACCTCGCCGCTCTGTCATTTACTGGGACCGAAGGATTCGCGAAACGAAGCGCTGCAAGTATTGCGGACCCAACCTCTGTCTCCAAACATTCCACGCTATCGGGACCTCTTCCAGGAGCCTTTAAGACTTCTCGTGCCTCAAACGTGTCTCGAAAGCTTACGGAGGATTCGTTGGACGTATCATCCGATCGGCGCACGCACGACTCCTCTAACAAACTCGACACTCTCGCCGCACATGATGATCCCAGGGAACGCAGTTCAGTGGCAATAGGGAACAGGGACGGTGTTTTTATCCGCTCTGATACACTGCTCAATTTTGGAGCCTCTCAGACGAGAAACGCCGCTGATCTCAAGGTTCTCATGGGCAACTCGAACGCGCGGTTGAAATCCGGAGCAACCGTTCGTTCTACTCGTAACCAGTCGGAAGATGCGGCAGACGATCAGGACAGTGCTGTCCCTCAAACAGTCTCTCTTGAGCAAGCGAAGACACGGGCTCGTGTCGAAGTAGATATCATCCTGGCCAGCGATGCTTTCATTCAGGGCAGTCAGGTCAGAGGACACATCAAACTACGGGTTCGTAAGAGAACGAAGAAGGAGGCTCCAGTCTCTATCGCTGACGGCAAAATCCGAGTCGTCGGCTTCGAGTGCATCCCAGGCGACGAGGATCGTCACACGTTCTACCAGTGCGCGTCACCCTTGGAGGCCGTCACCGAAGGCCTTCCTCTCTTGTACAATTCCTCCCCCGACTCGGAAGGCTTCGTAGAAATTATCGAAGGTGTCCATGTCTTGCCATTCGTCATGCGCTTGCCGTCGGATGGCACTTTCGGGATGGCGAAGGGAGTCCTTAATGTCCATTCGGGCGTGAACGTGCGGTACATCGCGATGGTGTAAGCATGATATTTTAACACCGCTTTGTGACGAGTCTTACCGAGACTACTCCAGATCAGTCAAGGTCAAGGACACGAAGAGTGGGAAACGATCTGTTGCGCATTTTTACCGGAATTGCGAGGTCTGGCCTCGGCTTGATTTGTCCGTCGTCCTCGCGCCTGCTCCAAGGCCTCTTCAAGCCGCAACAAGCAAAAGTCTCTCTGTGCTGAGCAACGGCAGCAAAGTGAAGCTAACTGCGCTGATGCACCGGCTGACTTGGGTAGCCGGTCAAAGATGCTATGTTGACGTTTCTGTCATCAACGAAACGAAGAAGACCGTCAAGACGTTGACCTTGACGCTTATTCGGACGACGACTATTTTCCGGCCGAAGCCTGCACTTGACGCCGGAAGCGTGCGCTCAGTGGATCTAGACGCATGTCAGACTTCGACGATGCACAAGTTACTCGCGGAAACGGTCCTGGAGATGGCTCAACGAGGAACGAAAGGCCATGCCAGTGCTAAGGGTTGGTGGACCGGCGTGGGGCCTGGTAAGGAGCTAGCATTTTCCCATTATATTCTGTTACCGGTAAGCAAGTGCCATTCCCGCATGATGGCCGCAATCTCATCTGCTCATGCCAGGCTGAAGCCTTGTCGATTATACGAGGCCGTTTGCTCGAGGTGGAATATTCTATTCGTGTCACACTGAGCGCTGGGTCATTGTCCTCCGATGTGCACGTTACACTTCCCGTACGTATCGTCAATTTTCTCTCCATTGACCCGGCACCCGTCGGCTTGCTACATTCTCCGAGCGGTGCCCATGTTCGCCCTCTGCTGCGTCGGCGATCCATCGACGGAGAAATAGACTCGAGGAGATCATCTGTTACTGACTGGCCTAGCATTACTCGCAGTGGAGAGATATTGTTCCAAGGGCAAGGTAGCGCGCTGTACAACCACGTTGATAGCAAAAAGAACGCACCCAATCTCCCTCAGGCGCAGTCGGGTATTCGCAAAGCCCGTCGCGCCGCTCGCGCAGCGCGCACCAATCAAGGTAGCACCATCTCAGCGCTGCACGTCATGAACCCCGACCGGCTTTCGTCCACGGCCTCTTCATTGGTGGATGAAGGCGATGGTAACGACAGTGAGGCTAGCTTTTACTCCACGGACGAGAGCTCCTACCTATCTAGCGCGGACGAACTTCTCGCCTCATTGTCCGAATCCCAGCCGCGAGAGTTGGGAAACCTTAACCTTGATGAGCCCGACTCGGACAAGGAAGTGAATTTTGTTGTTGGAAGGTTTGTGGAGGAAGACGACGAGGACGATGTGCCCGGGTTTCTCGCAGGCCCCAAATACGGCTCACGCGCCTCACGCGTTAGCGTAGCCCGCCCTGTGGGTCCGCGCCCGACAAGCCACCTGGAAAGGGGCAGGCGGCGCGAATTGCGTCATATTCAGCACGGAGCTATTAACACGCCGATGGCCACGACCTACTTCCACCAGCGGGTGCATGAGAAACTCGCTGCACTCGCCGTGTCCGATTCCGACGCGTCCGCTAATTTCATCACATCGTCCCCATCCTTATCTCCACCTCTTCCCGGAACCTGTAGCTCCGAATCTGGGTCGGAGCCAGGATCTTTGCAGAACTTTGCGCTCCATATGGGCGCACCGTCGCCACGAGATCTTAGCGTGGGCGCATCAGACGAACCCGCCACGGACGCATGTGTCCTCTTTGATGCGGATGCCACGCCAAGACTAGGACGCGGGTACGACGTGCAAGCTGTGCATTGTCTATCAGTGATAGTGCCCCAGGTGACGGTGCGCCCACTCCGCCCATCTCGCCATCCTGCTCGGCGCGCACGTTCTCAGGGTGGCTCTGCCGCAGTAGATGTGTGCCCGGCCGAAGCCACTAGTACACTGGTAGTCCGTTCCCAGACCCCGGTCAGCAGTCAGGCATCCGATGAAATGACTTATGGTGACGTTTGTACTGATGGGTCAATGTACTCGTCTGTCAAGATCACGGGCAGTGTCAGGACGGTCCGTGAGCTTCCTCACCCGCCTGTGCCCGTCTCGCCCCACGGAGCTTTGCCTGAATGTCTATCCGCTACCTCGGTCCCGGTCTGTCAAATCGAACGCGGTTCAGTAGCCCGTGGTAGCGGCGTGGCACTCAGTCACCGTACCACATTGACGGCATCTGTTCCTTCTGCTGCCCCTTCAATGCGTTCCTCGTCATCAACAACGCAATCCCGCATGCTGTCCACCTCAGATCCGTCTTGTGCTTCTGGAGTACTTTCTGCTGAGTCAGTGAGTACCTCGGTGCCGGCAGCGGGTTCTAGTGGAGAGCCCGCGTCTGTCGATGCCCCTGACCCAAGTACGCCTCCTGAAACGTCTGCGCACAACACGCTGTCCTCACCGCATCGCACCGATGGAGCCGATCACGTTCTTAGCGGCGACCGCACGCTGGCGCAGGAGCATCACCAGCACGCACGCGCGGCGGGTTCCCACCAAATCCGTGGTGTCCCCATCTTTCGCGGAAGGCCCCCGCGCGTGCTTGCGCGCGCCATGGCAAGCCCCACGAGGTCAGTCGGGACGGGCTCAGGTTCTCCCGCTATCAGCGGGAGGAAGGCAAGGCCGACGAGTGTGCACGCGTACTCTGCTGCTGCGCTCGCTCGCCCGTTGATGGGGATGCAGAGGGCTGGGTCGGACCCTGGTGAGCATGCAGGTACAGCTACTGGTGGGAGTGCGGTTGCAGAGCGCGTGGCGGCGCTGGAAGAGCGGACGAAGACCGCATAAGGAGGTGTGCACGTTTGAAGAGACGTGCTACGCTGGGCCGCCGCATTGACTAGTTTCATCCATTCCGTTCGTTGCTAGCTAGTTGCGTGGTCGATCTTGATCGGCGAACATATGTGTATTCCCTACCCATGGATCTTTCGCAATTTTCTGAGACTGCCGCGCAGCTGCTATAGCAATTGAGTAAATTATATGAGGCCTGTATAAGCACCGGCGAGCCGAGCGCCATGCTTGCCTACGTTCGGCTGTTCAAGGCACTCATGCACCAACAAAGGCACACTACGCTAGTTAAAGTTGCCGACGGACGACAGACTTCCCAGACAAACCAAAGTCGCTGACCTTTTCTAGTCACTTCGATGCCTAATTTATTCCGGATGATTGTGTGGAAGCCGACCATCTTGACGAAAATTAAAACTGGCGAGCGCGGAAGTATCTTGAAAAGCGGAGGGATCTCTGAGTTTGGATGTACCTTGCCGACGTTCCGTGTGGAAGCAGATCGAAACGTACTCAAAATGGCTCGGTTATTCATCGAGTGACGATCACGCAGCCTCGCGCTTGCTGTGCACCCTTCTGAGATAGGTATAGCATGGTTTATATATCATCACTGAGCCACTGACCGGAACACTCTAGGAAATGGAAGACCCAAAGTTTGGAAATTGAGGCCTTTGCAAGTGCACATGGGCCGTTGTCCCTCCGTGCAGCTGATGCAATCGTTGCATATAGAGTTTGACTTGGTAGTTCCTGTGGTAAATCCGAGGCGCCCGGTTCCTACTCACATGGACACATTGCGATTGTCATACCTTTCTCTATATAGTAAAGTATGAGTGGTCTTGTGGCAACATCAGGGCAATCCATCCATGCCACCATGGCAAACTTTACTCGCTATATTGTTCGCCTGAGATTATCTTCGCTGAAACGCGAGCTGTTTAGGCTTACGTTATGTGGGATTCCGTGTCGTGAATTAGCGGTGCTACAATTCCGATGATATATTGACAGTTGCATGTCAGTCGCCATGACAGAATGACGGTATGCACTTGCGTTGCGCTTCTGATCATCCATACCATGTCTCATCACTCAATGGCCACACCTCCATTTATATGAATGACTTGGCCACTGTACGCGATCAACTGTCAGCGACTTTTCTTAATGAGTAGAAGTGGCTCGTGTGACACATACCTGATGTCACTCGAATCTACTGATGCGAGGTACACGAACGCTGTTGCGATCTCAACGGGCTGACCTGCACGACCCATGGGGACCGTCATTCCGAAATTTTCAATTGATTGCTTTGACATCGTAGCCGGGCTGTATGCGCATGTTAGTACTGCGCGCTTCTACGCAATTGGCGTGCAAGCGCTCATATCAATGGCGTCCAGATCGGACCGGGTGCAACCGCATTGCAGCGAATGCCTTTCTCTCCAACAATCTGGTTGCTGAGCGCGCGCATAAAGCCGATGATAGCGCCCTTTGTTGCAGTGTAGTCGATGAGCTCGGGGTGACCCACGGCCATGTTGATGGATGCGTTAAAGTTGATCGTCGCGCCTGGAGGGATGTGCGGGATGGCAGCTTTGCAGATGTAGAAGAAGGAGTGGATGTTGGTGTCAAACGTATTATGCCACTGCTCGGTGGGGAGCGTGGGCAGATAGGTGTTGGCGTTCTGTGTTCCATGATTGAGCACACTGCAGGTGAGGTCAGTATATGCGGGTTAAACAATGTCAAAGTGCAGGGAGTGCACTCACAGGGCATCGAGCTTGCCGTGGAAGGATATATGCTTTTCGATGAGCAGGATACACTGCTCCTCTTTGCGAAGGTCGAACTCGAGCATCTGGACTTTGCGTTTTCCGTTGGTCTCCTTTTTGATCTCCTCCTCCGCTACCTTGGCCTCATCCTTTTCCTTCGAGGTGTAGGTAAGCGTGAGGTCTGCGCCTTCCAGGGCTAGGCAAATCTCAGCGTCGGTCGCTCACGAGCCGCATAACTTTGCAGACCCACCGAACAAAATCGCGGTGCTCAGACCAATACCGCTGTCTCCACCCGTAATAATGGCGCTCTTGCCTTCGAGCTTCCCAGAAGCCTTGTAAAGCTTTCCATCTGCAGTGACATTGTTGAGCGGCTGAGGATCGAGCTTTTTCTGGAGACCTGGAGCATCGGGCTGCTCCTGGAGGGGAGGTTTATAGCCCTTTTGGAACTGCTCGATGTACTTCATGTGCATTGTGAGTGGAGATCGAGGGAGGGGAGTACTCTGGCGAAGGGAACGACTTACGAGGATTTATAGGCGTTGGCGAGCGACGCATATTGTCGCACTTGAGGCGGTCACAGATGCCGGCGGCATGGTCGAGGAATGGGAAATGGTAAAGGCGCCGCTTTGTGACGCCACCGCCGATTCGCGTGCAGATTGCTCGTTGCCGTTGAATCTGCCTCTCTATCTGCTCAGATTCCCTCAATCTCGCTGCGTACTTAGATTCTGCGCAGAAAGGATCCGCACTGACTCACCACTGCGCCGGTGGCCCCGCGACTGATCCGATCAGTAACTGGCAGGTGCCTTCCTGCAGCCTGTCCTCCGCGAGTCAGTCTCCTGTGCTTAAGCAACACTACACTTGAACTTCTACACTTGAACTTGTCTATGTCTATCAAGAGCCTTCCTCCCGTCCCTCCAGAGCTCAAGTCCATTTCTCCCTATCTGCAACGCGCCGAAGAGCTCGCATCGCAAGATGCCGTTGTTGCTTACTGGTGTACGTCGCTTCTTCTTCTTCCTTCTATCTCTCATCGGAAGTATTCCAGGTGCATGCTACGCAGCCCAGCTCGGCATTGCAGCCAAAGCCAAAGAGCCCGCCTCCCGCAAATTCCTCTTCGACCTCCTGGACATCCTCGAGAAAATGAAAGCACAGATGAGCTCGAACGACGCGATCGAGGACGAAGCAGCTGCCAGTGCTTACGTCGAAAACTTTGCGTTGAAATTGTTCACCATGGCAGACAATGAGGACAGACGTGGGGAGGCGACTCGGTGAGTTTGCCCGTTCGGTTATCCCGCTCGACTCAACGTTCATAAAGTCCTTTTCCCTTTCCTCTCATCTGCTCATATTCACTTACAACTGGTGTGAAATGAATTGCAATGATCACCAGCAAAACAGCCAAGAAATTCCTCGTTGCAGCCAACTTCTTCGAAGTCCTCCGCACCTTCGACAAGCCCGGCTCCTCCTCCACACCCACCGACAACTCCAACGAAGACAAGATCCGCTACGCCAAATGGAAAGCCGCTGACATCGCCAAAGCCTTCCGCGAAGGACGCAAACCCACACCCGGCCCGGCTGGGTCAAGCGTCAACGCGAGCCCAAGCCCCGAGCCAGGTGCGCTTCAGGTGGAACAGGCGGTTTCTCCGCCACCGGGATCGACCACGACCTCGCCCCCGCCGGCTCTCACGGACATGCCGCCGGGCCCGGGCGCGTGGAGCACAGTGGCGACGGTGGGCACGCCGGGTGTATCTGGCGGTAGGAGGAATCTCGGCGCTCGCGTGAGCGGAGAGTTGGAAGGTAGAGAGCAGGAAGCTTTGGATATGGAGAGGCAGACGATCCCGAGAGAGGTGTCGCCCCCGAAGGAGGTGCGGTTCACGCCGTCCGTTGCGGGCAGGTTTTCGACGCCCGGCGCACCTCCAACTCCCTCGACAGCAGCCACTGTCGCGTCGTCTCCCCCCGCACTCTCGGAGGAACCAAACCCTTACGAGCTCGCTACTGCGCCCACGCTCGACCAGCTCCCGCCAGAGATCGTTCCAGAGTCGATGGTGCCGTTGCCGGTGTCTCCAACCGTAGGAAGCGCAGAGCTTCCGCCCCCACCTCCTCCTTCACAGCCGTCGTTTGCCGCGCCCTTCCCACCGCCGCCCGTCACGGCTCCCTCGTTTGCGCCGTATTCCTCCGGCGCACCGGTCGCGCCCCCTCCGCCCTTCATCGCCCCTCGTCCTCCCGTCCCGCCTCCTTCCATGATCTCCCCTCCCCAACTGTACTACTCGCACCCACCACAAGCACATGTTTCGGAGGTGACACGGACAGAGGCGGTGGAGCTGACTCCGGTGGAGATGGCGCGTGCGCAGAAGCATTGCAAGTTTGCGATCTCGGCGCTGGATTATGAGGATGTGGAGCAGGCGCGGAAGGAGTTGAGGGCGGCGTTGAGGATGTTGGGTGGGTGACCGAGATGAGATTTCCACATCATTGAGTTATCGATGCTGAAATGAAGTCTCTCGTTAAAATTCTGCATGTTCGCTAGCATCTTTGACACATACATTTGATTGCTCTGTCGGTCTCATCAGGAAAGCTCAAATCCGGCTTACGACACTTTTATCCGCTGGCCATCACCAAAAAGACAATAACGGTGTACTTATTGGCTTGTGCAAGCCAAAACCGAGAGAATAAGCCAAAAAGGAGGCTCCGGAGCCACAAGCCCATTCATCAGGAAAACTCAAATCGGCTTTTATCCGCTTGCCATCACCAAAAAAAGACAGTAAGCCCGAAAAAGTCTCAGGACCTCCTTGTTTCGGACTTTTATCCGAGTTGGGAGCTTCTTATCGTGTGCTTATTTGCTTGTACAAGCCAGATTCAGCAAGAACAAGTCAAAAAGGAGGTTCTCGAGCCACAAGCCAATTTGAGTTTTCCTGATGTTTGAGGTTTCCTGATGCTTTTCCTGATGCTGGAACAGATATCAGTGGGCAGACCGTACAAATGTAGAGGGCACAATTGCTAGATACGGTGCAAGTTTTGTGTTAAACGAACGTCGGAATGAGTGTCGTCTGACTACGGGTCCGGGCCACTATTTCATTGTGGCCCCGCGCAGATCGCTATCTCGCCGATCGTTCACACGCCTCTGCTGAGTCAGCATCAGTGCGTGGCAAGGCAGTTGCCCGTTTCACACGCAACCCACTCGAGCGGTAACAAAATTCGCCCTCGTAGCGCAGCCTCGCTTCCCCTCTCCCTCTCCCTCGCTCTTTGCCTCTGGTCCTTAGCACGTCCATGCTCACCCACACGCCGCCATTTTAAAGGACCACCGCTCGTACTCCGTTCTCCGGGATGGCACCGAGACGTCTCTCGTTCTCCGTCAACCCTCTCTGGACGCACTATATCTCGCTCGCATCGTTGGCGTTGGCTGTGCTGCTAGGACTCGTGCGATACTCCCTCGTTGGTATGTGCGTGCCCGTTTGCGCTCTCGGACGCTGTCTCAAGGGATGACCGATGCGCTGCAGACCGTACCGATCCGTTGCATTGCCATGCGTTGCTCACGGAGGGCCAGTGGCTGGACAATAAGTTCAAGAACTGGCAGCCGGAAGGTGAGTTATCCACACTGAATGCATCGCAGAAGAGCGAGGGAGACTAATTGCTCCGCAGGCTGCATGATGTACACCTACATGCCGAAGGATGTCACCGCCTGCATGGCCGCGCGCCGGGTGGTCTTTGTTGGCGACTCCGTAGCACGCCAGCTTTTCTTCCAATTTGCACACGCCGTCGACCCGACCTTGCCCACGGCCCCTCCAGACGATGCGCTCAAGCATTCCGACCACCTCTACACATCGTCCTCCTCTGCCATCCAGCTTTCCTTCATCTGGGACCCATACCTTAACTCCTCTCAAACATTCTCGCTAATCAATCCCTCCTCCACGAGCACAAGCGCAAGCATCAGTGCTCCTGACCCCGATCGACCCGCACTCCTCGTGCTCGGATCCGGCCTATGGTACCTCCGCTACGCAGATGCAGGCTCGGGCGGGCTTCCCGCCTGGGAGGCACGCATGGCAGGCATCCTCGACGCACTCGCGCGCGCACCCTTCCCGCCCGCCGACGAAACGGTCGTACTGCCCGTGGAGGACATCGTACCTTTGAAGCTCTCGCGCGAACGCGCCGCGTCGATGCACTCCTCCGACATCGACGCGATGAACGCGGACCTGCAGCACCGCATCCGTCCGCCGGCGCTGGCGGACCCATATGCGTTCTTCCCTGGGATCGGCGGGCGTGCCCCGCCGAAGCGGATGCTTCCTGTGTCGTTGCCGCTGGTGTTCAATCGGATGCTGGATGGGTCGCAGACGGAGGACGGGCTGCATTTCTCGAATGGCTTGGTGACGGCGCAGGCGAATGTGCTGTTGAATTTGCGGTGTAATGACGTGTTGCCGAAGACGTTCCCGTTGGACAAGACGTGCTGTCGGAGCTATCCGAGGCCATCGCCGTTGCATGCTTTAGTTCTAGGGATAGTCATTCTGTGGGGTCCTATCTGTGTGCTGTTGTCTAGACGTCTTGGTGAGCCATCGCGAGTAAGATATCCTGCAAGCATTCACTCACAGGAGGACAGGCTATCGTTCATCTGGGCAACCTCTCGTTGGTGAACATGACATGCCCGCTGTTGTAGTGAGCGCTGCAGCTGCATTGATATACCTCGCGGATCGCACTGGGTTTTGGTTGAAGGAGCAAAAGCAATTTAGTCCCTGGGTATTCTCATTCTTGAGCATGCTAAGTCTTGCCATCGGCCTACTCACAACGAGGCGGGCGGACAAAGATCTTGGATTCATGAATCGCGAACAGACGGATGAGTGGAAGGGGTGGATGCAGAGTACGTTCATCTCGCGCTGCAGCGCCTTTGAGTTAGGCTGACCTCGTCTGGCCCTCAGTTGCTGTCCTGATTTATCATTATACCGGTGCATCCAAGGTGTCCGGGGTTTACAACGTCATTCGAGTGCTGGTTGCTGCGTATCTTTTCATGACAGGATATGGACATACGACATTCTATGTCAAGAAGGCTGACTTCGGCTTCACACGTATTGCACAGGTACGTTGATTCAGCTTTCTCTAACCACCACGCGGACTCTGAGAATCGATACGCAGGTCATGATCCGACTTAACCTGCTAACTCTGCTACTCGCATATATCATGAACACCGATTACCTCTCCTATTACTTTGCTCCGCTAGTATCCTGGTGGTTCCTCATCATATACGTCACGATGGCGGCAGGCTCGCAGTACAATGACCGTACTGTGTTCCTCGTATGCAAGATCCTGCTCTCGATGGCGCTTGTCACCTGGTTCATGAGTGAACAGTGGATGCTTGAGGCGCTCTTCCAATTCCTCGAGAGAGCATGCGGCATCCGCTGGTCGGCACGCGAGTGGTCATTCCGCGTCAACCTTGACCTCTGGATTGTCTACGCCGGAATGTTCACCGCGCTCGCAGTCATCAAGATCCGCGAGCACCGGCTGACTGACCACCCGCAGTGGCCGCTCGCGGTGAAGGCCTCGATCGCCGTGTCCGCGGTCGTGCTTCTGTGGTTCTTCGCGTTTGAGCTGTACCAGCCGGACAAGTTCGCGTACAACCTGTGGCATCCGTACATCTCCTTCCTTCCCGTGGGCGCGTTCGTGGTCCTTCGAAACGCCAATGCCATCCTGCGTTCAGCGTCGTCGAGGGCGTTCGCGTTCATCGGGACGTGTTCGTTGGAGACGTTCATCATCCAGTACCACTTCTGGCTCGCGGGCGATACCAAGGGCATCCTCCTTGTCGTTCCCGGGACCCGATGGCGTCCCGTGAACCTCATCGTCACCACCTTCATGTTCATCTACGTTTCTTACTGGTTCGCACGAGCGACGGGCGAGATCACCAGCTGGATGTGTGGTTCACAGAAGCCGCCGACGTTGCCTACGATAGTGGAGCCGTCATCGAACACTAGCCGGCGCGGTCATGCTATGACTTCCGCTGAGGAAGGGGAAGTGATTTTCCTTGCTGAACAAGGAAAAGATGCCGAGGAAAATGAGCGACCACAAGAACCCGATACCCCCGCACGGCCGCAACGACGGTGGGTGGACCGGCTCGCAGAGGGATCGTCGAATACCCAGTCCTCGCCAGGCTTTAGAGTATGGTATGGCGAGACGGAATGGAAGCCAGGAGTGAAGACAAAACTTGCCATCGCGGCAGCTGCGATGTGGCTGCTGAACATCATGTGGCCATCGCCGTCGTAGATTGGACGAACAGCTTGTCATATGCACATACTTTACTACATGAACTGTAGAACATTACATAGCCTACATAATCGCACCTGACCTCATTGTACTTACTCTACACACGCGCGTGTTTAGCACATACGTCAGATACCTGATGGAAGGGCAGTTACTTGAACGCGAAGACGGATCTGTACAGACGTACATAAGGATCGTCTGGTTGATGACATCATATGAAGACATGCACATATGTCATAATCGTAGCTGTCTCCGGCAGAAAATGGGAGGCGAAATCACCTCCTTGAGCTTCTAGATCTGTTTATTCACACTCGACTGATCCTGAAAAACAAATCGTTGAGCGTACAGATCACACGAGTGATTGTCAAACAACGTCAGAATTAGCATGGTTAATCGTCATGACCCGTCCTTTAGACGGGTTCAGGACTTGACTCTATGTTATTCATCTCTCGAGACTTGGGTTGACGTAGGAGACGAGGACTCACGGTTTCTACCACCAGGAGGTACGCAACTGAACGACCTATTGAGTATAATGTAAGTATTCTGTGCAGTTGACTGGAGGGACGAAGGCTCAGAAATTTGGGTATATGAACGTGTAATTCATCGGCCCGCAAGCCTCGAAGTAGCGATTCGTTTGATTCTCGTCACTGCGACAGAAAAAAGGTCGACTTAACTCACCTGGAGAAGAGGAACATCTGAGACAGCCATGCTGAAAACACGCACAAGACACGCTGACGCCGAAAAATTCAAGTAGCTAAAAGCGTGGCCCATGATCACGTGCAGAAGGTTAGGGCAGGTGCGGAGCGAGCGTGATACGCGCGCGCTACCGCTCTGGGCACTCAGCTTACTTCCACCTTTCAGCTTGAGGTCTCACAGACGACAATGGCCAACGTAGTTACGCATCCCCATCTTCAGGTCGACTTCCATCGTGGGCGCGTGAATCACTCACCGTCTCCTCTGGGCTTCGGGTTCGGCCTCTCATCCACATCTTCCATGACAGGATGGCCCTCGCATGCCCCACAATCGCCTTGGAATCTTCCGATCAACACACAATATGCACAGACGAGACCGGGGAAGCGACGGCATGAAGCAGATGAGGAGTCAGAGAACAGGCAGGCGAGAGATGAGGAGATGGACAGGAGCCCTACGCCGGAACGCCCGAAGCGCGCTGCACCCAAACGGGCACGCACCACGTCAGCCTTGGCTACGATCAGGAATGATGAGAAGGGCAGGAAGGATGGCAAGACCTCGTCCGACAATGATGAGAGCGATGTTGATGTGGGTGTACTGCTAGGTACGCTTGATGCCACTGTGCTAAGAGCTTTGCGCGTACTGAACTGCAATCGGTCACAGCAAGCCTACCATCGCAGGCACTTCTCCCGTTGCTCATGGCGCTGCTCGCCAAACAGCCTTCCCTCAAGTCCACAGTCCTATCGCTCATACCTCGGCCAACACTTGAGACAGCCACACAGGCATTGACTAATGCGGCCAGCAAACTCCGCGATGCATACCCTTATTCCAATTCGCCCTTCTCTCAGCCTGGCCCTTCAAACTCCTTTGGGCTAAGTGGAGGAAGCTTTGGAAGCAGCCTGTCGAACGCGCCATCTACAGCGACTTTTGGTTTTGGTAGGGCAGCGTTCGGCACCGCTCTTGCTTCTTCCCATGCCTCCGGCGGCATGCGTGACGAATACATTCTTTCCCGGCTGCGGCCACACATCACGGAGTTTGTCACGACATGTTTCTCGTACTTCCCCTACTTCTCGTATGTGGCCCCACGAACGACACTGGGCTCCCCGCCATCCTCAAAATCGCACACTCAATCCCATGCCGCTGCGCTCCAGTCTCAGCACAAGGACCGCTCTCATCCCACAGAAACGTTCCTCTTCCTGTCCACGCTCACAACACACATCTTGCAGCAGCCACCGCTCACTCAATCAGCCCTTATTCCTCTTATTCTTCCTCGCTTGCTGGAAGAGTGGAATGCGTGGGTAGATCGCGTGGATCAGGTCGTTAATCGCGAAGGTGGCATGTTTGGGTCTGAGACGGTTCGCGGTTGGGAGAGGGCCTTGGATGAATATGCTCAGGCAAAGGGCTATGGCCTCGAGGCTCTCAGGCAAGTACGCGATCACTGGGTGGCGAAGGTTGGGTGGCTGGTCGGCAGGCAGGCGATGGAGGAAGTGTAATTGGCCTTTCTTGACATGGAAATCGTGGCACTGTTTCCTTGTGTTGTTGCCGCGTGGTAAGGGGACATTCGATCTTTCTCGACTCACGACACGATGCATCTGCTGTGGTTGGTACTGTTCATGATTCTACATACGTTACGACATCCAGCTCCCACGTTCATTGCTTCATACACACTGCATTTGTTCTCGCTATCGCCTTCAGTGTACGGTCATTGCATACATTCCGGAATGTCACGATATATCGCCCTAATTACTCAGACTTTCCATTGTGCAGCCTGATTGACAGTTGCTACATATACGCGTCCACTCGGGTGAACGCGCGTCAGAACGCGTCGCGTCGCGACGCACGTGACCGGCCACCAGTGAAAAATAAGCGCGTCTGTACCCGCAGGAACCGTTGGCAGTCCTGCGGTCGTCGACGCTGATCCTGGAGCGTTTTCAACCGGCTCCTATCTAGCTGGAGCGTCCATGCATGCTGCATCATGCAACCCGTTCCGCAACCCCTCTTGTCGGCGCATTCACAACCATTCTCGAGGCTGCAGCACGTCGAGCGTGGGTCAGGACAAAGCCTGGCCGTGCATACCCAGGAGGCACTGCACGGGCACAGTCCTCGGTAGTGGAGCCGCGTACTCGTGACGATGACAACCGCCCTGCAGCGGAAGGGAGAAAACAGCGGGTTCCTAGATATTCGTGCGTGTATAGTGTTTGAATGAATGCACTTTTCCAGCTGATGCGTTGAGTATGCAGGAGAAGCTTCCTCAGCCAGCTACCTATTCCGAAAGATACCCCGGAAGGATCTGTAACATATGGTGGTTGCTCATCCCTTCATCCTGAGATGCATTCCCCAACGACTACACCGATTGCTCGGGTGCTGTCCCTTCCCGAAGCTTATTCCGCCTTTCTTGAGGTTGATGATGCACGGTCGTCCGCACTATGTCCGCATGAGCGTACCTGTTGCGTTCAGGACGCACCTGTAAGAGCAAGGTCACCCGGGGCAAAGCGCGCGCTGCTGACGTATATCAGTCCGGAGTGTCTCTCAGATGACGATTTCACTGCCATCGATCCAGGCCTCGATCCCTTCCCGGACGCAACGACCGATCCCCCTTGGCAAGAAGTACTCGCTTCCCTGCCTGAATCGATTTCTGCGTCACTCACCGTACACTACGGGCCATATGAACCTCCCTTGCCGGCTCGGCGCCCCAACCCGCGGTCTGCGACCGGTCTATATCGGAATCTACTGTTCTTCCGAATCTCAAGGCCCACACTCTCACTCGAAACTTTGATTGACTACCACGGAGCTTTCAGAGAGTATCAAACGACTCGTTCATTTAACCTCTTGATCACGCTTGCGTTACGTCTGGTGCGATATGGAACAGCGAGGGCGTTGTTCAGGGACATGCAGGCTCGAGGGACACCGCCAGATTCATTCACCCGTCAGCTCCGAGTGCGTCTGTTGTTGAGGGACGGGACTGGATGGCATACGGCCTGGAGGGAGCAATTCATGCACGCTCAAGATGAAAATCGTGGTATGCCTCTGTCGGTGTGGCTCGAGTTCTTTGCGGTGGAGCATAACTATTCACTGCGACGGTGGCGGCATTCTACCACTCAACCCTCGGAGCGGGAGCTGGCTGTCGTGCCCCCAGTCGAGTTCAAGACGTTGGAGAAGAGACATCAGATTCTCATGCAAAACCTACCTACAATCGCCGACAATCATTGGACCCGGATTCCTTCTCGTGCCATTCGACAAATTGTACGAATCCTGATACTCACGAACCATCGAGAGCACGCTATTACGATAACTTCTTTTCTGTTCCGACTGCTTCCTGAGAAGCTGCCCCCACGATGGAATCAGGCTTGTCTCGACATCGTCCACTTGCACATGCTCCCTGGCCCACGACGCGGCTTGCCACATTACAATTTCGCGAGGAAGCTGTTCTTCAAGCTCATTCGATTACGTCCGGACCTGCAGCCGAGCGCGACCACACTCTTTTTGCTGATGCAGCACCTCAAACGATCCACAAACGGAATAGCTATGGCTCAGCCGCTCGTCTACCATTTCGTGGCCCGATGGGGGCATCGAGTCGTGGACGACAAAGTCCGCCGACTACTTGCTTCTCTCGCTATCAAAGGAGGCGATCTCCGCGTGGCTGATGCCGTAGATCGCTCCCAGAAAGCTGTCGAGGAAGCGCGTCAAAAGCGTGCGGCCGAGCAGAGCCTGAAGAACGAACACCAGCATGACAATCTTTCGGGCAAGCGAGCCTTCTCGGCTGCGCTCGCGTTTTCTCGAAGGGGTGAGGAGGGGTGGCAGTGGCGGCTCTTGCGGAGGCGCTTATGGCAAGCCATGCAGAAACGGCGTTCTCGGGGCCCTGTAGACGTCGCGGATGGCGGCATCGGGTAATCATGCCAGTCTTGTGTCATAAAGCTCATGCACAAGTGGTGCCGCTCGGTATGATAGCTGATCAGACTTCATGTGAGTTTCATTCTCCAGATAATGACGGGCTAATTTTTGATTGCCATGAGATCACAGAGGGATCTTGCTGGACCTCCGCGGCATTGCTTGCAGTAGATGAATACCAATTCCGAATAGACCAGGACTGCGAGATACGATCTTGTAGCCCATTAGCAAGAGTTTGCTTCCTTGAATGATTCTACATGACACCTGTCCCGTGCCATCTGCATCCGTCGGTAACCTCGCGTCGGCTAATCATGAACGTGCATTCTGTCTGCGTGCTCATCGCACAGCTAGCGTCCCGTTAGGCCAATTCCACCCTCATTGAACACGCTCAAGGGTTGTGACGTTGTGTGAATTTGAATTGATGAGACTCTTCATTTCTCGACGAGATTGACGCAATCGAAGAATGCATAAGCTGCGACGGCGATAGCTGGATTAGTACTACAGCTTGCTATTCCGGTGAGCGTTCTGACGTGGAGCAGCCCCATCTACGTTCCTCGCTCACGAATTTGCGCGGGTTATAGTGGATCTGCCACTTGAGGCACCAACAGATACTGAAATTCCCGATTAACGAGCGTCAATAGATCGATATAGAGGCAAACTCTGATACCGTGGATCTATATACTCTCGTGTCGATCTCACTCTGCGCGTTAATGTAAGATCTCGGCTTTCGTGTTGTACGTCTTTTTAAGTCGCCGAAGTGGCCGATGCCCGGCTTAATGGTAGGTAACATTCCCAACTCGGCTTGCAATGCGATTTGCTGCCCTCAAGCCTCCGCACAGCTGGTAGATTATAACCCTCGAAATGTTGGAGGAGACGGAAACACGATCTACACGCTGTCTCCTGACACGTACTCTGGCACATTAGGGTCCGCTTCTCTCCTAAAATCGACGTCACTGCGGTGCTCTTTACGGATCTAGGCATGATAATCCATTCCTGGTTCTCGGTGATTTATTGCTCTCGTAAAATACTGCTGAAGCCAATCTGAACGTCGAGCTCGCCGACACCGCGAAGCCCTATATTGACATACTAGATGTGCACTGCGTCCAAGAGCTGTCTTCGAATTTCACGACGGGAACAACTGATGCCACCAAGCGCACGAAGTGTCTCGACCAACGCAAGGCCTCGATACATAATGCCATCAATCCCTGCCTAATACCGCATACTGCAAGATCCATGGCCTACTTTTCGGGGTAGCGATTGTCTAATCCCTGTCGGAACAACTCAGTCCACTGTGTCGATATTTGGCGATTGGCACGAGAGGGATCCAGTATAAAAATTGAGACAGCCATGTCCAGAGTCCTATACGTGCACCCTCTTCGAGCACAGGGACACTTCGTATTCGCCATGGCGCAGAAATACCCCATCCCTGTCGCTGAGCAGTTCCTGGGCATAGCCTGCAATTGTGTCGGCTGTGGGCCAGGAGGTAGTACGTCCATGCTCGCGTGAGTCATTTCTCCTCTACTTCACGTCGCAAGTTTTAATCCATTGCGTAGCCGAGTTGCGATCGTTGACTACCGGGGCCAGACTGTATATTACACATACGTGCAGCCCACCATGACGGTGTCTGATTATCGCACAGGTACCACGGGAATCGAGCCCAGCAATCTAGAACCCGGTACGCTATTTGCTCAGTCTCTTGGTGCGGTGTTAACGTGAAGTACTGACGTATGCAGCTAATGGCGCTCTGCCTTTCAACGAAGTACAACAACAAGTCGCGAACCTGATACGGACCAAAATTCTCATTGGGCATTCGCTCTGGCAAGATCTATCCGGTACTATTCCTCTACGAATGAACGTTATTTTCTCAAATCGAGCAGACATGCACAGTGCTAGGGATACCTCACCCTGCCGTTGCGACTCGCGACGTTGCCCTCTATCAGCCGTTCCGGAATTCATTGCGTACACCTAACCAGGTGGTCGGTCTGCAGACTCTCATGTGGCACCTCATGCGCAGACGCATCCAAGAGGGCAAGATAGACGCTGTACGTGTGCTCATCCATGCTTCGCGCGTGACCTTCCATCTCCCACCCACGCTTCATTGGACCCGTCAACCCCACCATCCATGCCTTGCCCGGATTAAAATATGCTTACTCCTCTCCGTTCCCCCGAAATCTAGTTGGAGAACGCACGCGCCGCAATCGATCTGTACAGGTCGTCTGCGAATGAGTGGGAGGCTTCCATCTCGAAGGGACAGTGGCCTACAGTTCTTCCGCCAAGTACCTTCTCGCGGTGCTATTTGTGAGGCTATCGTTGCGTTCGTTGCTCAGCCGCACTCAATTAGGGGACATATCTTGCGGGTTCGGACTCTCTACCTGAAATGATGGCGAGGTAGAGAGGCACGGCGAGCGGTCGCTTTATTCTGTATATAGAAGATGCCGCTGGCTGCGTACTTAGCTTAGCGCATTCGTATATAATGCTGCCAATGATCTTGTATCGTGAAGCTGGAGTAACGTACGCAATCCATGACTGTGTCATGCCACAGCTACGGTCGTATCTTTCCCCTGATCATTGGCAAAAAGAACGGGTTTCTTTTTCGGTAAGCATATCACGGTTATGACATACGATATCCTGTTTCCTGCAGCTCCGGTAGAGTTCAACCGCAGAAGCTCAAGGCCAACGATCCGTTGACCTCTCATTGATATCGCTTGCTTGACCGTGCCACCTTCGTGTCTCATCAGGCCAATTCCTGTCCAAGTTTCATGCGCCCGACTAAAGTACGATTGGACCCGGAAAACGTCATTATGTGGCAGCTATAGCGAGATTACACTACCGATTGCAAGCGCCGAGTTGTAACGCATTGCCGTTAGTCTGTACTGGAATGACGGAGCATTCGTGTCCGAGATGAGCGGTAGGGGGCTTGCATGCATATCTGTGACGTGCAGACAAACTCGTAGACGCGCATAATGGAAAGCAAAGCGATCAAGAGAGACGGCCGCCCCGCTGAAAATCGGCTGTGTCACATTGGAAACAGTGTTAAGCGATTTAGGGTCAATGATGGAAAGAACAAACGCGAACCCATCTACATTCCCCTGGATGCTAACAGCAGGCACGAGTGCCCTTTCTTCAATGTATTTCATCGTTTTCGCTCTCGGCCCCTGCGGGTCGCTTAGGTGATTTGACAGCTTCCTAATCTCAATATCATCTCAAAAGCAACGTAAAAAGCGGCTGCAATTAAGCATTAGAAAGATGTGGGATAAAATAGGAGATTCGAACGCATTGATCGCTTGTGCGCATGCAAAAAGACCGTCTCGGCCCACTGACAGGGCGCTGGGAACTGAGTACTGAGTACTGAACGTTTGAACGTTGAACATTTGAATATTGAAAGCAGCCGCGCCACCACGCAGGCCTCAATACCCGTAGCGTGCTAGTCCGGATTTGGCAATCGCACTACGATCATCGACAATGCTCGTGGAGGCTTGCTCGTCGAACATCGCAGCCCTCCACTGAACGAATTTCCGACGACGACCACCTTTCATCTGCAGAAAACACCACCGAGCAGTTGTCCGGCATGCGACCGACGCTGGACAGACCTGTCACTGCGGCGTTGGCAACCCCGCATGACGCTATACTCGCCGAGCTGGTTGGTCCTCCGCAGACTTTATCCACCCAGTCCGAAGAGGAGGAGGCTACATCTCCCACACTGCAAGCCAAATCGGCACAGAGCGTGGATGCTCCCCCAGCACACACGGATCAGACGGCGAGCCCATTCGCATCAAACGCACGCTCAGATACGTCCAGTCCCGTGCCCGCACCCAACACGGTGTACGACCCTTTCTCTGGTGTGCCGATTGGTGCCACTGCCGACACTCGCAGTGACCAAGAGAACGAGTTCCAGGCAAAGAGCGCCAAGTTCGACCACAGGAAAGACGAGCTTTGGTCGCACCTCGCCCGTATCCGCGAGCTCCAGAGCGAGATTGCAGGGATGCACCTCCAGATGGAAGGCATCGGGTCGGTCGAGTCTCGCGGTTCCAAGCGGACGACGGCGGGCGCAGGGCGCATGGCCACCGGCACTATCCGTGCGCCAGAGGAGTGGGAGGATACCGCGGGGGCAGAAGAGCAGCAGAAGACCACGCGCGATGCGGACTTTGCCACCCTTGCAGAGACATTCCAAGGACGCAGGGACGCGATTGATGGTATAATGGGGAAGGTTAGTTGTACCGGAGACGACAGGGGCGGAAATGAATTGACACTGATACTCGTCAACAGCTGGACGACCTGTCCAAAGCGCTCACAACGTTTCATGCATTGCCCACACCATCGATGGAATTTCTGAAATCTCGCACTGGGAATAAGGATCGGCAGGGCACGCCGTTAAGCACACTAGGGCCATCCAAGGACGAAACAGACATTTCACGTCCTGCCCAGCCTCAAATTCCCGTTCCCGAGAGTCCAACGACGACTGATTCGTCATCGCCCATAATGACACCATGACAGCTACTATCTCACCAGTGCCAACTTACGACTGCTCCGAATAAACCATCAAATATGGGCGCATACAGCCAGTGAGTATTCAGGTTGCTCTCGTGGGTGACTCTTTTAGGAGCGGTCCCCCTGCATACCAACGCATTATCGTGCATTTCGACGTTGCGTAAAAATTGAGCAAAATCGTAAATGCGCGAAGCATCCGCCCGCGACATCACTTACATACCATTGGCAGATGGTGGGACATACATATTTAAAAACGGAGGAAGCCGAGTCCAATAGGAAATGTCTATGGTGGGTATACTCCAAGCTACGCTATGTCCCAAAGACAACATAGAGATATTGTATCAGACTAATGAGGACATCCTAATTCAATGTGGTTCATGTTGAACTTGAGGAGTATGTCAATCCTACGATATATGTGTTAATAAGCCGCATTCCTCCGCGTCGAGGCGAAAAGAACGTACCAGTGCTGCAGAAACAACAAAATCATTAATTACAATGATAAATTAGCAATGATTAGGCACACATACCCTTGACAGTGATCGTTCGAGGATGTTGGAATACACGAGAGATAGCGACACCATTCGCAGGCTAGCACACGGGAATCAATAACAATCAGCACAACGGTGATCCAGCCTGCACCCACATGAATACGGATCCGCGGTATAGAAGTTGCGAATGAGGACAACGAATAACACGATCGCAAGAACCACAGCACTCAGCCTCAGACCGATTACGATCGCTCTGTGCCGTGAGGAAGGGCTGATGATGGGATATAGTGCCATGGCAGTGAGCAGGCCCATCAGCAGGCCTCCGAGATGAGCTGCAAAATATGTCGGCTGAGCACGTTATACTAGCAGCAAGAATGCCAACCAAAGTTATCAACATCTACGATGATGTGAGATTGTTTTATGAGCTGCGGACTTGGAAAGACGAATGGACAGTGACCTACAAGGAATGTATCCAAGCGCAATACCGAGGATCAGCTCAACAAACATCCATCCTAGCTGAGATTGCGTAGCGGTCAGCAGCGCTCATCAAGTGAGATACAGTGCTGAGACAGGGACAGCATCCACCTTACGCCCAGGTCGGTACTGATATCTCCAATGCGCAAACAGATCTACCCATGCAACCTGTATAACCGACACTAAGCGAATGACGCCACAGAAGTTACAACATACCCGTCAGACTCACCGCAGTTGTTCCGAATATCGCTCCACTAGCACCCACAGAGGGTACGCCGACGAGAGCGAAGTTACCTCCCAGAACGTTCCTGGAAGCCATTCGCAATGACACCTCACAGCGGAAAACTATAGACATACCCGAATATTCCTGAGGCGATATAGAGGATAAAGAAGCAGACGGAACCCATCTCGCGCTCAACCTGCATGTGAATCACATTCGCATTCACTCATGCCGCGTAAACGAGAGACAGTTTACCTGAGCAGAGACAGTCATTTGTGCTAGCATATTGAGCAGGTAGTGGATGATACCGGCGTGCAGGAACACAGGTGTGATGAACCTGACCTGCTGTCGGCCAAATGATGTATACAATGAGGCGAAGCAAGCGACCTACCTGAACCACTGGTTGGGAGCTTTGTCGTGGAACCCACCAAAATTGCAGATGGTCTCGAGATCGCAGGCAGATGTCACTGGGTTTGCCGTGTCATTGAGGCCTGTCCCTGGCGTCAGTGCACGCGATAGATCGTTGAAGGTGATGCGACATCTTACAAGCAAATTCTGTCGTTATAGGGATGGCCGACACGTTCTTCATGCATGCAGGGAAACGTGCACCAAGCGTGATCAAGGCGCTTTCTGAGGGACCAAGCATGGGGTTGACGGTTGGCTGCAAATTTCATCAATATATGCGGGATGTATACGCAGATGTTACATGCCTTGAAGGAAATAGGGGTTCCTTGATATTTATCGTTGGTCACCAACTCGTAGATCAGAACACAGAGCATGGTGAGAGTTAAGGCCCACACTGCTGAAATAAGCCCGTGAAACCCAGGGTCGTCGCATGGAGCTCACCCATGTACGGTTTCTGCTGGATACCGCGGCCAGCCTTTTTGTCACTTATCCGCTGCTCGATGGGGTAGAGACCAAAGTATCGCTGGAAGTAATTCGGGCGTTCTTGCGGTGGTGGCGGGGCAGCGGAAGGCTCAGCATACTCTGACAAGAGTTTGGTCGGTCGTTCGAGCAATCCGACTGGATCTTGTTGGACTTACCCATATTCTGATAGTAGGACTTTCCATAGGGCTCGCCACATGGTTGAACGTATGGCGCATCTTTTGGCACGTCTGCTATTTGATCCTGCCTGGATTCCCCCAACTTGTCCGTCGAGTACCCTGCAGGATCATAACTGTAGTCGGTGTCCGGGTAGGCAGACTGGTACGCTGGCGCATACACGGAGTCAGATGATTCGTTACGCCTCTGAGTGTCCTCGTCGTCCGCAAGGAGCTTTGTCGTAGACATGCTGTAGCTGTGGTTCAGACCGCGCTTCGCCAAGGTAGAACCCCCGAGCGTCTCCTCGTCGTCAATGGTGATTGAGTCTTCTCGCTCGTTATGTGTGGCCATGGTCGTCGCACTCTCCAGAGATGTTGGTACGTGTCGTTCGTGAAAGAATGGAGAGATTCGTGAAAGAATGGAGAGACCGAAGGAACGGTTTAAGGCGTGTATCGCGCCAGAGAATTGACCTTGGCACAGCGGTAAAGGCTGTCCAGATGGCCGCGCAGCAACCGCCCAGCGTAACGACTATGGCAGTGCGAACCGCAGTGCGAACCAGCAGGCAGCAGCGCGACCCAACCGTGCCAGTGCCGCGGAGATTGGATTCCGCGTGCCACTGCTCCGCCCAGCGGAACCATCTTATGTACCCTCCATCTCGGACATCGACCGGCGACCGCTCCATTGTATGAATTATTGAAATGTATATGGGTATGGATAAATATACAAAATGCATTGAGATAGCACATTACGAGCCGACCCACAGCAACACAGCTAGACATCCTAATACAACGACCCTCGACAACATTCACAGTCCCATACGTACCTCATTCCTCCTCTAACGGCGTCGCGATCTCCTCGATCGCGCTGTTCGCCTTTCCTCTGTTGCGCCCGGAGCGACTGCGCGTAAGAGGTGTAAAGCGCGTTTCCACCACTACTTCACCATCCTCAGGCAACATATCGTCCGTGGTGTATGGTGGTGGTTGCTCCCAGTCCTCTTCTTCGTCCATCTCCACAGGTCTCGTCCATCGCACTGAGGCTCTCGATCCGTCAATGGATTGGAGCATGCTGATGCCGACCTCGCGCAGCTTCTTGGCCTTCAGATGCCAGCCCAGAGCGCCGCGCGATCCAAAACTTGCCTTACTAGCCGTTGAGTCTTGACTGAGGCGCGGGTTGGCAAGAGTTTCCTGCTCTGACGTCGATCGACTCGCTGGGAGCGCGCCGAGCATCATCGGGTCAGACGGGAGCAGTAGCGGCAGCATGTACCTAGAGTCCAGAAGCTCGCCCAGAGGTTCAGGAGCCTTGGCAGGCTCCCAGAGTGACTTCTCCCATGTACGGTCGAACAGAGCATCGATGTTACGCTGAATCGCGGACATCTCCTGAGAGTGTGTTGATGATGCACTTGAACTGCTTGGTCGAGCGGAATCCTCGTGTAATGAAGGAGACAGGCTGACAGCGTCATCACGATCGCGTTCACGCTCCCCAATCTGCGTGCCCATGTTTGTTAGTCTGTTGGACCGGGCAGATGATAAGACTAAACGTACCTCCTTGCGAAGTGCTTCCACCCCGAGCTTGACCCGATGTCTTTCCCAGTCCTTTTGCATTTGCGCAAGGTACTGGTTGCACTCCTCTGTCATGCGCGGTTCGTTGACTTCGTATCGATAGTCTCGTACGGCGCGACGCATCTATGCTTGAGTCAGTGCTCCAGTGGCAAGGCACCGTAGATGATACACATACCTGGAGCGGGTTCAGATTTCGTAGGGTCTGAATGGTTGCGATGAGGTTAGGGAATTCGGTTATAGATGAAAGACTCTGCCAATGCGTCAGTGATGATCACGAAGAGCAAGATGCCTAATAATGCGTACCTGCAACCACGTCAGAAGGTCCTTGACGGGAGCAAAATGTGACCCTATACCCCGCGGAAGCTGCATCTCGCCGATCCATTCCTCCAAGACACTGAGATTCATGCTGATCTGGACGGCTCTCGACCTAGGAGTTTAAATTAGTGCTTCTGTTCATGCGATGACTAGCATCGACGACATACCGGCAGATGTACTTTTTGCGCGTCAGCACACGATTGAAAGTCTCGCCTGAGGCAGCGTCACTAATTCAGCGCTGAACATGAGCATGCAGCATCCTTACATGCTGTCCAATACATGACTTGCGACCACAGCTGAACGACCAGCGCAGGATTAATGCCGGAGAGTGCCAGAAGGGTATGCAGGGCAGTGATGAACGCGGTGATGTCTTTCGGCGAGGGTGGTGGCGGGGTCGGAGGAGTCGTATCCGTGAATAGCGAGTGCAGGGGTGTGGCAGCGGCGGACGGGGCACGGGCTCGGGTGAGTGTCTGGCGTATCGACGCGAAGCCGCGCTGGTTTGTGGGTGACGCGGAGTTTGGAGGTCCAGGAGAAGACGGTCTGCTGGGAGATCTCGGCGCCGCAGGTGCGCTGTTACGCACGGAGGTGCCGTTAGCCGCCGCTTTTTTCTTGCCACCAGCAAACGAGCGCAGGAAAGACCACTCTGATTCGAACTGAATGGATTCGAACTCGGTCGAGAGCGGTGTGTAATCCAATAGCGCCGCATCTAGCAGTTGATCGATCTTTCGTTCAGCCAGTCGGATGATGAACACTGGATACTAGTTAAATACTGCGAACGCTTCAGCGGAGGGAGGAACCTCACCAAAGACTGAATTGAGGATCTCTTCGATTAACGTGAAGGATCCCAGTATCTCGCATGCCTGGTTAAGATCCTTGTCGCATCGCATTAGATGTAACCAAACAGTGGTGTTATAGAGCCAGAAAATAAGTGCAGTTGCGTCTTCCGAGCAATTCTGCAGGTATGTTTCACCAAGATGTACAAAGCTGAGGGAGCGTTGTGGCTTACAAAAAACGTCTCTTCAATCGCGTCTGTTGCTCCAATGATCAGGTCGTCAAGCCAATTGTGATCGCAATTGAGACAGGCAAATCGTGCTAGCATGTAAAGTGCATTAGCCGGCTCTGTATTGCGCAGTGATGGCTTGAAGTCTGTGATGAGTGACTGGAAGATGTCCGGCAGCGCTAGCGGAGAGAAGACCAGCATGGAGGTATAATCCATTGGAGGAGTCTGTAGGTGGTCTTAGCAGTCTACACTAAATTGAATGGAAGCCACGCACGAAAGGGGTATCACTGAAACTGTCGTCTTCATCTTCCTCCTCGAATAAGTCGGTGAAGGGGCCCAAGCCTTGATCACCCCACCACCTTCGACTAATGCCCAAGATTTTCTCCACGTCGTCCTGCAAGCTCTTTCGCTTGTCTATAAGGCGTGTGCGCTGTTCTGACAAACGACGTTGCTCCTCCATTCTACCTCCTTTCCACCCTTCGCCGCGCATCGCTTCCTCCAAGAAGAGAGCAACATGCTCTCGTCCAGGAATTGTAGAATGTGCGGTAACGATATCCAAGGGTGTCAGTTTCCGCATGGTAATCGAAAACGGTGATGCGCCGTGTGTAAGAAGGTGAGACACCAGAGTTGGGGGAGACAGAAGTGCGGCATAATGGAGTGGACTCCAACCAGCTGTGTAGATCCGTCAATAGCGACCAGAGTTGGAAATCTGGCGGAACACCGACCTTTGTCCGCAGTGTTGACATCACAACCTTCAGAGATCAGCAGCCTGATGCACTCCTCCCGCTCAATGTCCCGCTCGACCTCAAACCCAAATCCAAGAATTATGGTGCTAATGAGTCCGAGACCGTCCTCATCCTGCTTCCCGAGGTCCACGTACGGGCCCGCATTGGGATCGGTGAGCAAATGTGAGAGCAGCTGCAGGTCGCCAAACTGGCAGGCGCGTGTCAAGCAGTGTGAAACGAGGTCTGTCCTCTGCTGCGGAGAGAGGCCAACGGAAGGCGAGAGGAGGTGAGATACTTGCGGTGGTGTCGGGTATAATGGCTGTAGGTCAGGTTCAACGGTCAGGTCCTCTGAAGTCACAGAGGCAGAAGCCATCTTCGCTAGAGGCTATAGCAACGCCTTCTAGAGTGATATTCTGATGACCAAAGCAATGTATGAGCGATCATGAGACCTGAATTTCGGTCCTCGCGTCTGTACACTCACATGGACGCGTAGAAACGGGCATGCAGATGAGGCACCTAGATCGTTACGGGATCGTGAACCCTGTGGTGAGCCAAATAAAGACCGTAAATCGTCTTGTAGGCCGAGATAGCCAACGGGGATGATGGGAAAGGAGGACAAGTCAGTGCATCGGTCGTGGCAGAGACCGTAGCAGAGATCTGACCGGTCCACCATGGGCGCCAACGCGTGGTAGCCGCTTCCCCTGCGATCACTACTGCTCAATTTGGTCTCCGTCTGTCCCTCTTTGCTTGCTCACGTTCGCCTCTGCATATTCTATCCCTTCGTCTAGACACCTGTGCCATGCCCGATACGGAATCAATTCCTTCTAAACGACGACAGCTCTCTCCTGCTGACAAGATATCAGAGGAAGATGATGCTGTTGTTCGCGCGGACGACGACAACGTCTCAATGAAAGATTCTAATTCACCAGCGTCATCCGCGAGCGAAGCGGACGACTCGCCAGATACAGAGGACGAGATCGCAGAAGTGCGGCGGCCAAAGTCAAAGAAGACGTTAAAGCGCAAGAGGCGAGCCACGGATGCGACGCATTTCGGTGCAACTCTCCAGTCTCTACTGAATACAGATGCGCCATCTATCTTGCCTCTGTCACTCAAGCCATCGATTGCGAGAAAACGGAACAATGAGAAACTCGAAAAGAAGGGGAAGAAGGTGCTACAAGTAGAGAGGAAGGAGAAGGAAGAGAAGGGCCGGATTAGGGACGTAATTGGCGGGTGGGGAGGGGAAAGCGAGCGAGCTCTCAGAAAGGTAGCCCAACGAGGAGGTAGGTCGCAAACATCTTGTACCTCAAACATGTTTGCAAACCGGTGCCATGCAGTGGTGAAATTATTCAACGCTATTCAACAATCACAAGCTGCATCAAATGCTGTTGCCGGAGAAGCAAAAGCGCACAGAGGTTCCGGCAAGCCAACATTACCTGCGCCAACTATCGGCAAGCCTATAGCAAAGAAGGGGAAACGGAAAGACAACCTTATCGGCAGAGGGAAAGAGGGTACGTGATTCCGTCGTTCAGTCTGTGATGCGCAACTCATGTAGAAAATGAAGCAAATCTCGGTCAAGATGATTTCCTCGACATAATCCGGTCTGGAGGCACAGTATCCAAAGCATAGCCCGGACTTCTGTTCAAGCCTGCTCCTCCGCCCATAGGGCTCGCTCAATCAGTGAGATGCTTATGCTCAGCCGTCGCAGAATCAGAGTGCCCTTATTTCGCGAGCAGTACATCTATCATTGACTTAGCAATTGCGTGGTTGAGCGTACTGCCTTCAACGGCTGATGACGGTTGCATCGTGCTACGTCGAATAGAACCTCACGTAACCCGTAATCCCACGTTGACTCAGACTTGAAACGCTCTTGCGTTTTTGCGTACAAAGTCCCGTAAAGAGGCAATCGAGCTAACATGTCGGTTCGGGCGCGTGATGAATCATGAAACTCTCCGGGCCAGGCCCGGAATAATCTGATCGAGGATGCCCGACAGCGTGGTGCTTGCCCTAAATTCAACGCCTTCCATAAAATCTTCCCACCATCTTTCTGGGCTTCTCCATGGTCCGTCTCATCTGCAGCTTCTGTGGCACGAGACTCTTCGCTAACCACGCTTAAAGCCCCTTCAGAAAATCTTGCAGGAAGAGTGGGAACGTCGGCTGCACGATGTGCAGGTTTCCAAGAAGTGAGTCGCCCTTCCTTCACCTCGTGCTGTCCACGGCGGAAGACACAAGATGAATGTATAAATTGGGAATCTCTCTGAACCCAGATGAGCTAAATCTTTATCGCATGTATTACCTGATGCTTCCTGTCTCCCTTGCTTTCGCGACTCGCGAACGAGAATACATGGCTGACGTGTTGCACTCCAACAGTGACCTGAATCGCCTTGTGATGGACTACCTCGTCATAGAGGGCTATAAAACCGCAGCGGAGGAGTTCAGCCGCGAGACCGGCATGGAGTCTCCTGTCGATTTCGAAAGCATCGAGAGTAGGATGAATATTCGTGAGGCATTGCAGCGCGGGGATGTGGGTGACGCCATCACACGCGTCAATGACCTTAATCCGGAGGTGAGTATTGGTTGAAAGATTGCGTTGTCTGTTTCCCCCAAAGGATTAAATACTTCATGCACCACACATAGACCCTTTCGGGTCAATGCTGATACATGATATCCAAAACTTCAGTCTTCAATATGATTCTCTTTCACAGATTCATTTTTCGATATACATATGTGCTAACGGCATGCTCCATGTAGATTTTGGACACCAATCCTGCGTTGTACTTTCACCTCCAACAGCAACGGCTCATCGAGTACATTCGCCAAGGCAATGTTGCGGAGGCACTGCGGTTCGCTCAGGAAGAGTTAGCCCCGAGGGGCGAGGAAAGTCCGGAGTTTTTGTCTGAACTCGAGCGGACGATGGCGCTTCTGGCGTTCGAATCCTCACCCATGGCCCCGCCAGCCGTGACTGAACTCCTATCACCGGCACAGCGCATGAAGACAGCCGGCGAGGTGAATGCGGCCATCTTGGAGAGTCTAAGCCAAGGCAAGGAGGCGAAGCTGGTCGGCTTATTGCGACTTCTGCATTGGGGCGAGAATCTACTGGGCGAGCGGGCAGAGTTCCCAAAGGTACGGCATTAGACATGTGGATCGGAAAACTCGAATTTGACATGGTCCTTTCAGCTCGACCTCAATGCAGGAACGTTTTCATATCCAGCGAAGTAGAGTTGACACGGGACCAAGGGTGCACGGAGCTTGTAAGATCTTGATCTGCGTTTCCGGGACTTTGATATTACTGGTGTACCTATTGTTTTTATATGCGAATCGGATTCGCTGCGAAGTTCCGCCCTTCGCATCATTGAAGATTTGGAACGGACTAATATCCCTCAGCGCTCCGACGCCCACTTCTAAGGCGAGTATTGACTTTGCTGACCGGGTGAATGCGCGACTACGTTGTATGGTACGGCCCTCTGCGGTCGGTGCCGCAGCACTATCCCTGACTCGTCTAGAGGACCTAATCATGCGTAGCTACAGGTGAGCGCTCGCGGATCGAGAGACATCCGGAGATTGCGAGGTTGCTGCGTGGGCGAGGCCTGGTCATGGGCTCAAGAAGCCAGCAGCCTTGAGGCGTGAATGGGCGGGTTCGAGATAGAATGATGATAAGAGGGCGCATCTCGGAGCGTCATGCTGCGACTGAGGAGAGAATTATGGTGAAACCAGCGGCAGCTGCTGAGTTGCCAACTCTCCGTTGCACCGTGCTTAGTCAGCAGAGGCAGCCTTAGTGCCAGGCACTGGCCGCAACGCTTTGGGTCGCCTTCGCGGTTCACGTCCACCCCGACGACGTTGTCCTCCTCGCGCGTCCTCCCCCGCGCAGCCCCCGCACCCTTGTATATCGCCTTCACGAGCTTGGTTCTCATCGGCTGGTATCCGTCAACTCTCCCTCCTTTATCCCTCACTTCACAGCCCAGAATCCGACGCGTCCTCCATTTCTGTTTCGCCCGTCGCGATCAACACCATGTCTGACGACACAAGATCCATCAAGACACGCAAGCTGCGACCTCGGATTCTGGTCGTCAACAACCCCAGTCCGGACGAACCGTCGGGCAGTGACGATGACCGGCCAGTGCCACCCCATGCGGAGACCACCACCTATGACTACCATTCGCGTCCGCTCCCTAGCCCAGCCCATTCAGCACCGATAGATAGATCCCAGCAGTCTTCAACATCGCAGGTCCCTCCTCCCGTCACCACCAGCATGCCGGAGCAGAGACATTACTACCCATCATCATCGCGGTCCAATCCATCTAATCCCACTCTCTCTTCTCCTTCCAGCACAAGCTCACCTGCTTTTGAGTCGACACCTCCTCCCAGTACTCCTGGCCAGAGCATTCCTCCTGTAGACTTACAGAGCGACCGCACCTTCAGGCAGGACGTTGTGATCTTGTCCACACCCACACCTGACAGGACTGATGGTTGTCCCCCGTCAACCTCCCGACCTGCGAAGCTCTATGCTAGTATCAAGAATCACTTGTCTCGCCCAAGGCATGGCCGACATTCCTCCAACAATAGCAGCAGACCTTCCAGTGTATGTCACCATTGTTATTGCGCGAGTTATTGTTCTGACGTGGTGTCAGTCGCCTACAACGGGCACCTCTGATTCTTATCCACCATATCCGCTTTATGGAGCGACTACCAATGAGAAGATTACTCTTCTCGTGACAAGAGATGCCGATAGCTTTTCTCTCGTCGACATCAGCGGTGCGATGACTCCTGCCTTCATTCGAGAACGTATTTTTTCCAAGGTATCTGGTTTTCTTCACACATGCTATATGTGCTGACACAGTCAATGCGATCCAGCTGCAGATTGCTGACGAGGAACAGCCTCATTATTCTATCTATCGCACGGAGATAGGCGAATACGCGATCGGCGACGCTTTAACAGACGAACAACTGTTTGAACTCTCTCGCATGCAAGGGGACGACAAGGGTACCGTGAAGCTGTTAGTATCCCACTCGTCAGTAGCCGTTCATGAACCACCACACGATGTGGGCCTGGTTTCCCCGACTGTCAACGTACCCCCTCCTCCTGTGTTACCCCAGTTGACTTTACATCCTCTGCGTCCTGTCCCGCGTAATCGGTCGAGACATGGCAGTCAATCCTCTGCTAGTGAGCAACAGCAAGTTGATGTCTCGGGCGAGTATGATGCGTCGGTATCTGATGACGAACTTGGTGATCACGAGCCTCGCCGCAATACTGTCCGCCCGCCCGCTCAATCATGGCTGCCCAACAACTCCCAGACGACCACGTCTCCGGTCGTCAATCGACCACACTCTCCGACCTCAGCTGGAGGCAACACGATGCGCAGCGGGTCTGACTCTCCCGCAGTCCGGCCGGATGGACCTCGCGGAATTGCGTCTACGGCACCTCTCTCGATCTCTCCTCGCAATCAGAGGAACCATGACGTTACATCGCGATGGAACCACCATTCAGTTCCCAGCCCTGACGGCACTGTTGAGGACAGGTCTATACCGCCAAACGAAGGTCGAGCGGAGTCTCCTGAGAAGTATCGACGTACTGCTTACGGTGTAGAGGATAGACTTAAGCAGGGTCGGGAGAGAGAACGCGAGGTCGAGAGGCGTAAAGAAGGGCTCATCCGCAAGGAAGGTCCTCCTAACGCGAGCAATCAAACAGCCACTCTTGATGGTTGGACAATGGTGTCATCTGAGACACCTACCAGTGACTATAAGGGCGATCGCCCCGCTACTCCCCAGGATGCGCGTTCCCCGTCATCCAGATACCCTGGCATGTCTACCAGGTATTCGCCGTTCTTAGCTCGAGCTCCTATGGTGGGTATTGGTGAGCCTCTGAACCGCATGAAAAGGCATAAGGGCCAGCCCGTACCTGCCAACTGGCCTGTTCTATATAAAGAACCCATGCCTCAAGGCAAGGCAGATTCCCATCCTGTTCCGAAGGTATCGCGCATGTTGGCGAAGAGTATGACGGATATGAGGAATGCGTATAAGCAGTCGCATCCTCCTGCCCTTCAGCCTGGACGCCCTTCAAAGCCCCAACAGCCTGTGCTTCCCGTCACACCGAGGCCATCGACTGGCGGCAGCGTCACCTCGGGGACTGGCGTTTTGCAGAGCAGTTCATCTGCTAAGGATGCTCCTTATTCTGGTCATAGTAGTGCTGGCCGCGAGAACTCAGCACAGAGGTCGTATGAAGCTCATCGTGGCGGAACACCGCAGGCCGTTCTTTCACCTCCTAGGCCTACAATGTATCAGTCCCCTAATGTCACTGGGATAGGTCACTTGGGTGCTACGTCACCAGGCCAAGATCCCTATCCGCGACCGCGTTCTGCCCTTGATGAAAGAGGAGACTCACCAGTTCCTCCCTATGGCATGTATATCTCTCCCAAGGGCGAAAAATTGGTCCAAGAGACTACATCGTCTCGCCCGGCGCCATTGTCGCCTCCGACTTTGGATCACCGTGGCCACTCAAATCAAGGAGGCCTCATACGGGAAGATGCCTTTTCGGTCCCCTTCAAACCGTCTGCTGTACCTCTGGTGGAGCAGCACTCAGCTCTCCACAATGCAGCACCATCTCCGTCGACGCAGGTTAGGCGTGGACCCCGTACTCCTCCCCGTAGTCCCGACGTTCCTCAACCTGCTCAACAGGAGAACCGAGGCACGGATCCTGCTCGTACCACCTCTCATCCTCCTCAACGTGAGCCAATGGTGTTCGCAGGATCTGATCGTGGCGTGCTAGAAGAAAGCGTCAGTTCTGAGTCAACCATGAGACGGGATGAACATGCACTGTGGGAGGGTCTGGTAGACGAGAATGCTATTGAGGGTACTATCATGCCGCGTTTGCCGCCTGCTCAACCTCTTGCGCCTCTCAAGCTCTCTGAGCAATTATCACATTCGTTCTCTGACAATTCCGCGAATGGCACGATGATGAGCGAGGCTCGATCGGCGGACGATGACGATGATTCCGAGGACGACAGTCTTTTTTGGGCTGTGCCGCCGCAAAAGTCCTCTGAGAGAAGCCAGAAGTCAAGCTTGAAGACAAACGCTCGTCCTGCGCTTGCACGTTTGAGCATAGATGGCACTCCTTCGATCAGTTCGTCTTCAGCCACTCCTCAAAATCCTGATACGTCAAAGCAGCCTCCGCCGAATTTCCCTGCCCCGCCAAGTTACATTCCTCCTCCTCCACCTCTGTCTCGCCGTACGAATCCACGATCTGCCAACGCAACACGCAAACCGCAGGCTGACCGGACAAGCAGGTTCGACCGTGACGATGATACTTGGGCACCACGGCCGCCACCAGAAGATGTGTACGACCGGCTCGATCAATTCTTCCCGGAGCATGATCTCGACCATCCTGTTATCGAGATGCCCTCTGGAGGGTCCTCTCCCACGTCTACTGATAATCCTGCTCCTGCGCCTCATCGATCACGGCATAAGAAATCCATTCGTGTTGTGGCAGAAGAGCGGAAGAATTGGATTGATCGCAATTCTCGTCTGCATAACTCTTCAGGCGGCGCCAATTTGTGGAAGAGGAATACGAAGTTGTGGGACAGCAAGCTTGAAGAGGTCACGACACAACTGGCGAAGGCAGATATACCCCCGCTTCCACAAGATACCTCACCTAGCGTGCAGACCAGACGTAAGTGCGCCATCCTCGTTGAGGCATTATATATGCTTAATAACCTCCCGCAGCAATTTTCCGATGGGTCCGTGGGCAGTTGATCGGAAAAGGCACGTATGGGAAAGTGTACCTGGCGCTGAATGCTACTACTGGTGATATGATTGCTGTGAAGCAAGTAGAGATGCCTCGCACCGCCAGCGACAAGAGCGATACTCGTCAGATTTCTGTGGTTGAAGCTCTCAAACTAGAAAGCGAGACCCTCAAAGACCTTGACCATCCCAACATTGTTCAGTATCTCGGCTTCGAGGAGACGCCAACGTTCTTGAGCATGTACGTCCCCAATCCCATCAGTGGGTCTTCGCCTACTAACATATCAATGTCAGTTTTTTGGAGTATGTCCCTGGTGGCTCCATCGCCAGTTGTCTGCGCAAATACGGCAGCTTCGATGAAGATGTCACGAAGTCGTTTACCGGGCAGATCTTGGATGGTCTGGACTACCTCCACAGTAAAGGTATTCTACATCGGGTGAGTCAATCATCAACCAACATATCGGTACATTGCACTCATCGTTTGATGTGCAGGACCTCAAAGCGGATAACATCCTCGTGGAGACGACTGGTATCTGCAAGATCTCTGATTTCGGTATTTCAAAACGGACGGAAGACGTTAATGTGATCGGGGAGTACACTTCTATGCAAGGCAGTGTGTTTTGGATGGCTCCGGAGGTGATCAACAGTCAGCAAAGAGGATACAACTCCAAGATTGACATTTGGAGCGTCGGTTGCGTTGTATATGAGATGTGGACGGGCGAACGGCCGTGGAACGGGCAAGAAGCGGTTGCGGTTCTTATACGCGTGAGTCACGTCGGTCGCATGGACATGAGCATTTTCGTAACTTGCTGCGACAGTTATACCAAACGAAAGAAGCACCGCCAGTACCCAACGACATATGTCTATCTCCTCTTGCCGACGATTTTCGCAGGAAATGCTTCGCGATGTGAGTTACCGTGACCTGTGATCGCAGCCGCGCTCACGCCGTTGTAACAGGAACCCCGACGAGCGACCGAGTGCTGCTGAACTACGAAAGCACTCATACCTTGAACTCCAGCCGGGCTGGACATTTAATTCCTTCAAGCAGCCGGATTGATCAGTCATTTATTACATATCCATTTGCACAGTAGCATGTCGACGTCACGATATCTCTCTCCGTTTACATCTCTCATGTCATGTCTTGAACAACCATCCTGTCATCATTACTACCCATCCTCGCTTGTTTTCTTTACCTCCAGTACCATCCTGCTTGATAGTACCCTGCATACGTCCAGTTCTCAACCAGTCACGCATACAGTCTCTTTTGCACCACAGCTTCCTGTAGCCTCCCTCATTAATCAAATACCTTCCATGTGCTTTGATGATTGTGAAATATGCCCGCCACTATGTAACTACATGTGCTTAGTCTTGAAGCGGACATCGCGCGAAAGCATAGTTCCTTTCAGGGAGATGCCGCCGGCTGAACAGCGTGCAATATTGTGTCTTACTGTATAACGCGAGCAAGGATGTTAACTGCACTGAATCTCCAGAACAACTCTTTGCACGTAGGCTAGGCTCTCGTCCACTGGCTCATGAAGTTCGATACGCCAACAGGTAATGCCGCCTAAAAGCATTATCAGAAGACATTAACCCACGGAGAAAATATGCTAGGACCTTCTCATCGTAGTCCACCCATTCTTCTTCTTCAAGATCGACCTCATCGAAAACGGTACCGGACTCCACACCAACGCATTTCCAGATACCCTGTTGAAGATTATGAGTCGGATGAGAGTTACCACAACGTTCATAATCCACCCTTGGATCAAATCCAACGAACTCTAGGCCTCGGCAGTCAATGGTTAAGAATTGCGCGAATTGATATTGACCATTGGCATCTGCGGAGTACGGCAGAGGTGCTGATCCTGGATCGAACTTTGCAAAGGACTCGCGCTTGCAAAGCCCACAGCGCCACACAAAGTGGGCTGTGTTCCCTCTCCCAGATGAGACTTCGCGCTCTTCCTATGGCCAAGAATCAGCAGATGATGCATGGAGCGTCGGTGTTCACGGCGCACCAGACGGTTGACGGATACGAATTTTGGATGCACTTCATTACAGCTCGTACATTTCACCTGACACAGGATCAGCCTTCGATGGTTGGCTATCACGATATTTGAATTGATCTACCTGGAAGAAATATTCGAACGAATCTGCTGCTGGAACAAGGTCGGTGACATTCTCGAGATCGGCTTTAATGGAGAGTAAGAGTCGCTAGCTTGCCAATATTTCAAGATTCAGCTGCTGTGTCAATACTCATTGACTTACAACCATGTTGTACAATCTACCGGCAAAGAAGAGCAACACAAGAGGCCTGAGTGGCGTTGGTAGATCGAGATCCAGCTGGGCCTCGCAAATATTTGTTGTCTGTTATTTACGCGCTGCCATTCCTGTTCATTCGCTTTTGTGCCACTCGTCCCTGTGGCCAGTATCCGAGTTTCCACTCGGGTACCTTTCTACATCTCCCACTAGCCGTCACCTTAAAGCTGCTGCACTTGTCCCCTAGAATGGTTTTTCGTCGAGCGTGCGGAACGGCTGTCTCGCCTCTGCTTCGCGCGAACCACTTTCATTCCTCCTCCCTCTCTCAATTTCCTCGTCAAGCTTCGGCCGCTGCAAAAGCTCCCAAGTTCAAAAGTCGCATGCCGAAGCTAAATCTATCCGACGATCTGATTGAGCAGGACAAGGGTGACGACTCGAGCGCTGCAGGCCACCTTCTCCTCCGCCAGGAGCGACAGGTGCTCTATTACCTGCGCCTCATTGAGCATGAGATGCCCAAGCTCGTTGGTGAGAGAGTAGCAGCCAACGTACGCAAAGTCAGTCTCCTGAAATTGACGACGCATTCTAGCGTACCGCAAACCGTTCCTGCCACCCAGTCCGTCTATGCCATTGGTGGTCCGTTCAATATCGTACGGAGGGGAGAAACATCCAGCAGAATTGAAACGGACGATTGTGGTACCGGTCTCCCGTCTCCCTCTGAACGGAAGTGCGGCTATCCATAAGTTCAAGCTACTGGCTGGTCCTCGCTGGACACCCGAGCCTCCACATGATTCCGGGATCGGAAAGGAAGAGGATGGTGAAGAGCATGGCTACTTCAAGATTTCGTGTGAGGACTTCCCCAAGCCCGCGATGAACTTGAAGTGGGCTAGCGACGCGTTGGATAGGCTGCTGGCTGAAGCAAACGTAAGCTGCTTCACTTCGTGCTCGGATTGCCTCATGACCGTCGCCTTTGCAGAACCTCGAGGACACATTCGAAGATGTTCCTATTGATACTCGACACGTAGAGGCCAAGGTGCGCAAGGCGAAGAAGGGAGATCACGTCTATGGACGTGGTGGTCGCCGCCCGACGATCAAAGATTTCCCGAAGGAATGGCTGCCCAGCCCGCCACCACAGGCTGCACCTACCACTACCTCATCTACGCCACAATAGATGATTGCTCACGTTATTGATGAGCACATTACCCAAAAGCGGATTTAACCGCTACTTATGCAGAGTGTGGAAACGGACTAGTGTTCATCGACCACCAGATGCATGGGCACTGTCCCGTGTCTTCGGTGCCGCATAGAACATCCCTTACCACCTCTGTAGCACCCAGATGACAGTAAGAGCCGTCACGGGCCCGGCAAGGTTTCCAGCATTGAGCTCCACCCCGGTACCTGCCTTCGGCTTTTTGATGCAGACATTGGAGCCAATGCGATGTCAGAGCCTCTCAGCAGTCCACTAGAACAATGCAAAACGGGTTCTTCGCGAAGTGAATCAGATTTCGCTAATATGCACAGCCTGTCTGTGGAAAAAATACAAATAGTCGAGTTCTATAGAACGGGCTGTATAGTATCGTGTCTGCGCTCGTGACACTAGTTAAAATTTTCTAGCCCAGTCGTTCAACGATGGTCTCGACACGCTCCAAGAATTGCGCGAGCTTGTTTGCCATTGGTAGTCATTGTGGGCGTGACACGATGGGCGGTGGCGGCAACGTTCCGCGCCTTGAGGTCGTGGTGGTGGCTCGCTCTTGTGTTCGGCCTTACTGCGTGTGATAACAATCTCCCGATAGTCTGAGATAATCAGCCGGTAAGGCCATCATTGTTTAGCGGAAGCGGGTCTGGAATGATATATAAGAGATCACCTAGCTCGTGTTCGCGCCCAAACGTCTTTCTTCCGTTCCATCACTAGCCTTTCGCCCACTCGTCTAGTGCATTCGCCTCTCATACATCCACTACACGACATGCCTGCCTTAAGAAACTGCAGTCGAACTGTCATGGACCGTACCCTCGCGTCGTCCTCGAGAATATCTGATAGCAGGTTCTCTGGCCGTTCAACGTACGCTGCTTCCACGGGCGGAGCATCAGGCCCAGGATACGGCCCGGGACGGGGACGATCTGCTATGCGTGTTTCTCGGAAGCAGGAGGACGACCATCAAGCGGGATGGAAGAAGTTCGCGGAAGAGCGCGGTGCTGAAGAGGTGCCCGATACATTCTATCGCAACAAACCAGAGACTGCGCAGCCCGCCAAACGCCCACCGTTGGCCGATATCGAGATAGATGCAGATAAGGACAAAACTCCTCGACAGGGTATTATCGGGGCCTATGCCGGCGGCCCTGCGCTTGCCGTACGAGGGGCTGAGCGTGATGAAGCGGCAGGCTTGGAGGTTATGCAGCAGGACCAGATGACCTATCAGTCGCAGGCTGGCGTGCAGGACAGTCAGAGAAATGCAGGAGTCGGACCATACACGCGGGTGGGTCGTCGTTCGGCTTTCCAGGACGGTGCAATACGAGGTCGCACTATCTATAGTAGCGACCTTGAGCAGCCTTTTACCTACGACGCCGCTGCCCAGACGCACGGAGGCTACGATTACGCCTCTCGCGATGCTGTGAGAGAGACTCCGACCCATTCTGCGACTTACCCCGTTGACAACGGAATCGCCTTTCCGGCCACATACGGAGCCGGCTTCACTGGCAACCCATCATATGAGGAGCCCAACAACTGCTTGGTTCCCACACAAGACGAGCTGCCGATGTACGACAAGGACGACACATCATTCAAGATGCCAGAAGCTGAAGGGATGGGCTCGGCGGCGCTGGGTGTACCCACGTCACCACAAGAGGAAAGAACCCTCCCCGATGCCTACCGACATTCGAGGACAGCAGATTCATCTGCGAACAACATAGATACACCTGACGCGATGGACCGCATCGCAGAGTCATTGTTTAATGACCCTTATCTCAGTGAGGACCACCACATCTGTTGGTTGGACGATTGGATTAGCGCGGAAATCATGCGCCAGTTGACCCCCTCACCGACGGGCTTCGACCACTTGGAAGACGAGGCGGCAAGCACGAGAGATGACGAGGATGAAGAAGAAGATGCGAGCGACGATGATAATGGAATGAGATACGTGATTGAGGAAGGAGACGGAGTAGATTTCGCGAACGACGGAGGCGAAGACAATGTTGAATAGTAGGTCTTTCATCAGAACTGCTGTCGGCGTTGATGCTGATCCCTTTCGCGCATAGGATGGACTGGATTCGCTAGCGTCACACGAGATTGTGGGAAGCGTAGTAGCGTACAGTTTTCCTTCGCGCGAACTATAGGTTGGAAATCAGCTTTAAATCTGAATCTCATTTGTTTATTCTCACATCCCTGGCAAAATCGCATCTATAGCAACCATGCGGCGAGCTTTTCTTGGAGAGACTGATTTTTTCGGTATCGTTGAAAGGGTATCGTGTTCGTAACGTGTCATGCTGAACGGTGGCGTGCGGAAGGTCGGACGCTCTGAGCATGTCACTTCGTCATGTCCACTCCCCAGTCTCTGCTGCTGAAGCCCGTGCCATGGGTGAGCATTCTGAGAGGGCAGAGATGGGAAGGGAGAAAGTTGATAGGACGGGCCCGCACAGAGCCTGCTGCTACCCAAGCCTCGCTTAGACGCCGTCTGGTCAATCAGTAGCAAACAACAGCTCGATTCTCGTCCGTTCCTTCCTCCCCCTTCGTTCCTTGCCGCTCTCGAGGTGAGCTACGTATCCCTCCCGACCATTCCACGCTTCCTAATTCCAACCTACTCCTCGAGATGACCGATTCTTACACTTCTACCGGCAACGGCGATGCCTCCTACACGCCAAACGGGTCCAGCAAGATGAATGGCTCCAGCCCGTCTTTGCCACCAGCGTCGACTGAAGCTGGCACGTCACCCATCATCCGCAAGAAGCTGATGGGTTTCGTCGGGTTTGCCAACCTCCCTAACCAGGTGCACAGGAAGAGCGTGCGCAAGGGCTTCCAGTTCACGGTCATGGTCGTCGGTATGTGACGATCATTCATACACACGACAATGCCTAATTTGTTGTACAGGAGAGTCGGGTCTTGGAAAGTCGACGCTCATAAACACCCTGTTCAACACAACACTGTATCCTCCGAAGGAGAACCTTCCTCCAAGTGCCGAACGCCCGTCCACTGTCGCGATTGAGAGCATTAGCGCCGGTGAGCTATCGCATCATGGCTTGTCTCCGTCATGTTGTCTGACACCTCCTTTGGGTGCCATGATCAGACATCGAAGAAAGCGGTGTTCGCCTTCGCCTCACTGTGGTTGATACGCCTGGTTTCGGTGACTTCGTCAACAACGACGACAGGTACGTAGCATTAGCTCTAATGAAGTCACGTGTATGATGAACGCTTCCGCGCAGCTGGAAGCCCATTATCGAGAACATCGAGTCGCGTTTTGACTCGTATCTGGAGCAGGAGAACCGTGTGAATCGCCAGAAGATCGTGGACAATCGAATTCACGCGTGTCTTTATTTCATTCAGCCGACAGGCCATTCGTACGTCCTGCCACCGTTTTACTCGTGAAGATGCTGTGAATCAATACGTCTTTTTAAAGCCTCAAGCCAATTGATGTTGAATGTATGCGTCAACTGCATACTAAGGTCAACTTGATCCCCATCATCGCAAAGGCGGATACCCTGACCGACGAGGAAGTCGCTGAGTTCAAGGCCAGAGTACGTCTCATCAATCGTAGCGGCGAGGCATCACATCTGACGGTTTCTACCAGATCCTTGCTGACATCGCCTACCACAACATCCACATCTTCCAAGCACCGCCTTACGAAAACGAGGATGAGGAGGCCCTTGCAGAGGCAGAAGAAATCGCTAGCAAGATTCCCTTCGCTGTTGTCGGCTCCGACAAGGTGGTAACAACACCTGATGGACGCCAAGTGCGCGGTCGTGCCTACCCTTGGGGTGTCGTTGAGGTCGACAACGAGGACCACTGCGATTTCGTGAAGTTGCGGCAAATGCTTGTCCGAACGTACATGGAGGAACTCAGGGAGCACACTAACAACGTCCTGTACGAGAACTGGCGTACGGAGAAGCTTATCAGCATGGGCGTCGTACAGGACTCGAGTGTCTTCAAGGAAGTCAAGTATGTAGATCTTTTGCTCCCATGGAAACACGGTCTCACACGCCATGTTTCAGCCCTGCAATCAGGATACAGGAAGAACGCATCATGCACGAGGCCAAACTCGCCAAGATGGAGGCCGAAATGAAGATGGTGTTCCAACAGAAGGTGCAGGAGAAAGAAGCGAAGCTCAAGCAGTCGGAAGAAGAGCTATACGCCCGGCATCGCGAGATGAAGGAAGCGCTGGAGAAGCAGCGGTTGGACTTGGAGGACAAGAAACGGCGGATCGAGAATGGCCGCCCATTGACTCCGGAAAAGACCACTGTAAGTTGACCTGATTCACGCATCATCTTCAGCTTATGGACCAAGTATTCTCAGCAGACCAAACGGAGACCATTCAATATGGGCCGTCCGTAGACGATGATCTGGCCTGTGTTTCACCTGGATACCACCCTCGTTCCTGCCGCTTGACTTACCTGTCGCTGACCGCCCTGCTGGTTGTGTTTGCTCCGGCCTATCCGGGTCGCCGTACCGTATATCTTTTGTTTCATCGTGTCTTAATTTCCGTAGTGCGTTCACGAACACTCAGTCGCTCCTTACTCGGATACCAGGTTTCCATGTCCTGTCGTTTCTCCCGTAGTAACGCAGTCCCGCTATGCCAACTATATTGATTGGGATGTAGTGCACGAGCGATTTCTTGTCAAGTGATTTCGTGTCGATACCCTAATGTATGCTTCATTCTAAGCCATGGGACGGACCGCGTCAACCCAGCGTCAATCTGAGCTCGCCACAAATCCGCAAATCGCCAGAGCGTTTCTTGAACGGCCAATGCCACTTTATTCTGAACCCTCTTCGTGCTAACTCAGAACCTGCTACTTTCCGCCGCCATGGCGTCCGTCCAAGCCGTCATTTCTGCTCTCGATGTTTTTACCCGTGCGCCAGACAAGGCTGCGCTAGATCAGGCCAGCAACTGGCTCCAGGACTTCCAGCATTCTGTAAATACTTCTCTCGCCTCCTCCGGTCCTCCGGGTGCGACAATCTGATGATGTCCCCTTCGGCTGCTCCTCCAGCGTGATGCATGGGCGACCTGCAACGTTCTCCTTTTAACCCCCGATGCCCCCGCTGCGGCGAAGCTCTTTGCTGCTCAGACGTTCAGGACGAAAGTCAGTCTGCAACGCATTCTGGCTGATGTTTGTTTCTGATCAATTTATGCTTGCTACAGGTGACGTACGACCTTCATGAGATGAACGTAGCGGACATCATTCGTGTCCGCGACACGCTCTTGACTGCGCTGCAGACCTACCATGCTGGTCCGCGATCGATCTTGACGCAGCTCTGTCTCGCTCTCTCGGGGCTTGCCTTACAATTGCCGTCATGGGAAGACCCCATGCAGGATATGATCGATTCATTTGGAAGGAACCCAGCGACAGTCCCTGCATTTCTGCAATTCCTGACCGTGCTTCCAGAGGAGCTTTGCACCAACACCAAAATCCCTGTCACCGTGCGTTACGCTGTGTTGCTGCTTTCTTGGGTATTTGACCTTCTCTCCCCAATAGGATGATGAGTACAAGGAGCGAGCACGCAAATTGATGACGGCGAACGCACGGAAGGTGTTGGATTTGCTCTCGATGTATCTCACGGCAGCTGGTGCGTAGACACAGTTCATTGTCGTGTACCCACTTATCCTGGTTGCTGTTCTCATCAGGTGTGACAATCGCCATTCAGACCCAGGTGTTTAGTTGCTTGAGCAGCTGGCTGGCCGCGGGGGAAATCAGTGCTTTGTCGCTGGCCGAGACACCGCTTTTGCGGTTCGCCTTCGAGGCGTTGGCCTCGGATGATCTTTTTGAACCCGCTGTTAGCGTAATCTGTGATGTCATCCACGAAACGCAAGAGATCGAGGACAACATGCCCGTGATCGAGCAACTCGTCCCAAGGATTATCGCCCTCAGGCGTAAGCTCACAGAGTTCAAAGAGGACTCAGAAAGGATCCGTGGATACGCTCGCATTTTCGCGGAAGCTGGGGAGACATATCGTGCTCTCCTGCTGCACCATCCTGAGACGTTCTTTCCCATCGTGGAGGCCATTGGCGAGTGCTCCGCGTATCCCGACCTGGATATTGTTCCGATCACATTCCACTTCTGGATGCGGCTCGCACAGGCCATCGGAAAGAAGCCTTCGGTCCCCGCGCCCTTCCTCGATGCATATAAGGCGCTACTGCGAGTCATCATCCTGCACCTGCACTTCCCTGAGGACCTCAACCCGCTAACAGGTCAGGAAGCGGAAGACTTCCGCTCCTTCCGCCATGTCATGGGCGACACGCTCAAAGACTGCTGCTACGTCCTAGGGGCCGATTGGTGCTTGCTCGCGACGTACGAAATGATCACAGCTGCGTTGGCACGGCCGAACGTCTCCTGGCAGGAGATCGAAGCACCGCTGTTCTCTATGCGCTCCATGGGCGCTGAGGTAGACCCCACGGATGATAAGGCGGTGCCGAAGATCATGGACTTAATCCCGTTGCTCCCGACGCATCCCCGCGTGCGCTATGCTGCGCTGCTCATCATCTCTCGGTACACGGAATGGATCAACAGGCATCCTGATTACATCCCGTATCAGCTGCAGTATATCTCGGCAGGGTTCGAGGATAACGATTCAGAAGTGAATGCCGCTGCGGGCCAGGCGTTGAAATATCTATGTCAAGACTGTAGACGGGTGAGCGGGATGGGCATTAGTAGTAATGGCTATGATATTGATCGGTTTGCGTCTAGCATCTGGTTGACTTCTTGCCACAATTGCATACATTCCTCGGCACGATGGGTTCGAAGCTCGCACAGGATGACAAGATTCAGGTTTACGAGGCCGTCGCATATGTTATCTCCGCGATGCCGATGGAACAAGCAGCACAATCGCTACGCACGTTCTCGCTGGATATCTTAGCTCAAGTCCATACGATTGCCATAAAGCCAACACCGGCGACCAAGGAGGAGTTAAAGGCCGTAGCCAGTGCGTTTCTAACAATTTCTACTGTTGTATTGTCCATTCATATTAAGTTTGCTTGCCCACAGATGGTCTCGAGAATCTCGAGGTCATGCTGGGTGTCATCGACACGTTCGGCGACGAATTGCCAGAGGCATGCCGCAACAGTGCCCAAGAAGCGTGGGCATTCTTCGATCCCTTCATCGCGAAATGCGGATCGGAGTACGAGATTTGCGAGCGCACCACGCGCGTGCTACGGCTCGGGCTGAACTTTTTTGGAACCACTGTCCGACCCGTGCTCCCATCCGTGCTTGCGAGGATGTCGGCAACGTTTGAGCGGACGGGCTTCTCCAGCTACCTGTGGATCTTTGGCAAAATTATTGGTCGCTTCGGAAACGAAGAGGATCCTACATTGCGTATGGCATTCAAGGAGGCTTTCGAAAGAACGTCAGAAAAGCTCGTCTTGATCCTGCAGGAGAAGTCTCCTGCTGTCGTGCCTGATTGTTAGTACTCAGTTTTCATGCTCGGTCGATTCTTGCTCACCAAGTTGTCGCATTATAGTGATGGAAGACTACTTGCAGATGCTACTGCAGATGTTCGATTATACACCGGACATTCTCTTCACATCGCCGGCTTTCCCGATCGCACTCCGCGTCGCGATCGGTGCGCTTACCGTTGTGCATTCTGATATTATTTTTGCAGCGTTGGAGTTCCTCCGCAACGTGCTCACGCATGAATGCCTGTTGCCGACCGCCGTCGGTACTGTCCAGCCACCCAAGTTCCCGGTTTATGCTGCAGCCATCCGGCCAGCAGTCCAACGGGAAGGCCCACAGCTGACAGGATATTTACTGGCTGGCGTTGTGGGAGACTTCCCTGAAGAGTCTGTGCCGATCGTGGTCACGATTTTCCGGTCACTGACAGCACTATCGCCGACGGAGTTGATTTCGTGGTTGCCGGCGGTGGTGCAACAGATCTCGTCGAGCTCGGCTCCTGAGCAGAGCAAGACGCAATTCATAGCAGACATAAGCAGGTGAGCGAAATGACGAACATGAGCGCGCCGTGTGTTCGGTCTCACTGATTTCCCTGATCTGCAGTGCAATACAGTCAGCGGAGTACGATAAAGTGAAGCGTGCGATCCTCGCGCTGCATCGGGCATCCTGCAAAGCCCGCGACCGGCGGCGAGCGGTGGCTTTGGGGGGTGATTAGAAGGGTGGAAGGGAAGAGAATGGGCGTAGTCGTTCAATCTGTATTGTTATGCGCAAGGTTGTATACAATTTTTTCGACAAGAATGGTGTTTGTGCGGGAGTAAAGAAGAAGAGAGAGATGTGAGAAGTCGGAAGCCCGCAGCTGGTGCGAGCGCCTGAAACACATGCAATATTCGCAGTCTAGTACCCTATATATGGCCCCGCTGCCAGAAGCAACTCAAATCGCGCCGGAGCGCCCAACCGCGCCAGCTTCATTCCCCTTCCACGCACCACCGCACCATGATCCCAAGACTCGGCCACTCCCTAGCGACCGCAGGTGCGCATTGACAGTAGCTGCAGACGAAAGCCTTCCTTCTGCTTATTGCAATGATATCCCAGCTGGCCGCCGGACGTTCTCCCAGACAGCACACCGACAAGGCTACGAGGCCACGATCAAAAATCTTCTCATCCATAAAGACACCAAGGTGCTCTGTCAAGGGTTCACAGGAAAGACTGTACGTCACGTCAAACGCATTCCTGCGCTATTGCTGACGCGTGCCCGCAGGCTACGTTCCATTCGCGAGAGGCCCTTCAATATGGCACGAATCTGGTCGGTGGTGTGTCACCTCACAAGGCTGGCGAGCTACATCTCGGCTTGCCCGTCTTCGGAACTGTGAAAGAGGTTCGCTCCTAGTTGCTGTTCATCCCTCAGCGGCGATCTCATGTCCTTGCAGGCTGTACGAGAACTCAAGCCCGACGCGACAGTACTCTACGTCCCACCACCGTTTGCGGCGGATGCCATCATTGAGGCGATTCAGAATGAGATCGGGCTCATTGTGTGCATCACAGAGGGTATTCCTCAGGCTGACGAGATAAAGGCAAGCGATTTCCGTCCAGCTTTTTCTCAGCTCACTGAACGCGACTGCAGGTCGCGCAAGCACTGAGGAGTCAGTCGAAGTCGCGTCTTGTGGGCCCCAACTGCCCAGGCATCATAAACCCATTAGGCTGCAAGATGGGCATTCAGCCGGGGCACATCCACAAGCCGGGTACCATCGGTAAGCCGGATGGTCCGAATAAGCGGAATTAAAGCTGAACGCTACCCCGCACCCCAAGGGGTCGTATCCCGCTCGGGCACATTAACCTACGAAGCAGTGGCCCAGACCACCGATGTTGGTTTGGGCCAGTCCCTCTGTATCGGAATCGGCGGAGACCCGTTCCCGGGTACGAAGCACATCGACTGTGTCAAGCTCTTCCTGGACGATCCCAACACCGAAGGTCAGTCGTCGACATAGTTCATGGACGTAACCTAAATGTTCGAAACTGACGCCTGCTTGCATCAGGCATCGTGATCATTGGTGAGATCGGTGGTTCCATGGAGGAGGACGCTGCTGCGTATCTTGAGCAGTACAACAAGACACGCAGCAAGCCGAAGCCAGTCGTCGGCTTCATCGCTGGGCGGACCGCGCCTCCAGGCAGGCGGATGGGGCATGCAGGCGCCATCATCTCTGGCGGGAAGGGTGCCGCAAAAGACAAGGTGGCCGCGCTTGAGAAGGCTGGCGTCATCGTCACCGACAGCCCCGCGAAGATCGGCACCGAGATGCTGAAGGTACGTCGTGCGAGCCTGTTCCTGCAACACTGCTGCTCACGTTTCTCTTGCAGGCCATGCAAGCTGCCGGATTCAACTTGTAGGTCGAGTACACTTCTCGGGCTTCGCATACACACGTACGCGCTAGTTACGTAATAAAGTGCAGTAGATTGCTATCCAAGGCCACCGCCCTGTATCGTCTTACCTACTGGTATAATACCATCCTTGCTTGCATGTCAGCGCCTCCGCCCGCGTATGTGCCCTCGCAGACGTTCCAAGATGCCGCGAGTTACCTTTCGAGCGCGACCATGCTGTCCAAGGTGCCGAACACTGTTAAGCTAGAGGTCCTCTCGTCCTCTCCCCCGCTCGCACCGTGTTCTGATGATTCTGCACGCTGTGTCTGTTTTAATGGGGGCCACAACAGCTGTATGGCCTGTTCAAGTATCTTACAGTGTCGCACAGCCCGGACGCGTTAAGACCGTCGATTTTCGACATGACCGGAAGAGCTAAGTGGGACGCGTGGAGCGCTGCAGGGAAGACTTATAGCGATCGCGCTCCCGAGGCCGAGGCTCGGTACCTAGCTATTGCGAGAGAACTGGGATGGAAGGAGGACATGGTTCCTCCGGAGAAGGCTGCGTTGATTGACGACTTAGACATAGTTGGTGAACCTAGCAGAGATAGAGGCGGCGGCGGCGGAGGTATGGGCAATTCTGTGAGCGTAATGGACATCTCGGGCCACGAGCAAAGCAAGACTACTCTTAGTCGTCTGGCCATCTCCGGCAACGTGCGAGATATTGCATCATTTCTCGATGAAAATCCCGACATCGACGTCAATGCAGCGGACGAGAACGTGAGTGAAACGCCGCTCGTTCTATTTCTCAAATTGACCGTGCTCTTTCCATCCATCAGGGGTACACATCGTTGCATCTGGCGTGCGACAGAGGGCATGTCGAGATTGTCAGGTTGTTACTGAGTCGGGGCGCCGACCCCAGTATCAAGGTAGGCGTCCATCAAGGCCGGTCCTCAGTCTTGCATTGACAACGGCATGACAGGACGCGGACGACCTGCCTGCAGTAGAATTGGCCGAAATCTCTGGTCATCAGGACATTGTGGACATCCTGAACTCAAGGGGTGATAAGCCAGGTTAGCATGTGGCCTGTTACTACATCGAGAGAAGTATGTAGATGCCAGATGTATGGTCGACACGCATTTGCATTTACACGCACAGAGACGTCCCATCGCCAAACTGCTTCATCTTCTTCTATGAAGCCTTTCGCAGGCAACCTTCCAAAAGCCCGTCCTGCGCCCCCTCCAGGTGCTGCCGGCGGACTGCTCTATGTGATGTGCATCAAGGTTGACGCACTCAGTCGACGTCGTCGATTTTGATACCAGGGTTTTCTGAAGATGACGGTGTTGACAATGTCTCCTTATCCGAGGAGGGAGACTCCTTTATGACACCGCCCTAGCATATCGTTAAGCACTCCGGCAATTCGAGAGCAGCCAGCAACGATTACGCACCAGCACCAAGAGCCTTTCCACAGTCTTACTCGGCTGTGCCCCAACCGATAGCCAGTAGCGTATCCTTTCAGGGCTCCACTGCATCGTCTTGTGCTGCTGACCGGGGTTCGGCCGCGGCTGAGGATTATATATGCCTAGCAGCTCGATCGGCTTCGAATCTCGTGCGGTGCGATTCTCGATGGCGACGAGGTGGAAGATTTTGCGATGTGGTGGGCCATGAAGGGAGAACCGAATGCGAACGACCATGGGGGCAGGCGAGTGTCAAGTCGGTGGTTGCGAACACTGGAGATTTCGTGTGGCGCGGACGCACCGTGTTGTCACACACTCGTCACACGTGTGCGCGATTCGGATCAATACCGCGCCACGAAGCAAAGTATGTATGAGGCGTGGATGGGTATGAGTATGCCAGAAGTTTTCATGAGCGATTGGATTGCAAGAAAAATCATACATGAGACAGAGAAAAAGAGATCACGAAGTGTTAGGCTAGAGAAAGTAACACAGAGCTTGGCCTCCAGCCTGATTCACAGGTCGTGTCCGGCAGCACAAGCTCAACAGTAGCACAGCACACAAGCCAAGCCAATATCTTCCTGGAGAATTGGCCAACAACACCAACAACAGTGGTTAATTGCAGATACGATGCGGCATTCCCTGCTCACATGCCTTCAGCATCTCGCTATACGTCCTCTGGTCCATTGCTACCCGGTATAAGCTAGACATAACGGGTTTAATGACCAGAGTATTAGAGTAGGACGAGAAATTGGGCGAACCATACAGATATTGTTCCCATTGAGCAGTGTCTGGGCAAGTTTTGTCTTCTTCTTGCCTTGCGGCGTTGTTTCGCTGCGAATGAAGATATCAGTGAAGCTGAACGCTATGTCAAGCATATCGATACATACTACTCTATCACATCTTCAAGGACCATATCTATGATGTGCTGAATAATGCGTCTGGAGTCGAGCGTGCGTGTCACTCACTAACGAAGTCATCAAAACCCAGCAGAGTCCCGGTGAACTCGCGATCGCTCTTCATGATCACCCAAATTCGTGAACCGATACATCTATCAATGAGCTCTGAACTTAGAATTTTAGATTAGTGGGTACGTCGCAGGAGTGAAAACGGCTGTTACCTAGAGGGAGGATTTGTGAAGCCATGGTTCGAAGGCAAGAAAAGAACGCGTCTGTGGCACTGTGGCACGCGTTCAGGTCGGACGAGTCTATGACCTCGGAAATGGTCGCGCCGCGCCGTGCTTTGGCAGCTACAACGTACGTCACAAAAGATGGCTCTGAGCTTGCCGTATGTTATTCTCGATAGTCAACACGTACGACAAGGTAGAGACGATACAAAGCATGCTTCACTGAACATGATAATACACGCAACATGCGGTATGTTAAATGATGCGACGACAGGAAATGACAATTGGAACGGAGAGAGAGAACAGCGATGCACCGGAAACTAACGATCCTGACAGACGAGCTTTGGTAATGTCTACGGCAAGAAAACCCTCATACTAGTTTACTGCTGCCCGAAAGTAAATCCACCGGGAGGTGGCGCAGCACCTTCTTGGTTGAACTGTAGATATATGTTCAATCGACGAACAACAAAATATGATGAAAAACAACGTACCGCGAACGCGCCCGAAGCGTCAACATTAGCCGTACTGATTCCAGCATCAACTTCCTCATCGTCAGGGAAGTACTTGTCCATGATGTTGAAAGCCTTCTTGTAAATCTCGAGGTTGTCATGTTGCTGGAGATTGTGGATTGTGACCATTCCACCGGCTTCCTCCACGTATAGTGCATATTGGTTAACTGCACCAGGGCCAGCAGCTTGCTTGTCCATCTCGCCAACCTTGAGAATGTTGTCGAGGCCATCGAGCGCAACCTGAATGATCTTGTTGTCCATCATCGTCAAAAGGTCACAAAGCGGCTTGATGCAACCCTGAGATACGAGATAACGAATCTGCGAAGGTTCCTGGAGACCACCGGAAGTCGCGTTCGAAATCGCCCAGCACGCCTCCTTTTTCGTCTTGAAGTCGGCATTCTGAAGGATGTTGATAAGGGGAGGGATGATATTCGCATCGATGACTGATTGGATTTGCGGCGGTGAGCCAGCGGTGATGTTAGAAATCGTCCAGCATGCCTCCTTGCGGATACCCTCCTTAGGAGAGGAAAGCAGCGACAGAAGAGCAGGGAGTGCGCCAGACGTGATCACCACTTGCGTCTGAAGGTCATCGCCTGTGACAATGTTGCCGACAGATCGAAGAGCAGGAGTCTGAACCGAAGTCGAGGGGTGCATGAGGAGGTCTACAAGTCGCCTGCAGACGCCTGACTCAATCACGGCCTGAATCTTGTCGTTGGAGCCATCCGAAAGGTACGAGATTGCCCAGCAAGCATCAATGAGAATCTCATCGTCCAAGGAGTAAATGAGTTTCGTGAGGACAGTGAGAGCCGGCGAAATCTAAGGAATAAAAACTCAACACAAAGCAACAAAGAAACATGAGCTCAAAACGCACCAGGTCCCAGTCTGGTTGAGGAGACTTCCCTCTGCAAAAGTTGCTGAGAGTCCAGGTCGCGTTTCTGAGCATGCTGAGCTTGTGGTTCTCGCTCAGAAGCTGCAAGAGAGGCCTCAGAGCACCCTGCTGCAGAACGTAGTCTCGGCAAGCCGGACTGTCGCCTGCAATGTTCCCAAGTGCCCACACGGCCTGCTCCCTGACATCGGTCACATTCGAAGAGAGCAACCTGATGAACTCCGGCACAGCATTGGCGCCAATGACAACTTGAGTGTGCTCTGCGGTTCCCGACGCAATATTAGTGAGAGCCCAAGCTGCCTCGAACTGCGTGCTGACGTGAGTGTCACTCTTTTTCGCACTCTACTGTGGTGAACTTACCTGGAGCATTGCATTATCCCCACGAAGGAATTCAACGAAGCGCGGTACCACGCCGCACTCGATGACTCGTTCAATGGGCGGGTTCTTCTCCTTTGAGAGCAATTTGCGGAACTTCGTGGTGGCTTCCAACTGACGCTCAAGGCTGTCGGAGAATACACCAGCAATCATCTCATCGGCGAGCTAACCGTCGTTCGTCAACATTGATCCAAAATGCGCGCCTGAATGATAGGACTTACAGGACTCTCCCAGTTGGGCGCACCACCCTCCTCATCGGAATCAACACCGGTGTCGGGAAGGAAATTACGTCTCTTAGTAATGTTCTCCTCTCGCTTCTGCCTTCTGATCTCGACTTGCTGCTCTTCGCGCCGACGCCTCAGCTCATCCTGCTTCAAACCACCCTTGCTTTTGTACTCTGTATAAGACAGGCCGTTAATATCGCGCACGCATCTTTTCTGGCTCTATACACTTACCGCTTTTGCGCTGTGCGACACGGGATTCCATGATGGTTAGAGATGAAGATGAAGGCAAGGTTGCGCGGATGTTGGAGAGGACGCGCTGAAAAGGAGATGGCGGTTTAGCAAGGGATCAGCGCGTGGGCTCGTCACGGTCACATGCTCTTTGTCACGATGTGACCGTTGTGCCCGCTGCCCTCGCTGTAATTGCATTGTGGCCACGTGGAAGATGCAAAATCAGCTTCGGCAATTATTGTTTCTACTGCGTAGAATTTACAAAAAAGTGCGAGCAGAAAGGGGTTTTTTACACGTCACACGCTGGACGAGCTCTGGTACTCGCAGTCAGCTCACAAACGTTCACTCAGTGGCAGGATCTACTTTGAATCACGCGAGGCGCCGGAAGGCCAAAAAAAAGAACAAATGCACTGATTGCGGAAGTAAATACGTCGAATAGCAGCACAGGTCCATTATACGTCGTTGTCGAAGGGGTACTAATATTAGAAGTGTCAGTACATATATCAGATCATCAAAACAAGACGCACCTCGAACGATTCCGGTGGTTCCGCCTCGGGAGCAGTCTCATCCAGCGAGATGTGACGACCCTCTGAAACGTGCGCGGGACGGTCATCGGGAACAGCCACCGCCTGATTTGCAGCGATGATTGTCTGTGTCTCGAACTCGATGTAGTCTGGCTCCTCGTCCGGACGTTGGTCGATCAGGATCAGAATGCCGCCGCCACCAGCGTATCGTTCAGACGTCAGGCCTGGTACCAACGATGACTTCGGTGAAGACGGCCTGTTAGCCTTCAAGCTCGGTGGTGGTTTGGTCGACACTGCCCTGACTGGCTGGTACCGATTATCGAGAGGGAAGCTGATGTACGGTATCTGTGCCGGCACTACGCGAGAGAAGTTCGACAACTTTTCTAAAGCTGGCTCCTTCCGTTTCGGTGTAGATGAAGATGCTTCGTCTGTCTTCATCTCCACATCGCCATCCTTCTTCGCCTCCGCCTTCTCGTCCTAGGCCACGTTGATCAGATTGCGCAGGAACACATATATTGACTTACTGTCTCCATGGCATCGAACCCCTCAGCAGCGGCCTTCTTTTTCTCCCTGGCCTTCGCCCGTGCAGTCGTCGAGAGAACGGCTGTAGCAACTTTAGCCACGGCCTCCTTCTTCGGGAGCTTCGTTGGTGCCGGGTACGCAAACAGACTTGGTCTGGCGTTCGAGATAAACTCAAAGTTCGGCGCCTAGGGCCCCCATGTAAGAACACTGAAGTCATTCAATTAAGTCGGAAGCATACCTGCAGGGTACTATCCAGACCGATGATAGCCGTAGGGTCGAATGCTAGGCATGCACAGTGTGCCAACGGGTACCAGTACCAGAACTGGCAGAACAAGACCATGCCAACGATAGCGTTGGTATTACGGCTGCCAGCCCGACTTTGCAAGCTAATCGTCACGTTGCGACCGCCAGCATCAATAAATCCTTGCCCTAATGCTGCACCGAAGCGCGCCATAGGGTCTTCGTGCTTGTCCGCGACAATCTTCGCATACAATGCGCGAGTAGAAGCGAGAGATGGCGCTGACACCTCCGACTGCTCGACAAGGATCATCCCAAGAGCGACGAAGGCACCCTGTCGAACGAAGTCGACACTGTCTTTGGTCATCGGCTCTAGAATATCCACTGCATCCTATAACAAGCAAAAGCAAATATCAGCGTGAATACTCTCGGTTAGAGTTGAATAAACAGACCTGTAAGCCAGTGCCCGCGCAAGCAATGCCAAGCGCGAGTGTCGCACCGCATCGGACGTGCGGATTATAGCTCTCACTCAGCAGCTGGACGATGCGCGGAACTTGTGCAGGATTTTTGAACAGCAGGAACGCGAGTGATGTGACCGCCGCCCTCCGGACATCATCTGATGTGTCCGAGACAGCGATATGCAGCAGCTGACGGATGGCGCCATTGTTGGATGTGCCAGCATATGCGAGCGCGAGAGTGTAGACACCACCATACCGCAGAATCGGCTCCTATGAAACTATTCAGTATATGAAATCATCAAACAACAGTGCTGCAGCTGACCTTCTCCGCTAGGAGTGTCTTGATCATCTCATCTGCCTGCTCTTGCCTACCATAATAGATGAAAGCTAGACCAACCGCAATACCCCGGATGATCTTCTCATGCTGCGTCTCCCTCGCATACTGCAACATCTCATCAGCTGCCGTCACGTCCGCTGTGCTGAGCATGATCAAGCCCATCGCATAGCCAGACGCCTCGCCCGCGATGGCCGAGTCCGTGAACAACGTCTGCTTCAGCTCATCGTACGTTTCCGCGTTCTTCCCGCCCATACCGGCCACACCCAGTCCGAGCGCCGCGCCATGCTGCACTACCTCGCTTTGAGCTTCCTTGAGGGTATTGCGCAGATATTCCTCTACATGTCGACCGCTCCCGCAACCGGCATTCACTAAACCAAGAGCATACAGCGAACCTCCCTCCGAATAAGCCGCGCCCGGAATACCGCTGTCTCCACCACCAGCTTGAGGTAAGTATGGCCCCAGAATATTCATGCTCTCCTCAAAGTGACCTTTGTGGATGACACCAAGAGCTGCCGTAGCAGAGAACTTAGCCCAATTGCTCGCGAGACCGAGCCACTCAAGGTTTTCTCGTAAGAACACATCAGATGTCGTTCCAGAATGCATGAAGGCGTTTTGTAGACTGAGCGCAACATGATATATTGATGAGCGAGGTTCCAAAGAATCCTGTAGTGCCCGCAGTCAGCCTATAGTGACCACATGAGATGGACCGCGAACAGCCAACCTTAGTATTCTTTAGAATCAACATGTCGACCTTGTTGTTGCGCTTCAAGAATTCCAGATACAGCTTGATGGACTCCTGCCCAAGCAAAATTCTTCGTAGCTTGTCGTAAATCGCCTTGATATCCTGCAGTAGCGTGAGAGGACCGTCGATAGCAACGACGGAACAGACTCACGCCTTGACCTTCAGGGAGATCCTTTCGTACGCTCTCCAAATAATCCTGCGCACCACCCTCTACCAGGTCAAATGCGACTTGATACGCCAGCAGGTGCTCTTTCGGTACCAGTGACGTTAGGAAAGGGACCGTCAGCTCTGCCGAACTAAGTGAGACCAGCAGGCGCGTGACAGACGACACATGGGGAGACTTGTTCTCGCTTGTAGGAGCAGGAAATAGAGGAAGAAGGAATTGCAGCACCTCGTCGCGGTAAACAAGCGGGAACGCGGTGTCGAGGACGGCATCCATGGTGTATGAAAGTAGGCTGACATCTTCTGTGGACTCATATATTTGCGTGATGACATCAAGGCGGTGCGACTCGAGCGCGATGCCTATTGCCTGGAGCAGATGTTAGCGGCGAGGAAAGCGAACCCTCGCGGGATACGCACTTGCTTGTATTCCCCATCTGCGATGCAGCGTCTGAAGATACCCTCGATGATATTCTGTAACTTGGGATCAATCTTCCTCCCTCCTGCCTGCTCGTCCGTCCGGGCTTTAATATACCGATCAATCGCTTTCGCTGCGAAGTGAACGCGATGGTTAGGCGAACATGCTACCGCGCACTGTACAGCATGCACTCACAAATAACTGTTTCGACATATTCTTCAGAACCTGGGGCGCGACTTTCCGCCTCAAACGCGCTTCCCGCACCAAGAGCGAAGGACAATGTCTCATCGTATTCCCCGAGGTAGTAATATACCTTGCTCGCCAAAAGCGCCGCCGCGTCATGTGCCTCCTTCGGAAGTTCCTCGCTCTCATATAGTGATTCTCTGCACATAACAAGTCATGAACGTCACAACGCGAAAACCACCAGTGCTCACTCACATGAGAGCAATGTGTTCAGATATCTCCGCCCAAAATTGGGGTACCAGCGCAGTAAGCCTCTTGAGCGCATGCTGCTTGAGCAGAGGCTCTGGTTCTGAGAGCAGTGCGAGCAGGCCTGCGGCGGAGGACTGGGAGCGAGGGACCATATTTGCGGTGCAGTCGTACAGTACTGTGCAGCCTTGAGCGCGCGGAGACGCGTCAGTGCACTTGCATATGATCACGTGACATATATGACGTAAGCAGTTCCCAGAGTCCTCGACCAGCGCTCACCTTCCGTGTTTCTCCCTCCTGCAAAGTCAGTCCACCACCTTTCCCCGATTGAAAGCCCTTATAATGTCAATGCTCGCTCGTCGTGCTGCGCTGCGCGCCATTCCCCGTGCTCGTGGGTATGCCAATACCACAGCCGAGTTGGCGAAGACGCAGTGGGCGGAAAAGCAGGTTGCTTTGAAGACACACGCTGCCGGTATGAGGTCACGGCGTTGCGCACGTTTAACTCCCTCCTGACGCAGTTCTTCGCAGAAACCGCCAATCTCTGGCGTAGGATTAGGTGCGCGGTATAGTAGTGGGCTCTCATGATCTGCTGATGACACGTGAACGACTCTAAGTCTCTTCGTTTGTATCCCTGCTAGTGAGTGCGTTCGTCGCATATGTTTACGATGATCTGATCATTGTGGCGCTGCTTAGTCGGTGTCTGCGGTCTTTGGGTCCGCAACGTGGAGGCAGAGCACAGTGCGCACCAGAAGCATCTCCAGGCGGAGCACGGCGGCCATCTTCCCGAACCTCCCGCGTACGAATACTTAAACAGGCGCGGTACGTGCCTCCTCTCCCTCCAAGGATGTTTCGTTTACAGTGCAATCTCCAGCGAGCGGTGGCTTCCCTTGGGGCCAGAACACCCTTTTCTTCAACCCTCGCGTATGTGAAGTACTCTTTCATCATGACTGTTTACTCATACTGGACTCGCAGGTCAACAAGGATATGTCTCAGCAGTAGTAGATTTTCGAGTGAATGCAATTCCACTGTGACGGAGGAACCGGGCGAGATGATTCGAGGAATATTCTGAAATAGTCGAGACCAATCGAGGCCGACGCATGAAGCCACCATGGTCCGAATCCAGGCTGATGTGAGCGTAGATTTGCAAATTGATTATCGGTAAAATCGTCAATACTCATGGGCAAGATGGGTTGTCGACGGTGAAGTGTTATCGAGCTTGTGCCCACAGCTCATGTCCAATCTGTAAGTGCGAAGACAATATGCATTACGGAAGGAAGGCCGAAGTGTAAATGAGGCATAATAAATGAGTCCGCAAAGCATCGAAACAGAACTCCACCATGTTGACGCAGCATCTCACAAGGTAACGAAGGCACCGAAAACCACACCGCCCAACGTGACAGCCATACTAGCTAGCAGAGACGTCGAAACATCCAATGAATGCAACCCCATGGCGGCACTTGATGAGCTGTTGCGCGTTGTGATTTAGCGTACACGATACTGAGGCACGGACTGTAATACTAACCTTGTTGAAGAGGCAACAGAAGTCGCGGAAGCCGTGGCCGATGACGAAGCACCGCTCACAGCAGTACCAATGTTGCCAGTAGCTTCTGTATACACCGAGCCACCGAATGATGTGACGACTCCTCCGCCACTGGTAGCCAGAGTAATCGCCTCACCCCCCGCAGAAGTGACCACAGTATAAGCATGGCCGGCTTCGGCTGAACAAAATAGTCAAGATTATGCTCCGACAGAAGTGAGACTCGGTCACGTACAGGTGACATAAGTTGCAACTTCACCGCCGACGGATGTTGCAGCGCTGGCGACACTACCGGCGCCAGATGTAAAAATCGTGACGACACTACCGCCAAAAGATGTTACGTCCGT